CTGACAACCCAGTTATACTTTTTGAATACGCACAAATCTGCACCCCACATCATACTTATCCTGTTTTCTCAACTAAAACCCAGGTCTTGAAAACTGACAAGTTGGAGTATATTTGTGGGGACATCAGGACAAGACTTTTGGAAGAGGAGCTGTCCCAGGAATTCTGAGGTGTTTGGTCATCATAAACATACTCTCTAATGCCTCACCCTGAGATTAAGTGCAGTGCTGTTTCCCACCTTCCAGTGGGCGAAATGGTTTGGTGAGGTTTGGTCAGCCAGGCTGTTTTGTTCATACAAGTTCGGCAGACTGAACCTGATCTGATTTTCTTATGGAAGAGAGATTGCAGAAGAGCCTGGTGGTGGAAGGTGGTTAATACATCTTCTTGAATCAAGTGAACTTAATTGCTAAAATGCAGTTCGTTGAAAGGATTGATCTCCTCTCATTGAAAATTTACCAGCAAAATAGAACCTAGGGCTGGCCTACAGTCCTGTAAAAATCTAGAGCAGAGAAAGTGCCTGTCACCAAGGTGGGGGTGGGGAGACTTGCCGGACACACCATGAATTGCCCTTTCATCCCATCTTTGCATATCCAGGCAGATTAAAGCTACTCAAGTCTAATCTTTTTGAACTGGTGGTTATTACTGGCTGCTGGAGGATATGCTCTGAAGTGTAATTAAGCTGATCTCAAGGTTGAAACCAGGCGTCTGATCGCTTATTACTAAGGACAGAAAATTCCCATAGGAAGCTTCGTCCTGGTGTCAGGGCATTTCAGCTGTGAGTTGCAAGCCCTGCTTTGGTGCATGGCTCTCACGAGAGGCAGGAGGAGATGGGGCGATGGCCAGGACAGGGCAGAGGTGGCGCTTTGGGTGTTTTTCCAGTTTTGTTTTCCTCTGACTTTGGTGCCGGGCTTCCAGGATTTCCTGCACTACTTCCAGAGGCGAAAACTGTCTTTTACTGGAATCTTTTCTTTAAAAATCGAGCGTTTGCTAGTCAGGCCAAGCCTTTAGCTGACAGAAAAAGCACTAGGATGGATGGATGGGAAGAGAGGCAGGGCCCCTGCGGATTCATGTCCTCCCAGAGGTAAGGGTCAGCACAGCACAGGACACAGAAAGACCAAGACACCAACCATCCCGGTTCCCGGAAGGTCCAGATACTCAGAAAAGACATGAGATTCATTGCGAAGAGCTATATACGGGGGAAATTTGATATAGAGCCACCACACTGTGTGAGTACCTCAGGACCGAGATGGTCCGAGTCAGATATATTTAATCAGGAAGTTGCTTGGAGGAGTAATTGAATTTAATGTCTCAGCCATAGACTTGAAGACGCTTATCCTTGGGAATGGATCTCATTGCTGGTCCCCTGATTTTACAGATGGGCATATCCCAGAGGGAATAATTTGCTCAAAGTCACTTAGCAAGTTAGTGATGGAATTAGAGATAGAGACCAAGTCCCCTGTACTTTCAGCAAAGAAGGTTTACAATGGAAGAGGAGAGATTGGTGAACAGAGGAAATATTGATTCTTTTGCAGAGGGAGAGGTGGGGTGGAGGCCCAGAGAAAGAGGCTTTTGACTCTGGTCCGCATTCTTTGGGAAAGAAAGTGAAGAATAGAACCCAGGTTTTCTGACACCCAGTGGGGTGGTGCCATTGTCTCAGTGGCCCTCAGAATTTCTAAATGACTCAAAGGATGGCTTCTGTATTTCTACCGCTATTGAAGATAAAGCTGTTTCTTTTCTTCTTGTCCCTTTTTTCTTCTCTTTAGAAATTCTTAAAAAAAAAAAGACACCCAGAATAGAAATGTAAAAAGTAAGACCTCAAAGATCGTCAGGTAGAAAAGAGGGATAAATTCTAAGCAAATGCAGGAGTATCCTTACTGTCTAGTTAGAAGAATATTTAGATTTCTCTATTTTGTGTAGCTATTCCTCAAACCGAAACCAGAGTGTTATTTTATTATTATTATTTTTTTTTGCGGTACACGGACCTCTCACTGTTGTGGCCTCTCCCGTTGCGGAGCACAGGCTCCGGACGTGCAGGCTCAGTGGCCATGGCTTATGGGCCCAGCCGCTCCGCGGCATGTGGGATCTTCCCGGACCGGGGCACGAACCCGTGTCCCCTGCATTGGCAGGCGGACTCTCAACCACTGCGCCACCAGGGAAGCCCTCAGAGTGTTATTTTAAGTTCAAGCAGTCACAGTTTGTTTTTCGGGCGCTCCTGTGTCCCAGGCTTATTCTGCAGAGAGGATCAAAGAAATTATTAAATACATTCCTTGCCCTCCTGAATTCTGTGACAATGGCTGCTAGTATAAAAAGACTGAGATTAGTGGAGGCTAGAGACAGGAGAAAAGGCACTCTTTAATGGGCAGGCTTGGGTATAACAGGGAGGAAAGATGGAGACCTGAGTCCTTGGCTTCTGGTGTTGATGGGGAGAGCTTGATTTTCTCCTCACCTGTCCTCATTTGCTTCCCCAGGAACCCAGAAAGTGTCAGGGGCCAGCTACTGCATAGAACATCCACGTAGAACAGTCTTAGGAATGTGGCAACAAAATCTGTTTCCTTAAAGTAAATGGGAAAGTCGTTTCCTTTGGTGTGTTCCAGCATGTCTACTCACAATTAATTTGGCAAAGTGAACCAGAAAAGAATGGCCATCTTCATCCTTCTTGGTGGCGGGGGGGGGGGGGGGGACTCTTGGCCAAGCAGGCTGATATGGACAGGCAATAATTAAATTGCTTTGGGTAGTGTCTAATATAATTGAGACCAAGGACTTGTGAATATATGCCCCAAACAAAGCACTATCTCATAGAGGATCCCCTGAGTCTCGGAGCCCTTTCTTTACCATATTATGAGACCTAATATCTTAATTAAAATGAGAAAACATTGAAAAAAAACTAACTAGGAGTAGAAAAATAGATTGCAAGAAGAAAAAAAGATCCCTTGCTGCCTGGCAGCTTTGAAAGGCAAAGTTTTATGGGCTTAATTTCTCAGAAAGACAATGAGTTGGAAACATTTTATATGGAATTGAATGAAAAAACACAGGGTCGTTTTACCTTTGCTTTTAAAAGTCTCATTTATGTTTTTCTAAAGACTGGCTGATGAGAAAGAGGCAATTCAGAAAATGCTAAAAGCATAAAATGTAGGCGGCTTCAGAATTTTAATCAGCTTTCGTGTTCTGTGTTTTTCAAATCAATGGTATTAGCAGAGCGTATTGCAATCGCAGATAAATGAGTTCTTCGTCTCTTTCTTCTGTGTTCTCATAGAACCTTGAACTTCTTGTAGGGCTCTTACCACATCTGCTAATCCCATTGATATCTTCACTGTCCCCACTTAGGCTGAGGGCTCTTCACTCCACATTTACTGGTTGTTCACGAGTATCTTGGATATTTTCAGCCCTGATTCTAGTCGATAACATGACCCAGGCGTCTGTACCTGGGACTGCTGTACCTAATATTCCCTATCATTTTAGAAGTGTATGGTTATACAAATATATCATGACTTTTTACCTATAAATAAAAAAGAAGTGGTCTCATAGTATATAGGGGGTGATGGTATATATTTGTGTATCAAAAGGAATGCACAGAACAGATTTCCTGACTGTTCTATCTAAAGTGGCCTCCTTCCCCCAGGTACACCCTGTCATATTGCCCTATTTCCTTCTTGCACTTTTTATAATCTGAAATTATCCTGCGTGTGTATACATAAATATTATATACATATAATATATGTATGTAATATTACATATGATATTGATATATTTATATTTACTATATAATTTTAATATATTTACATATATGTATATAAAAGTTTACTTATTTATTGCTGCATTCTCCTTCTGGAATGTGCAGGAACTTTATTTCCAGCATGTGGTAAAAGCTTATTGACTTTTTTCTTCTTTTTTTTAATGAATGAATCCTTTAGGTAGAACCAAGGTCATAATGGCATGGATATCAATTATTAGACTCAATATGACTGAGGCACAAATAATTAGCTGGTCGTAAGTTAATTTTAGTTCAGTTACAGGAAGTTCTTACTGAAGCCCAGAATAATGGTTTCATTATTCCAGGTCTAACAGTTTCTGGATGGTCTAACAATTCAGTGGGGACTTTAATATTTCACATTCTCTTTTCGATTATCCCTTATCTCTGAAATTACAATTCTTTCTCCATCCAGAATTCACTGATGCAGTACATTTTATAAAGTGCCTACTAGCTCCTAGGGATACAAAACGGAACAAGCTCCTTGTCCTGTAGGTTCTTACCATCTGAGGGGAGAGGACAGCAAGCCAAGGTGGTTCAGGTTATGAGTGCTGGCATAGGAATAAATTCCAGCAGCTGTGGGAGAGATGGCCAACCCAGAGTTAGGTTTTGAGGAAGAGATTTCTGAGATTCTGGAGATGTCAGAATTAGCAGTTGGAGGAGGGTGTGGTGTGTGAGCAAGAGACGGGGAGCGTTCATGGTGGGGAAGAGGAGAAAAGTGGTTCCAGGTGGAGGAGTCACTCACTGAGAGAGTCTGGAGCATTTGGGAGAAATGGACATCGCTTTGCGTGGAAGGAGCGTAGATTTTTCAGGTAGTGATCGGTGTACAATGCAGCTGGGAATGTGGGTAGGAGCCAAGATAGGAAGGACTTACGTGCGATCTAGTGTATCTGGAGGACAGTGGAAATCACTGGAGGGTTTTAAGTAAAGGAGGGACATCGGCAGAATTTTAGGGGACGTGGATGATTTGGTACACTTATAAGTTAGGACTAACCATCCATCCTATCCATCCTACAAGTGTTTATCTGTTTTAAACCTGCACCAAAGGAGGAAGTGGGAATGGGTCAGGGCAAAGCCATCCCTAGTGATGTAACAAGGTCGCCTCAATGTGCACAGCTCACTGCATGGCAGAATTAATTGCTTAAATGACACCTTATAAAGGATCGGGTCCAAAGATGTTCTTATCTTCCATCACACCTTTTTTTTTTTCTCTCTTTTTTTGGTCCTTTGCTCTGCCTCATTTTCCCACCTTAGAACAACAAGGTCACGCTCTTCCGCCAGCTGCAGCAGATGACGTACAGCCTGATCGAGTGGCGGTCCCAGATCCTGTCTGGAACCCTCCCCAAGGACGAACTGGCAGAGCTCAAGATGAAGGTCACAGCCAAAATCGATCACGGGAACAGGTAAACCAGGGATGACTTTTCACTGAGAACTTGGAAAAAACCACGCACCTTCATGCTAAGGACACAGCTCACCATGAGCTTGTGATCTTGGAGTTGCCAAAGAACAATGCTTAACTGTTCTCTTTCTGCCTTGGAAAATATTTAATTTTGTAGAAGAAAATTTGGCAGTGCCCTTCATGGGCCAGACCCTGTGCTGGATCTCTGGTCTCAAGGAGATGATGGATGATCAGGGAATATGGAGCTTGAATGGAAGCAACTCCACTGCCAGACAAACTCAGAGGGTCTGGGCATCAGAAGCTGACAATTTCGGGGACCTGGGACTATCTCTATCTTTATTCTTTTTTTTTTTTTTTTTTAGTTTTTATTTTATACTGGAGTATAGTTGCTTTACAATGTTGTGTTAGTTTCAGGTGTACAGCAAAGTGATTCAGTTATACATGTATCTATTCTTTTTCAGATTCTTTTCCCATTTAGGTTATTACAGAATATTGAGTAGAGTTCCCTGTGCTATACATCAGGTCCTTGTTGTTTATCTGTTTTATATGTAGTGGTGTGTATCTGTTAATCCCAAACCATAATTTATCCCTCCCCCGCCGCTATCTTTCTTCTAACAGGATCATCAGACTCATTCTGTCTCTTTCTTTCTGTCTTCCCCTAAGTGGGACCATTGCTCACATTGTGTAAAAACCAGATTTGCCAGAATAGCCTGTCTCCGATAACCTCTAAAGAGTTAATCACGTCATTCATCTTCCGATTGGCTCGGTCAGATATGTAGGTCCCAGATGTTACTGCCCTTTGGAAGACAAAAAAATTTAGTAGATTCATCAAAATTGATGGTGACCTGGGATGATTCGTCCTTCCTGACCAGCTCTTTTTAAACACTGGGTTCGTTTCTCAGTTTTTGTTGATGATTCATTTGACGTTTAGTTTTTTGTTTTTTTTTTCCTTGGCTGTGTTGGGTCTTCGTTGCTGCGCGCGGGCTTTCGCTAGTTGCAGCGAGCAGGGGCTACTCTTCGTTGCGGCTTGCAGGCTTCTCCTTGCGGTGGCTTCTCTTGTTGCGGAGCACGGGATCTAGGTGCGCGGGCTTCAGTAGTTGTGGCTCGCGGGCTCTAGAGCGCAGGCTCAGTAGTTGCGGCGCACGGGCTTAGTTGCTCCGCCCTTGTCTGTCCACAGGACTATAACCACAGGAGCTGCACTGCTAGTCATATAGTCCCGGGGAGACGCTTAAACAACAGCTAAGATGGGATAAAGCAGCTCCCTCCTGGCACATAGACTGCCTCTGTATTCTTGGGTCTTGGCACACTGTGGCATCAGCCTGGAGGCCTCTGCTCACTGGCAAAGGATGGTAATGTCCTACAAACAGCAGACCATGCTGGCCTTTTCATTTCAGCCCTTGGAAGCAGCTCAAGAAATGAAGCTGCTCCGTCAGTGCATCCGTGTTCCAGTCTCTGAGCAGCCAGCAGGGCCCATTGCTCATAGTCTGGGCGGCCTGTGGGTCTGGCCGCCATGGCAAGGGACCTGCCAGATTGAATCAGTTGATGGAGATGCTATAAAACAGGGAGGCAGGAAATTAGGCATTTTTGCTTTCTGCCCAAAGACTTGGCACGTGCCACCGTTATCCTTGAACTTTCTTGCCCTTTGGACATCCTCACTCCTAAACTGCTAGTGCCTGGAATGAACTGGGTGTTCTGATCACAGTATCCTGTTTCCACCACAGTCCCCAACTTCTTAGAACTAAGTACAATTTTTACTGCTTCTGTGTGCACATCGGGCATAAAAAGCCTTGCTGGGATGCTGCCATGCAGGGACCGTATGGGCCTTACTATTCCCGTGTGGCACCCAGAGCTCCGTCTTAACACAGCCAGGGGTTTTCTTGTGCCAGTAGGAGCTAACATTCATTGAGAGCCTATTATATGCTAGATATTGTACTGTGTGCTATATATGCACTGTGCTATATATGCGTTATCTCATTAAATTCACACAACAGCCCTGAAGGGTAGGGAATAATTTACAGACGAGGAAACCAGGCGTTTGCAAAATTAAGTAGATGACCAGGGTCATATTGCCAGCAAGTATTAAAACCAGGATGCAAATCTTGGTCCAGCTGACACCAGAGCCCATTCTCTGAGATAGATTTTGTGATACCAACAGCCAGGACTTAACTTCTTTGATTCCTTTTGTTGCTCTTGTTGTTTTTGGCTGCGCCGTATGTCTTGTGGGATCTCAGTTCTCCGACCAGGGATTGAACCCAGGCCACAGCAGTGGAAGCCCTGAATGCTAACCACTAGGCCACCAAGGAACTCCCTTGATCTCCTTTAAAATGGTCTTGAAAAGGGCTTCCCTGGTGGCGTAGTGGTTAAGAATCCGCCTGCCAATGCAGGGGACACGGGTTCGAGCCCTGGTTCGGGAAGATCCCACATGCCGCGGAGCAACGAAGCCTGTGTGTCACAACTGCTGAGCCTGTGCTCTAGAGCCCGTGAGCCACAACTACTGAGCCCGTGAGTCACAACTACTGAAGCCCGTGCGCCTAGAGCCCATGCTCCGCAACGAGAGAAGCCACTGCAATGAGAAGCCCCTGCACCGCAACGAAGAGTAGCCCCTGGTCGCCACAACTAGAGAAAGCCCGCACGTAGCAACGAAGACCCAACACAGCCAAAAATAATAAATAAGTTCAATAAATAAATTAAAAAAACAAACAAACAAAAAACAGTCTTGAATTAAGCACTGTCCCCCGGGCCTGTGCTTTTAAGGAGATCAGGGTAAGCTCCCCAGTATCTGAGCATCCGTCTTTCGTAGTTCCTATAGCAAACTACAGATGATTGAGGAGAGAAGCATTGGTCAGACGATTTTGGTTAGAATTAGCGCCAGTTTTGCCTTTCCTGTTGAGGTTCTGCAGACCAAATTACGTTGCGTATTATATGAGTTTGGGTAACATTTGCGTAAGTTTTTTAGCATTGTTGTTGTATGGAAAGGAAGCAAAAATTGAAAGGAGAAAAGCCAGCGAACTCTTCTTATCATGACTTGTCTGGCACCCAGCCTTTCAGCTGAATCCTCTGGGTTCTTCCGTGAAGACTCTTCAGGAAAGGGTCTGCTCCTGACGAGGAGAACCAACTGACCATTTCTTTCTTTCTAGAATGCTGGGGTTGGATCTGGTCGTGCGGGACGACAACGGGAACATCTTGGACCCAGATGAAACCAGCACCATCGCCCTCTTCAAGGCCCATGAAGTGGCCTCGAAGAGGATTGAGGAAAAGATTCAAGAAGAGAAGGTGAGCTTCCTCAAATGTGCAGACTTTGGCCACAGAGGTTCCATTTTTGCTTTTTTTTTTTTTTTGGCGGTACGCGGGCCTCTCACTGTTGTGGCCTCTCCCGTTGCGGAGCACGGGCTCCGGACGCGCAGGCTCAGCGGCCACGGCTCACGGGCCCAGCCGCCCCGCGGCATGTGGGATCTTCCCGGACCGGGGCACAAACCCGTGTCCCCTGCATCGGCAGGCGGACTCTCAACCACTGCGCCGCCAGGGAAGCCCTTTGCTTTTGTTTTTAATGAAGGAAAAGGAGTTAAGACAACAGAGGTGGAAATGTTGTTTAGAAAATCATTCATTTCCTCATTTTAGAAGCAGAATGTTACAAAAAGAGCAAGGCAGTTTTGTATATTCTGACCTGGGAAGATTGCAAAGATAATGTATTAAGCAGAAAAGAGCAAGATGCAGAACCGTGTGTATAAAAGACTATTATTTGTGTTTCAAAAAAGAATATACATACATCTGTGCTTGCCTATGTGCAGACTAACTCTGTAGTGATAGACAAGAAACTGACAATTAATGGATGCCTCTGAGAAGGAGAACTGGGTGGGAGAAAAGCCTCTTGACTCTGTAAACTTCTGTATTTAGTACATAGATCATGATTTCCAAAATAAGTAAAATAATATTTACAAATAAAGTGTTTGAAAGATTTTAAAAATGGTAATTGGACAATAAATAAAAATTCAAAAGGTATAGAAAAAGAGAAAAAGAAAAAAGTCACCTATATTATGACTGCCCAAACATACTGATGTTGAGGTATATATTCTTCCAGTCTTTCTGTTCTAATGAGTAGAGGTTTCTCTTTATTTCGTTTAGTTTGTAGGTTTTATTTCTTCACAGTTGTAATAATATTTCGTTGTGTTTCTGGATCTAATGGCTAATCATGCCTGAAGGTGGACCTGTCCAGTGGAATCTCTTATTTGCAATGAGAGTTGTTCCCCAAAAGAAGGATAATGAATCGTGATGTTTATGCTTTTGAGGTTTACCCAGAAATTGTCGTGAGAGATGAGAACTTCTTAAAGCTGCTAAAACCCTGAGTTATCATAAACTTTAGATATTTGTTCTCTAGACAGCATTTATTGAATTACTTGGGTTCAAGGCGCTTCACAGGACTGCCTTGATCACCTAAATAATAATGGTTCTGTTTTTCTCACTTGATCACTTCTCCACTTACACACACTTTCTTCTCAGTAAGTGCTTCTCTCCGGTGGTCATTATATTTGGCTCCCGTTTGCAGGCCAGAGTCTTTGCTAGCGTTTCCCACTTGCTGAAACCAAGATGCTTTTCTATCTTGTCCTCTGTGTTCAGTCAATCCTGCAGAATCTGGACTTGCGGGGCCAGTCCATCTTCAGTGCCGTGCATACCTACGGCCTCTATGTGAACTTCAAGAACTTTGTCTGCAACATTGGGGAAGATGCAGAGTTGTTCATGGCCCTCTACGACCCGGACCAGTCCACGTTCATCAGGTAGTAGAGACTCAGGTCATCTTCCGTCAACCTTGCAAAAATACCCAGTCTTCACCTATCTCCTCCCTGAGGATTTCTTTGCTGGGTTTGAGAGGGGAAGATGGAGAAGAAGGGGAGGATTTCTAGGCAGTAGAAAATAAAACCCTTTGGGTCGCTAAGCCATTCTGAATAGCTGCTGAAACAGTGCGGTAGTAACAGTTTGTGTACTCCCTGGGTCTTAGAAATCACAGCAAACTCATCCGAACATGGTGACAGGAACAGAGAATTCAAAGGAGTATAAGAGAGGGGTGAGGGAGGGATGACTCGGCAGAGCACTGAGAATTTTAGAGCAGTGAAACTATCCTCTATGATACTGTCATGGTGAGTGTGTGTCATTACACATTTTTCCAAACCCATAGAGTGTCCAACACTAAGAGTGACCCCTAATGTAAACTGTGGACTCGGGGTAATAATGACCTCTCAGTGTAGGTTCAATGATTATAACAATGATTGTACCATTCTGCTGGGGGTTGTTGATAAAGGGTGGGGGCTGGGCATGGAGGGGGGCCTAGGGGAAATCTGTACCTTCGGCTCAGCTTTGCTGTGAACCCAATACTGCTGTAAATTAAAGCCTTCAGCGGATGGTAATAGGCTTTGTTCAACCCTACAGTCATGCTGCCGCTGAGCAGCTAAGAAAACAGGTTTATTCTTGAGAAGATGGTTAAAAGTAATTACTGACAAATTATTTATTGTTTTTTAAAATACATTTTTAAATTAATTATTAATTAATTAATTTTTGGCTGCGTTGGGTCTTCGTTGCTGCGCACGGGTTTTCTCTAGTTGCGGCGAGCGGGAGCTACTCTTCGTTGCAGTGTGCGGGCTTCTCATCGTGGTGGCTTCTCTTGTTGCGGAGCACGGGCTCTAGGCACATGGGCTTCAGTAGTTGTGGCTCGCGGGCTCAGTAGTTGTGGCTCGCGGGCTGTAGAGCGGAGGCTCAGTAGCTGTGGTGCTCGGGCTTAGTTGCTCCGTGGCATGTGGGGTCTTCCCGGACCAGGGCTCGAACCCGTGTCCCCTGCATTGGCAGGTGGATTCTTAACCACTGCGCCACCAGGAAAGCCCCAAAATTGTTTGTATCTAAAATAGAAAGCTTATTGCAGTGTGGTGGATTCCAGGGGATGTACTTGGAATGGTTCTTATAATATTATGTTCCTGATTCAGCAAAACTGAAACTTTCATACAAAGAATTTGAGATGGAACATAGACCCCAGATAGAATCTGGTAGAATCTACTGTGTCTGTGCCCGTCTTGAGCAGTGCTTGTCATGGGGCCGTACTGGGTGTACCTCAGAGAGCCAGGCTACAGCCAGGAGACCAGAGGCCGGTCATTGGTGTGGTCTCAGACCTGCTTGGTGAACTTTACTGGGCTCTTCTGGGCCACCTTTCGACCCTATTAAGTCTATACTGAGAGCAGCTTCCTCCCCGTTTAGGTGCTCATTGAGATTTTTTTTTTCCCCCTTCATCAGTGAAAACTACCTAATTCGTTGGGGCAGCAATGGAATGCCCAAGGAGATCGAGAAGCTTAATAACCTTCAAGCGGTCTTTACTGTAAGTCCTACCTATGTTTAACCCTTTCCTTTGTTTGTGATCTTCACAGGTGCACGTGACAGGTATATGGAAAATTTAAAAACGGACACATGAAAATAACAATCAGCATGATCCCTCTAGCAGGACTGACCCACTCATTTATTCAACAAATATTTATTGAGCACCTGTCAGAGGCCAGGCACTTGAGATACATCAGTGAACACATCCGATAATGTCCTGGTTCTCAAGGAGCTTTTTGTCCTAATGGGGAAGTCAGTAATAAACAGTAATTAGATAGATGAGGATTTGTATAGAATGTTAGAGGTCGTGAGTGCCTTGGGGGGATTGGGAGTTTCTGGGCTGGGGGAGGGTTGCTGTCTTAAACAGGTGGGTGAGGGCAGACCTTTCAGCAAGAACTTCCAGTTGATGAGGGGGTGAGCTGTGCAGATAAAGGGGGGAACCTTCCAGAGCCACGTTACAGTCGGGGCAAAGACTGGACTAGACTTTTCTGTTGGATTATATGTTAATGGACTTTTCGCTCTCTGTCTCCACTTCCCCGAGGCAGGAGGTGCTGCTGTAAATGGATCAAGAGCCAGGAGATGTACTGGGCTAGAGCCTTGGGCCTGGTGACTCTCCTTTTCGTGGGCTAGGAACTTCCTTGGGATTCTCTCCCCTTTTTTGGACATCAGTGCTTGAAATGCCCTGGAGCTGCTGCCACCTGCTCTGAGCAGCCTTGGTGGGCAGGTTTTCCAGCTCCCATTAAGCCTAAAAGAGATACTGGCTTCCTTTTCTCACTTTTTCCCTTAAGCCACACCGATATTTTGTCTGCTTTTTCTCTTACCACTCTTACAGTCAGGAAAACAGAGTCTAAGGTCAAGCACCAAAGGAAGTGATAGGAAGGCGCATTGGTCCCTGCTTCCTTCCTTCCATCCTTCCTTCCTTCCTTCCTGCCTTCCTTCCTGCCTTCCTTCCTTCATTCCTGCCTTCCTTCTTTCATTCCTTCCTTCCTGCCTTCCTTCCTTCCTTCCTTCCTTCCTTCCTTCTTTCCTTCCTGCCTGCCTTCCTGCCTTCCTTCCTGCCTTCCTGCCTTCCTGCCTTCCTTCCTGCCTGCCTGCCTGCCTTCCTTCCTTCCTGCCTTCCTTCCTTCCTTCCTGCCTGCCTTCCTTCCTTCCTGCCTCCCTCCCTCCCTTCCTGCCTTCCTTCCTTCCTGCCTGCCTTCCTTCCTTCCTTCCTTCCTGCCTTCCTTCCTTCCTGCCTTCCTTCCTTCCTTCCTTCCATCCTGCCTTCCTGCCTTCCTTCCATCCTGCCTTCCTGCCTTCCTGCCTGCCTTCCTTCCTTCCTTCCTGCCTTCCTTCCTTCCTGCCTGCCTGCCTTCCTTCCTGCCTGCCTGCTTGCCTTCCCTCCTGCCTTCCTGCCTGCCTGCCTTCCTGCCTTCCTTCCTTCCTTCCTTCCTTCCTTCCTTCCTTCCTTCCTGCCTTCCTGCCTTCCATCCTGCCTTCCTCCTTCCTTCCTGCCTTCCTTCCTGCCTTCCCACCTTCCTTCCTTCTCACCTGCCTTCCTTCCCTTCTGCCTTCCTGCCTGCCTTCCTTCCTTCCTTCCTTCCTTCCCGCCTGCCTTCCTTCCTGCCTGCCTTCCTTCCTGCCTGCCTTCATTTCTGCTTATTATTGTTCATTCCATCTATTAACCTCCTACCCCTATGACGAAAGTGGTGTATTACTATCCCTGTACTGACCCATCCACATCTTCATCACCTAGTAAACACCGACAAAAAAGAGCTTAGAACTCTTCCCAAAACCTCTCCCCAACACGCAGAGTATTTCCTCAATTCTGAGATATGTGAAACGCCTGAAATTAAAAGGCGTTTATCAGTCAATGCGTACATTATTTAAAAAACAACAACAACAACACATTAAAAAGGTGTTGTTGAATCATTGGTCCATCTTCTAATCAATACCATTTCAGAATAGTTGCAATTCACCCCCTCCTCTCCTCCCCCCACCAATTAGGCTCCTCCTATATGCAAATTTCATGTCCAACTTTTTCAATGAAATAAAATGTGGTGACCGATTCTTTGGTCATTGAATATTCTACAGAAACTTCATTTATACATGATTGTATATTATTAAATAATATCAGTGTGCCCCAGTTTATGTAACCAGTCACTTAAAGTCTTTATGTTTCTATTAATAGAAACTTCACAAAACCTAGAGTAGAAATTCAAGGTGAATATCGTCATCGGTATATATTCCTATCTTGGAGACCTGAGTTAATTTGATTATAGTGGATAGATATGGATCGATTGTTTAAAAAGTAATTCTTGATTCAATAAAGAGGCCTTGGATAGCCGTTTCATGAAAAGAATTTGAGATACAGTTAAATCATTTCTGGTATTAAAGCAAATGAGATATTTGAGCTCTTTTGTGGGTTTACTCACCCATCCTTAGGAATACAAACAAGCATAGAGCATGAGCCCCAAAAAGACAGACATTTCATCGCCACGTTTCTCATTAGTCAACACACACCCAGAAGCTCTCGATGTATATCTCTCATAAAACAGATGAATAATTGCAGAAAGCAATGCATGTAAATTTCTGTGTCATAGTTGCCTCACAGGATTATTTGGAAGGTGAAATGAAATATCACCAGCATGTGTAGATACCCAGTAAATGTCAATGTCTTGTAAGTTTTAATTTCGTTTGACACTGAAACGCGTCTGGTGCTCAGATATGCCCTGGCCAGGATATAAAGTAACAATGACAAGGGATCCCATTTTTACATACCCTGCGTAAACTGGAGACTTGAGATTGAATACAGTCTGATTTATAAATTTGAAGTAGGAGCTGGGGAATTTTTAAAAATTCTTTTTTTGAATACAGTCATTTTTCTCTGATGCTATGATAGTTCTTGGGTGGATAGGGGGAAGAGAGGAGTCCTTCTGATATTTCAGCATTAGGAAGTATGCTCTGAACGGTGTTCTATTGTAGAGTGAAAAGAAAAGAGAAATGAATGTGACAGGGTGATGTAGGGTGACATCCTTTTCTGTTCTCTCTGCCCCTGTAGGACCTCAGTAGCACAGACCTCATCCGGCCCCGCATCAGCCTCGTGTGCCAAATTGTCCGGGTTGGCCACATGGAGCTGAAGGAGGGCAAAAAGCACACATGTGGACTCCGGAGACCCTTTGGAGTGGCAGGTACAGAAAGAACCTGAGATGGATGTAAGATGGTATGGCCACTGGGAAAACAGTATGGTGGGGCCTCAAAAAATTAGATTAGGATCCAGCAATCTCACTTCTGTATCCCCAAACGAATTAAAAGCAGGGTCTCAAAGAGATATTGTCACAGTCATGTTTACCACAGCGTTGTTCACAATAGCCAAAGCAGCCCAGCTGTCTGTTGATGGATGAATGGATAGGCAAAATGGTCTTTCCATACAGTGGAATGTCATTCAGCCTCAAGCAGCCCGTGTCCCCTGCATTGGCAGGCGGATTCTCAACCACTGCGTCGCCAGGGAAGTCCAATGTGAATGTTTTTAATGCCACTTTGAGCTGTACATTTAAAAATGGTCAAAATGGCAAATTTCATGTTATGTATATTTTTCCACAATAAAAAAAATTAAAAGAAATACAGAGAAGAGGGAGGAAGGAGAGAGGAGACTCAGAGACAGTGCAAGATGAATTTGGTTGTTAGTGTTAGTATCAGGCACACCACGTTTACTGCCTAAAACTGCCAGGTAGCTTTTTGTGGGTTCTATGTCCTCACCTAGATGCCCCTCCTTTGTTTCTCCCTCACTGCCCAGCACTGTGTCTTGTACACAGCAGGGCCCTCTCAGTAAAGCCTCTGTGTGACTGTTGTAATTTTCCCTGACTGCGGCTGCGTATTGATTTTAATTGAATAAAATTCTCCTGGGAAAGTGGTTTGTATGTCTAGGAAATTGGCTCTTCCAAGGTAACATTGCTTTCAAAGAGCGTCCTTGGCTTAAATCAAACTCCATAACCTTCCAGGAGGCCCTCCATTTTCCTCTGTAGTTTGTTAAATGGAGGAAATATATTTTTGGTATTGCACCGACACTTTGGTCCCTAAGTAGTTTTGAAAGCCATCAATTCTGCCCCTGGAACGAGGGCCCAGAAACTGCACGTTTTCAGGGTTGACCTGTGGGTTACGTGGCTGGTGAGGCAGCCTTTGTACCCCAGGAGGCTGTGTGCCTCATGCATCCCTTGAACGGCCTTGCACTGCACCTGCTCTCAAGGTTGGCCAGGCTCTGTCTAGAGGGGACAGCACTACTTCCTGATAGTGAATTGAAATAAAAGCCCAGAAAAGGCAAGGAACCCTGGCCCAGGACTGCTTAGCCATCTATACGGCAGTCTATTCTTTCATAAAAGATTTCAGGAATATTCAAGGTCGTTGTCTTTCAAACTGGGCCATAGAGATTCAAACGTCAAGCTCAAGGCTTTTATTTGCTCTTCCATTTCAGGGTGTATGTGTGTTCATTCAGGGCGTGGAGATTCATTTACTTTGAGCCTTGATGCCAAGCACCAGAAATTAGGAGTAACTAGATGATGTCATTCACAAATGAACTGCCTATTTGGGGGTTCAAATACAAATTCTCCAGCGTGCGCGCGCGCGCGTGCGTGTGCACACGCACGGGTGCATGCAGTTTTCAGGGGTCTATTAAGGGCTGATAGCAAGTTGATGTCATGCCCTGCTTTCTACAGCTTCCTTTCACTAACTATTCATTCCCAAGCCTTATGCACTATATGTTCGGGTTGATTTCAGAAAGCATTTCCTCTCTTGTCTTTAGTTTTTCTAGTGATTATTGTCTCATATCTCAGTATTTCTTTTAATCGCCAAACGGATTACCTGTGGTGTGGATCGTTAGTGTGTGTTTTGTGGCTAGATTGTAATTTATTAACCAAGGAATGGCTTCTTGCCATGGCCCCTGCCTAACCTCAGCAGCTGTAGAGTGAATGGCCCACTTATTAGTTCTTTACCACTTAAACTTCTGACCTAGGGAAAATTACCTACCTTTCCTGTAGTCAGTTTCCTCATCTCTTAAAGTAGGACTAATATTAATATTTGTATAAATAAGATAATCCATGCAGTAGGGTTACAACAGCGCTTCCTTAATAGCTCCTACCGGGCATCAAAGACCAAATCACTATATGGTCTTCTAGTCTGTGCTGTTAGTGCCCTGGTGCCCTTCATTTATGTGGAAACCAGGTGAGAAAATGTCAAATCCGAGGGATGGTGGACCACTGCAAGTCTTGAGTTCCTCTCCCAGGTCTTTTATTGTATTGACACTCCTGCCAAGAAACTCCTGTCTTGGAACGCAGGCTTACTAAAAAGGGTCAGTGTCACGTGACTCAAGAATTCACCAACTTGGTCTAGTAGAATGTTTTAAAGGAGGTCGTCTGCAGGGTTGATCCAAGAATACCCAAGCCCCTGCCTGAGTCCCTGATGAATTGATCTCCTGCTAGGCTGGGGACACTGGGAGCCATCATTGGCAAAGAAATAAAAGAAACATCCCTGCTCGCTCTCGCTCTCTTTCTTCCTCCAGGGTTCTATGTTTGCTGATACTGTAATCTTCCATAGTTCCTCGCTGAGGGCTGAAGCAATTAGTTTCTTTAATTAAGCTTTGTCTTTTTCCTAGTGATGGATATTACCGATATCATACATGGGAAGGTGGATGATGAAGAAAAGCAACATTTTATTCCGTTTCAGCAGTAAGTACTGTGGCATTATCCCAGGTGACTTGAGACCTGGATTAGGCCTTTGGATGGTGTGTTAGAACCAGGTGCTAGGAACCTTTTGCCTAGTTAGAAAAGGAAAGCTCTTAAGCGGGAAGATTGTCAGAGCGGAGCTGACAGAAGACTTTATTCAAAGTCCTTCATGTGGCGCTCCATTAAGAGGGTAACTGAACTTTCCTGATTCTACAGAAATGACCAAAGGAACATAAGGGGCAAACCTACCAGATCATGGTGCCATTTAAATGCCAGAAATGCCAAAGTTTGTCTGTACTTTGTCCTGTGGAACAGGTATCACAGAGGACGAGGAATCGAGTAGAATAGCACAGGGCTTCTCAGACTGTAACCTGCATATGAATTACCTGGGATCTTGTTAGAATGGAAAACACGATCTGGTGGGTCTGGAGTCTGCATCTGACAAGCTTCTAGGTGATGCTGCTACTGCAGGTCTGGGGATCACACTTTGAGTAACAAAGGTTTAGGAGATGCGAGAGTGAAGGGTAGACTAATCCTTGTTTTCCTGCAAGCGGAGGGAAGCCAGCCTGGGAATGCATGGAAGCTTTCCCCGCAGAGCTGCACTCAGCTCCCCATACTGAGTCTCAGGAGCTGGAGCCCCAGGTGGGCCACTGGGGGACGTTGGAGAGCTACTCTCTATCCCCGTAACGCTGAAGGAGCGTACGTGTGAACATCATGACTGGCTCATACTCCAGCAAGCATGCGCCACTGACCTCGCACAGGTGGCTGGGACGTTGCTGGATCTGACTCCTAACAGGGCAGTCGTGTCAGTGATAAGAATTGATTGTCTCGGCCAGTATGCGGCCACCACAACAGATCAATATGACAAACCGAGAATTCCAGAAACCAGCCCAAGGATATTTGAGTTAATATGTGATTTTATTAGTAATAAGTAATATGGTTATATATATATATATATTTTAATTATTTTAAAATAATTTAAAATCAGTGGAGAAAGATAAACTCTGCAAAAGATAGTGTTTGAGAAAATTAGCTAACCGTTTAAGAAACATAAGTTAGATCCTCATCTCCCACCTTATACCACTGTAAATTCCAGATGATAACATATATAAGTGTAAGAGCCAAAAATCTTAAAGTACTATAGGAAAACAAAAGTTTTATACGGTGTGATGTGTGGGAGGCCTTTCTGAGTCAGACACCAAGGATTCCCCTAAAGAAGAAAAATTGATAGGTTTCGCCACACAAAAATTTTAGACAACTTATACATAGAAAAAATTTAATAAACTCTTTGCAATGCCTATGAAAAAGAATAAATATTTCTAAATTGTAAGGAATTAATACAAGTTCATAAGGGAGTAAGAAGGAAACATACACATGCAGAGAAATGGCCTATAAATTCATTGAGAATCAATGAAAGGCAAATGAAACAATGAGGTTTAGTTTTGGGGTTGACGAAGTTTTAAAAATATATGATATCCAGCGTTCAGTGGGTATAAATACTACTTATAAGAATATAAATTGTTATAATGCATTAAAAACCTTAAAATTTAGAAATTTCAAAGAATATTCTCCATAATTAACAGTGATTATTTCTGTTGGTGTAACCCTAGGTGATTTAGCCCCTCTTTTGGTTTAGCTGCTTACTGTTCTTTCTACAATAAATAGGTATTATATGTACTTCTATTTAAAGTCTAAAAATCCTTATCTTTCATTTTAAAGTCCAGCGCTTTTGGATAAGTTTCTAAATATAATAGTATAAATAGTTTGTGCTAAGTCGTACTTCCCTTCTCATCCAGAAGCTGCTATTAATTATTTTTAAAATATGTACTTATCTAGTATCCTACCACCTATGCACTGACCCTCCAAGAATATGGTGAGGTAAATATTTTATGTAGCTTAGTGCTAGCGTGAGTTATGACACAACTTTCAAATTCATGAATGCTGCTCCCAGTGTAAATACGTCTATTTAAGTATAGTAAATAAGTGTGATATATTAAATTAATACATGTAATATATTAAAATATATAATTTTATATTAATGCATTAAATTAAATGATTTCATATATTAAACCAACTATATTACAATATCTTGTGTAAATATAATAAATATTAAAATATATAGCATAAATGTGAATATATAAATACATAAAATATAAATATACTTGTGATAAATATAAATAATTTTCATATCCATGAATGTTGTTTCTATTATATATACATATATTATAATTATGTCCTATGTATATATGTATAATATATGTATATTTTATATGTATATGTGTACCAGGAGCAGCATTCATGGATGTGGGAGTTATATGAAATATTATATAATAATATATATAATATTATATATGTTTCAATATATATGAATTATCGGGGCAGCATTCATGAATATGAAATTTATTCTACTCCATACAAAAAATATTATAAATGTATATAAAATAGGAGCCACATTATGGATGTGAGTTATCTCAAATGTGTTTCTCTGTATTTGTCTCACTTTCTGAGGTGGCTTTCTTCTTTGGTTATGTGCCTCCCCGCTTACTTTCTGAACCAGCTCTTACCTAAGCAGCCGTGCTGAAACTGAGCTTTCAGACTGTCTCCACCGCATAATAATACAAGCTTTGAGTCTCCAAGGAGCCCAGCCCTAATTTGATTACCACTCACTGTGTGGCCAACAGCCACTGCAGCTTTCACGATGCACATCACAGCCTCTGGCATAGAACTCCTAAGATTTATGGCAAATGCTTTCATAACTCACCTCGAAAGCTTTGTAGCGATTATTATATTGGGAGAGTTTTATGCGTGTATCCTGCTAGTCTAAGAGGGAGTCATTTGAAAACAACTCAGACTGTCGCAATCCCACTTTTCAGGAACATATTGCAGAATGCTTCCCCCCTATTGTCAGGGTACAGGTCTGAACCCTGCAGAGAAAGCTGGCCTGTGTGTCGTGGGCAAGAGAAGGAAACCACAGCAGAGAAGACTGGCCACCGTTGTCCCGCGCCCGGCTGATATGTAGTTATTGATAGCGCTTGTGCTTCCCATAGAATGGGGGCTGTGTTTGGCTCTTTGATCCGCCTGTATGAGCCTCAGCCAGATGTGATCTTTAAAGTGGCTCTCGTTTGCTGGTGTCTGTGCCATTGCAACCCTAAACATAGTTCTTCATCATGTGGGGTTCTACGAACACCATCCCGAAGCCGCTGCGTACATACCGCTCTTGTACATTGAGTCTTGTCACTAGATGTGGGCCTTCCAGGCATGTGATCCTGGCCCATTTCCTTACAGATGAGGAAACTGAGGCCCAGAGGGGAGACTCTAGCAGAGCTCACTTGGCAAGTAGAGCCAGGACCCGGAGGCTGGGTCTTCCTGCCCCTTCCTCCGTCCATCTACCATTCCATTCCCGCAGCCTCTCCCACCTTATAAAGTGCATCAAGCATCGCCCCTGGTTTTAGTTGTTAACATTTGACCATCAGTTTTGTTTGTTCTTGGGGTTTATTTATCCCCTCACTCCCCCAAGTCATTTCAAGATGAATTCGGTGTCTAAGATAGGCCCCTGGTGGGAAAATAAAGATGGAAAGTATCCTGTAGTTAGGTTCCTCTACTGTTTATATTTTCAACTGACGCGCATCGGACCCACCACTATCTGAGGCTGTGCTGCAGAGACTTACTCTTTTTTCCTTACCAGTCATTTCTGACTTTCCCAGAATTGCCATGGAAACCTATATCCGGCAGAGGCAGCTAATCATGTCGCCCCTGATAACATCCCATGTGATTGGGGAGAATGAGCCACTCACTTCAGTCTTGAATAAAGTGATAGCAGCCAAGGAAGTGAATCACAAAGGACAAGGTACACAGCCCTATGTACTGAGCTGGGAGGGGACTCTGGCACGGGTGGAGGGGTGGCACTCAGAGCTGAGTCCTTGGACTCTGGCCCTTTCACTATCTTTCTCTGATATAAAACAGACCCTGCTGGGGACTGCCCACCTCAGTTTCCGTCTAAAGGCAGTTAAGACTTAAGAGAGTTGGATCACAGCTGTATTTTGTAAATTCTATAGAACAGATTCTCATCCCATGAGTCTTTCCTCACTTTTGTCTGACCTGTAATCCCCGTGTTGTTTCCACAGGTCAAGGCACAAAGGAAAAGTTTTTTTTTTTAATTTTTTAAAATTAATTTTTATTGGAAATTAAAAACTAAAAAAATTAGTTTTTATAGTTGCTTCACAACGTTGTGTTAGTTTCTGCTGTATAGCAAAGTGAATCAGTTATACGTATACATAGATCCCTTTTTTGGATTTCCTTCCCATTTAGGTCACCGCAGAGCATTGAGTACGGTCCCTTGTGCTATACAGTAGGTTCTCATTAGTTAAGAAAAAGAGTTTTGAGGATAATTATGTTCCACTCTCTGAATATGTTTCTCCCAATACGTTTCCTAAAATTGAGAGGAAGGAGACCAAAGTAATGCAAATGAATATGTATTAATATAAACTAATGGGCTACCTAGCACAACATTTTTAGTTGTTTTTAGTACCTCCATATATCATTTTGTTGACATAGTTTTAACTCAGAGGAGTTCTGCTTATTGAAACTGCATTTTTAACTCAAATAATAAGGGAAAATAGTTTAAAATCTGAAATTCAAATGGTGATGATTTGGGGATAATTTTGAAGATTGAGTCAATTTTTTTTTTTTTTTTTACCACCCTGTAATCATCTTCTGAAGTGGAAGCAATTAGGAAACATTTTCAGGATATTTAATTTGCCATGTGTTCACAGTTATCCTGAGTAGTAAATACATGTGATAAATCATAGAATCCGAAAATAAATAACTAAATGTATTTCTGTTGTTTTGGAACTCCTAACCTAAGGATATAATTTGTTAAAGTGGAAAACCCTTACACTAAGTAGATTGCTGTGTATGTACAATTTTTTTTAACAAAACTGAAAAAAGAATACCATTCCTTCTCCTCCTTCTTAGCAATACACTTTTCAAATGTTTTCGTGCTCTTCATAAATATTTTTTGTGGCTGCGTAATATTCCATTGCTTGGATTTTTTTTTTTTTGAGCATGGAATTCCTAGGTAAGCACTTAAATGCTTTCTATTTTGTTACCATTATAAATTTAAATAACTCTGCTGTGACTATCTTTATATATGAATCTTTTTCCATATTTAGGACTGCCTCCCCAAGAAAATTCCCGGAAGTAGGATTTCTGGGCAACTGATAGGAATGAGCTTAAACCTGGAGATGTACATATTTCCAGAATACTTCCCATAGGTTTCTTCCTGTGGGCACTAATTACCATATGCCCACTTTGCAAACTGACGTTTAAAAATCTTTACCTGTTTGAAAGGTGAAAAGTAGACCACCGTAGCATTTTTAAAAACTACGTGACAGTGAACTGTCTGGCCTTCATATGTATTGATATTTAGGAGTTTTCTAAAGTTTTCCTTCCTTTCTAAAGTTTTTGTGAACTCTTTGTGTAATGAAGATAACAATTTGTCTTACTTAGGACACATACTTTTCAATTTCTGGTTTGCCAAATATTTATAAACCTTTTGTACTTCTTTGTGAATTGTATATTCATGTTCTGTTTATTTGTGAGGATCTGAATGTTCTTCTAATGAGTATGAATTCCTAATTTCTTATAAGTATTTCACCATGCCTTTTATAGGCATATGTAGTATATGGTTTTTGAAGTATACCTTTTACTTTTCATGCATATCACAATTTCAGTTTGTATAGATAATTCTTTTGCTTTTGTGATTTCTTCATTTGTTTCTCTACTTAGAAAAATGGTTCGTACTCAGAGATTTGATAGTGATACACTTATTTTTTCCTTTAATTTCCTGTCTTTTTATCTGTTCACTTTTCTGTTATATCAGGAATTTATTTTAGTGAAAATGTGTCGTGAGAGGTTAGATTGATTCTAAGTAGCTAGAAAATTATCCCAGCACGTTTATAGAATTGTTCCATTTTTCATGATTTGTTATATCTCTTTTGCTGTATGTTTAATTGCTGTATATAATAGTACTTGATTTCATTGTTTCCATTGATTTATATATCTTTTCTACTACTAATACCACTCATTACTATAACTTTACAGTATTTTGATATCTGAGAGGGGCTATCTTTATTTTTTTTTCCCCAAAGTAAACATCCATTCACATTTCTGTCAAATTCTCAAAGAAATCTTACTGTGATTTTTTTTTTTTTTTGCGGTATGCGGGCCTCTCACTGTTATGGCCTCTCCCGTTGCGGAGCACAGGCTCCGGTTGCGCAGGCTCAGCGGCCATGGCTCACGGGCCCAGCCACTCCGCGGCACGTGGGATCCTCCCAGACCGGGGCACGAACCCGTGTCCCCTGCATCGGCAGGCGGACCCTCAGCCACTGTGCCACCAGAGAAGCCCCCTTACTGTGATTTTGTTGGGAGTATCATTAAAATTCTAAGTTAACTAGGGGAGAATTTACATCTTTATAATAATGTGTTTTTGTATCAACACCACACATATATTTTTCTCAGCGTTTGTGTGTGTTTATTATATGGATCATAACAAAGAGCTAAAAGTTTATCTTTTCTTTCTTTAAAGGACTTTGGGTGTCCTTGAAGCTCCTGCCGGGGGACCTCACACAGGTTCAGAAAAACTTTTCACACTTGGTGGATAGATCCACAGCAATCGCCCGGAAAATGGGCTTTCCTGAAATAATCCTTCCAGGTAAACACTTTGCTTGATTCACCTGTTCTGCGTCCTCTAGGACTTTGTTCCATGCAGCCATCACTTCTAATGGGACTCTTGAGGCAACATGGATCCATAAGATTTCATTATTTGCATTCAGTGATATTGAGACGGTGGGAGATAGAGACGGGGTTGCAGTACCTTAGAAAACTACACAGTGTGCAAGCCTAAGAGAACGCTTTTAAATGTACTCAGAAATTTCTCTTTGCTCTCTCTTTATGTTCTGCACAAGCCCCTCTGAAATACTTCCTAGACCATCCATTAAGTAGCGCTAAATAGCACAGCTTCTCTGTCCTGGGAATAATTTGCTTCATCTGCACGTACCTCTTCTCATGACGACATCACCAGCACCGTGAGCTCCTTGCCAGGAAATTCCAGCGATGTGCCCACTCCGCTCAGACTCAGCTGGACCTTCTGCTCCAGTGGCTTAAGCTCCAACTATGTTCTCGGCTCTCCCCATACTTGTGGTGACAAGAATGTAAACATTCTGCAGTTTCCTACTTCAGTTTCATCTTTTTTTGCCACCGCGTGTTGATAATCTGCATAGGTGTTCTTGTGAATTCACTGATTTAACCCATTTACTTTCTTTTTTTTTTTTTAATAAGTTTATTTTATTTATTTTTGGCTGTGTTGGGTCTCCGTTGCTGCGCGAGGGCTTTCTCTAGTTGCTGCCGGCGGGGGCTACTCTTCGTTGCGGTGCGCGGGCTTCTCATTGCGGTGGCTACTCTTGCTGCAGAGCATGGGCTCTAGAGTGCAGGCTCAGTAGTTGTGGCGCACAGGCTTAGTTGCTCCGCAGCATGTGGGCTCTTCCAGGACCAGGGATCGAACCCGTGTCCCTTGCATTGGCAGGTGGATTCCTAACCACTGTGCCACCGGGGAAGCCCCCATTTACTTTCTTGATTGTTATAGTGGTAAAAGGATATCATCCCCTCGAGGAACCTTACATATGTGTATTATATAAAATATATGTGTTATAACTATTAAAATATAAGTATGTTGTATATTTGATAGATAGGAAGAAAGAATATATGAATAAACAATCTTTGGCATGTTAGAAAAATTCTCAAAAACCAAGCTGTTTATTGCATAAAAATTCAGGTTCTTTTAAACTAATACAAGATCTTGTTTCTCCTTTGGGAAATTAAGGAGCAGTAATAATTTGATGCCTCACACATTTCTGTACATGGTGGGTATTAAAAGTATATTTGTGGAATGAATGAAAGGGTTCTAAAATTGAGATTATCATTTTCTTCTTTTCTCATGAAAAGTAGTTTTTCATCTGCCTACTTCATCCCTTCCAGGGCCATTTCACCCTAATACATATTCATCAACATTCTAGGAAAATGTTTTGTCTTCTTGTTGTTTATAAAAATAAGTATTGATACTCTTCCTATAACTGAAGGCAGTTTTATTGCTACAGCAAGACCGAAATCTGAAAAACAAAAATAGAGAAGTTTATCTTTTGGACAAAGTGCATTTATCTTGGAAATCTGGCTTGGAAAGATGCTTTCTATTCAGTAGTATTGGTTCATAAACTTCCAGGGCTATAACAGACTTTAAAAATCATCTCGAATGATGGTTCCCAAATATGCTAGTCTTTGGATCAGCCAATCAGGATCACCTGGGAAATATGAAGATACCGATTCCCAGATTTTTCCAGAGACTCTGATGCAGTTTGTATGACCGGGGCTCTGCGGGGGATTCCGGTAATCGGCCAGGTTTGAGGAATAGAAGATCTGGGCTCACATCCCTCAGCTGGGCTCCCTCTCATCATCATTGAAACAGGCTGCAGATTCATCTTAAACTTCTCCCTCTCCTGCACTTGCTCCTGTAGCTAAATTCTTGGAAGAGATTATGTACTCTCTGTTTCCTCACCTGCCAGTCTCCCTCTATCCTGTCTGGAATGGCTGTCACTAGTCACCAAAGATTACAGTGGCACCAAGTCCACTGATATTTTTAGCGTAATGGTCGCCTCAGGCCAGTATGTGACCAGGTTGACCACTCCCTCCGTGAAATGTTCCCCCTCGCTGTCTGTGATCCCACACACTCCTCTTTTTCTCCATCCCCCTGAGGCCTCTCCCAGGAATCCTTTGCCACCTGAGCATCTTCAACCTCACCTTTAAATGTTGGAGTTCCTCAGTCTTTGGTCCTTATGCCCTGTCTTAGTTTGCTTGAGCTACCATAACAAAATACTACGGGCCGTGTGGCTTAAACGACGGAAGTTTGTTTTCTCACAGTTCCGGATGCTGGAAGTCCAAGATCAATGTATCTGTAGGGTTGTTTCTTCTGAATCCTCTCTCCTTGGTTTGCAGGTGGCCCCCTTCTCACTGTGTCCTCACACCGTCACCCCTCAGTCTGTGTGTCTGTGTCCCAATCTTTTCTTATAAGGACACGAGTCATATTGGATTAGGACCCGCCATATGACCTCATTTGACCTTATTCACCTCTTTAACATATGAATTTGGGGGGAGGGGCGCAATTCAATCTGTAACAGGACCCTTTTCTTCTCCCCTCTGTTCCCTCCCTTGGTGGATCTCATCCACTCATTTTGCTTCTGTGTGTTAGTTGCCTCCAAATCCAAATCTGTAGGCCCAAGACCCTTCCTTTGAACTCCACAACCATCCATCCAACTGCTTCCTGCCTCAGGACTTGAGTGGGTCCTCTTCCCATTGGATCACTCTTCTCCTTGTTTATTTCTTACTCAAAATCCGCATTTGGAACTTGTCATCCTGGGCATCTAGACCTGACTCTTCTGTTGTGTTTTATCTAAGAGAACAGCCCCTCATCCATCCAGCTGCACAAACACGAAGGCTGAAGATCACCCTTGACACTCCTTTCCTTTACATCTCACACAAAATTAATGGAGGAGACCTGCCAGTTTTCCCTTTCAAAGGCTTCTCAATGCCACCCCCTTCCCTCCATCCTGTTACCGCTACCCAACTTCTAGCTACTGTCATCAATTCCCTGGACAAGTGCCAGCACTTCCTAACTGTTTCTCCTGTTTCTGCTCTTTCTGCCTCATTCTCCACACTATAGCATGAATGATCTTTTATAAATGCCTATCTGATTTCGTCCCACTCCCTCCTTGCTGAAAACATGACTTCTGTCTATATTTAGGATGAAGGTATAAATTCTTCACTTGGCCTGCAGGCCTCAGGGAGACTTGTCTTATGCCTGTCTCTCGCCTCATCTCACCACAGCTTTCCCCTCACTTGAAGACTTCCATCATATATCTACTACCTCCGGGCCTTTGCACATGCTATTCTCTCTCCCTCTTCCTCCCATGCCTCCAGTATCAGCTCAAAGGAGAGATTCCCACACCTTCCAAACAAGGTTGGGATTTAGTGTGATGCTTTCACCGAGCCCGGCCTTTCCCTTCTTTTGTAATGATGCATTTCATCTTGTCTGAGAATGCTTCTCTTGCCCACCAGACTTACAGCTGCATGAGAGCAAGGCTGGTGCATGGCTTACTGTCGTTTCCCAAACACCTAGCACAGTGCTTGGTACAGAGTAGGTGCTCAGTCCATTTTTTAAGTGAGTAAATCAATATTATTTCATTTTATTGTGCCATAATTTATTCAGCTGTTTCTGTGGTTGGAAATTGAGGGTGATTCCAAGTTTTCACATTCACAAACAATATCACAGTGAATATCCCTGTGGATAAATCATTGCTCGTGTTTTTTTTATTGCAATATAGTTAATGTACAATCTTAGGTAAGTTTCATGTGCACAACAGTGATTCACAATTTTTACAGGTTATATTCCATTTATAGTTAGTATAAAATATTGGCTATAGTCCCTGTGCTGTACAGTATATCCTTGTAGCTTATTTTATACATAGTTGTTTGTACCTCTTCCTCCCCTACCCCTATCTTGCCCCTCCCCTCTTCCCTCTGCCCACCGGTAACCACTAGCTTTTCTCTATATCTGTGAGGCTGTGTCTTTTTTGTTATATTCACTAGTTTGTTTTAATTTTTAGATTCCACATACAAGTGATATACAGTATTTGTCTCTCTCTGTCTGGCTTATTTCACCAATACCCTCCAAGTCCATCCATGTCGGTGCAAATGGCAAAATTTTATTCTTTTTTTCTGGCTGAGTAGTATTCCATTGTGTGTGTGTGTGTACACACACCACATCTTCTTTATCCATTCATCTGCTGATAGACACTAAACTGTATTCCAAAGACACTGTGGTATATATAGAGAGGTAGAATGAGGTAAGCTACAGGGAACAATACACATAGAAACTTCTGCTGTATGAATAGTTTATTACCAAGTCAGAACATTTTATATTTTACTTATAATTTGCATCTTATTACATCCTGAGATTTAAAAATGACTCCACACAGCACCACTCACAGGCTGGGTTGTCGTGTTGCAGGAGATGTTCGGAATGATATTTACGTCACCCTGATCCATGGGGAGTTTGACAAAGGGAAAAAGAAGACACCGAAGAACGTGGAGGTGACCATGTCTGTGTATGATGAGGAGGGCAGGCTCTTGGAGGTACGTGGTGTCCCCAGCAGTCCCGCTGCCATCACACGCTCCTTTATAACAACAGGACTTGGCGCATGATGTTAATTGTTCTCCACTGTAGAGCACATTTGGTGTTTCACAAGGAAAGAATAGGAAACCTGTTAAGTTTGTGATTAGCAATCACCAATTGTAGTAATAAATTCATGTAGACTCTTGTTTTCATGATTTCTCCTGTGCTGAGAAAGACCTTAAGCCACCAGGGATTTCAGGTGTACACTTCCGATGCAGAGATTCTGTATCATTTTCAAGTTCTTTAGCCACTTTCAAGACTGACAAGGTCCTCCGGGGCTGGCATGGTGTGGCATTCCTGCCCAGGTCATGTGGAGGACACACGCCCTCCCCCTGGGTGAGCTAAACCAGCGGAGATGCGCCTGTTAGAGCTGTTACACCAGAAAGGCTCTTGGTTCGAGGTCAACTACCACGCTCTTCAGTTTTGGGAATCGGGAAACTGCAGCCCAGAAAGGATAAGCTATTTTCTCAGGGAAGCACAGGACTTAGTGGTGGCACTGGGAATGGGCACAGGTGTCCTGCCTTCCAGTCCACTGTTCCTCCAACAGAAGTGACTCTTCATTCTGACATCAAGGAGAAGGAGAGGCAGGGGGAGGCTTTCATTGTCCCAGCTGACATCTGGCTCCTCTTGTATGAGCCATACTTACCTGCTTCGGAATGCACTCCATTCACTGAGTCCCTCACGGCGGGGGCACAGCCGAGTACACAACCCCTGCACTTCCCCATGGATATGATCATCTCCCAAGGAATCAGTTGACTAAGTTGTCTTCTGCATAGAGGGATAAGCAGGATGCTGTGGGCCACGGTACGGGACTGATTTCTTTGTGCTGTTGAGAGTCCTTTTGCCCTAGGAGTTCAAGTACACATCTTCACGGCTCTGCTTACTAGCTTGGAAGTGCCCCCATGGAGGCCTGATGCTACTGAACTAAGTGGTTCATTTCTAGGAAGAGACACAACCCTAAGTTCTAGTGAACATGCCACACCTACACCAGGTCCTTAAAGCAGAGTATAGACAGGACCTCACACAGCAGTGTGTCTGCACACATGCTGGAGCTCCCGGTCACCCTCTCGAGGCCTCTGTTCCCTGAGAGAGGAAAGAAGAAAGAAAGAAAGGACAGTGTATGGCTGGAATGGAAGAGAGAAGAAAAGTTCCAGCAAAGGGGAATGTTAAGCTTGTGCTGGGTGCCTTAGCTACTACACACTGAGACACTTGGACCCTCAAAGTGCTAGAAACTCGTTCTTTTTTTTTAATTATTTTTTTTATTGAAGTGTAGTTGATTTACAACGTTGTGTTAGTTTCAGGCATACAACAAAGTGGTTCCGTTATCCATCCATCTATCTATCTATCTATATTATTTTTCAGATTCTTTTTCATTATCAGTTATTACAAGATATTGAATATAGTTCCTTGTGCTATACAGTAGGTCCTTGTTGTGTATCTATTTTATATATAGTAGTGTGTATATGTCAATGCCAACTTCCTAATTATCCCTCCCCGCTACCTTTCTCCTTTGGTAACCATAAGTTTGTTTTCTATGTCTGTGAGTCTTTCTGTTTTGTAAATAGAAATGTTTTGTACATTTGTATCATTTTCTTTAAGGTTCCACATGCAAGTGATATCATATGATGTTTGTCTTTCTCTTTCTGACTTACTTCACTTAGTATGGTAATCTCTAGGTCCATCCATGTGGCTACAGATGGCATTATTTCATTCGTTTTTTTATAGCTGAGTAGTATCCCATTGTGTGTATATATATACCATATTTTCTTGGAAACTCATTCTCGCTCTACTGTTCACCCCGTAATCAGCTTATGTATGCCAGTGTAAGGCATGTGCTGGCCATGTGGAATACCCTTAGTGTTCTAGATATTACTACCCCCTCCTAATTTTTTCTTTCCATCTGAAGAAAGCAATTCATCCTGGTGCTGGATACGAAGGCATTTCCGAGTACAAATCAGTGGTCTATTACCAAGTCAAGCAGCCCTGTTGGTATGAGACTGTCAAGGTGAGAATGTATCATCAGTAACCCCTATCATATATGAAACCTCGTTTAGATTCCTTTCTTCTTTTTACCCACAAATCGCTCCTCCTTTATCCTGAAGTTTTAGATAGGTTGCCTGTGGTGTGCAATCAGAAATGAATTGATCATCGTAGCTCTGCAGAAGCTCATTTCTCTTTCGTAAACTTCAGAAACCTTAAGTAACATTCTCTTTCGTAAACGTGTTGAAATTGGAAGAGAGAAACTTGATGTTGTAATGATGTAAGAGGCTGCCAAGATGGTCCAGAACCAACTGGAAATTTTCACACTGTGCAAGCAGTTTCCTAACATTTCTTTCCTTCTTGGCCTGTAACCAAGTTAGCTGGGCTTCTTTTCAATTTAAATATGTGTCTTACAAATTCCAAAGTGCTCTTGAGATCAGTCCGCTCGCGTGAGCCTCACGGTAGCTCTGCGACAAACGGTCCGAGTTGCAGCAGCTCATTTTCTGATGACGTAACTGACACTCAGAAAAGTGAAGTGACCAAGTTCCTCTAGCTGCTCGTGTCGGAGCCTAAACTGGATTCCACTTCTTCTGAGCCCCAGACTCCATCAACTCTTTCCTTTTTTGTTGTTCTGGTTTTTTACTGAAGTATAGTTGATTTACAGTGTTGTGTTAATTTCTGCTGTATAGCAAAGCGATTCAGTTATACATATATATACATTCTTTTTTATATTCTTTTCCATTATGGTTGACTTCGGGGTATTGAATGTAGTTCTCTGTGCTCTACAATAGGACCTTGTTCTTTATCCACGTCGGCCTTTTCTGATTGTCAAGGTTTTATGAGCTCTCCGTAGAAAACTAAAAAAAAAGTTGCATTAATATCTTAATTCAGAAGTAACCATTTTCCACAATTTTATATACTTCATAGGATTTGGATCATGACATTCATACAAATTTATATTGTGCCTTTTCAAACTCTCTTGAGGCATTAAAAAGCCTTCAGAAGTATATTTTTAGATTCTTGCATAATATTCCATTATATAACCATGCCATAATTTATTTAACTATTTGCTACAAATTCTCTGCTCTGTACATTGCTCCATGCCTCTGTTTCCCCTGTCTCTTCTGTATATGTAAGCAGCAAAAAAAAAAAAAAACAAAAAACTTCCTTGTCCCCAGTATTTTATCTTTTCCTTCTATTATAGGCCCTAACTATTAACATATACATGTACACCTTGCATTCTTGCACACAGACCTGAAAGTACTGATCTTTTCCCCCTGAAGTATCTCCTGCTTCACACTTGAGAAAGCACTAGAAATTTGTAATATCTCCGTTTTCAGAATCTATGATAAACAGCCAAGATGATCTTCTCTTGAGATTCTTTTGGTTGAAAAATAGCTAAATCTCCTTCGAATGAAACCCTACACCAAATCTAACTCTATAGGAATTACTCCTGTGATCAGATACTAAAATGTGCCTCATTTTATAAAACGAGCTATGAGTGCAGGGGACTGTATTGATATTCCTCATTATTGTGCAGGTATCCATTGCTATAGAAGAAGTTGCTCGCTGCCATATAAGATTTACCTTCCGACACCGGTCATCTCAGGAATGTGAGTATTAGGAGGTTGACGACACGTTTCAATCAAAACAGTGTTTACTCTTGCTTGACAGTGCTTTTGTGGGTCTGTAGAATGAGATACTTGGCATCTTTATTTCAAGATTCAGTGAAGCTAAGGAAATCTTAAAATGAATTTTTCTAGGCTTCCAAGATCTGTGTTTATCATTGTATATCAGAATTTCTCTGAAATGTGCTCTATGAATGCTAAGGTTCTACAGTGCTAATAGATGCTGTCTGACAAAAAGAGTTTCCCAGTTGAATAGGGATAGAAAGTGCTTGTATATTATGTCTCCCTCTTAGACATTCACCGTGTATGTTGCCACATTGCTGAGAAATCCTGAAGCAAGAGAACTGTTCAATATGTTGTCTCCCAAATTATTTTTTTTCATGAAAGAACTGTTTCAAGTTTTAGATCACAGTTTATAAGTTGACTTTCCTAAGGTGTGAACAGAGGAGAATATTGATTATTTTCAAACTGAATTTTTTGAATGCCATCTACCTACCAGACTGCAGGCCAGGCCCTGGGTAGATGACAGCAAATAGGACACAGTCACTGCTCTGAAAAGTCTCTGTGGTCTAGTTAGGAAGAGGAGCAAGAAAACAGGTGATGAAGTTCAGATCAACGTGATACGTGTTACAGCAACAAACATCAAGGAGTAAGCACAGCACCTAACCCTGCCTGGGGATTTATGCATAAGGTTTCCTACATCCTAGCTGAAACTTGAAGGTGAGCAGAAGTTAACCCAGTGAAGGGTGCTGGTGGAGAAATATGTTTGAAAAGCAAAGTGAGCTCGGTAGGGCTAAAGTGGGAGCCATCATGACATTAGATTGAACCATCTGAAATTGCCATTATTGTAGGTCAGTATCAGATCGTCAAGTATCAGCAAATAGTCAATTATCAGCAATTTCGTACAGTTCTCCATCATACTAAGCTAGCATTCATCAAGCTCTTAGTTTGTACCAGACACTATGCGAAGCTCTATTTATACACCATCTTGTTTAGTATCTACAGTAATCAATAAGACCCATACACATTTTAATCCACATTTATATGTAAAGAAACTGAGGCACAGAGATGTTAGGCATGTGCCCAAGGTCACAGGGCTAGTAAGTTCCTGGATTGACATGTCAGTGGTCTGATTCCAGGCAGGCTAGAGCCAGATCCTGAAAGATGAAGGTTCTTTTGAACTCTGTTATGGAGGAGCCATTAAGGAATGCTGTATGGGTGGTGTTGGCGGTCGTGATTTCGTATATATTTATAACAGCTTTCGTCATGGTACCCCCAAATTGGCCGTCAGCAGGAGAACAGATGAACAAATTGTGGTGTAATCCCGGGCTCAGCCAATCTGGGTAACACGAGTCACAGCAGACCTCAGAGGTGTGCCTGTGGTGAGAACGGGCCGTGAGTCACCCCGGCCATAGACATTTAAGCAGGCCAGGGGACATGGTGAGCTCAGAGGCTAACACCTGAAGACCAGGAGAGAGGCCCTTTGCTTCCTCAGGAGGCTGGACCCTCCTCCCCCAAATGACACAGGACACACATATCCACTTCTCCTGGCACCAGGGCTACTATGTTGGAAAGAAGAGAGGAACAGAAATCTTAGATGGCATCACAAACCTTGGAAGATAATAAACAAAATACTGACAGAGTCTGTCTTAGAACAGCAGTAGTGAGATAGGTCATGGGAAGGTTTTGGAGCAGGGCAGTTGACTTGGTTAGATTTGATTTTGGAGATCCCCAAAGGGTGGAGGAGAGCTGGAGACAGAGAGATCTGTTATGAAGATCTTGTGGGAATACAGGGAAGAGGTGAGGGTGGGCTGGCCTCAGGTGGGAACAGCAGGGATGGAGAGAAAAGGCACAGCCTCCAGAGGCGCTCAGGACGCCGAGCTGGCATGGGGGTGGGGTCAGTGTCAACACCCACAGTTCCGATTTGGGTGACCGAGTCGATACTGATGTCATTCATTCACAAATATAGGAAAAGGAGCATACTTGGGGGCACCAGAAGATTTCAGTTAGGGAACTGTTTCCTTCAAGGAGTCTGTGACGTGGACAGTACATATGGTTTATTGGGGCTCGCTCAACTGTGTTGATTATAGCACGATTGAACACCAAACCCCAGAGCAAAATGTGCCATCAGCTCTCATAGCCATCAGCCCCTGGTATCTTTCTGCCCTGCTCAGACATGTATTCCTGTCTTTTCAGCCAGAGATAAATCGGAGCGAGCCTTCGGGGTGGCCTTCGTGAAGTTGATGAACCCGGACGGCACCACTCTGCAGGATGGGAGGCATGATCTGGTGCTTTATAAGGTGGTGCTAAAGAAGGAGCCTCAGAAAGTGACTAAGGACATATTTACTCCCCCTGAAATTGGTTCTGAAAGCTCCTTTCAGACTTATGTGTATAAATATCAGAAACTTCTCTCGGGCTGTACATGTTTGCCCCTTCAAGTCTAGAACCCTGGAGGACTGTGGTCACACCAGCTGCATGGTCTCCCATCCCTTTAGTCTTTTAAGTGATGGTCCCTCCCTGTTGTGCAAATGGCGTCCGTGGAGGTGAACAGTCAAGGGCTGTTCTTCTGCTCTTTGCATCAGCCTATGTGGAGCGTTGATAGTTGCACTGTTGGGCTGGGTTAGAGTGTGGTGGATGTGGTAGGATGTGGTTTTCATATCAACGCGAGCCAGGCACCATTTCTCCGTTCTGTGGCCTCCTTTCCTCTCCTATCAGTTGTGTCCTTATTCTTCCCTCTAACTGCTGCAGAGCTATCGCTTCCACTGAGATTTTAGAGCAGAAAGCAGATGTTGGGAAGATCTCATTTGTCCAACAGTATCCAGGAGGCTTTTCACACGGTTGGTAGCTTTTTTGAGATGAATCCACTTGATGTGTATTTCCCTTAGCAGCTCCTGAGCTCAAAAATAGTGTTGGAAGCCATGGCAAGCTATTTCTTCTCAAAGGACCCAGTGAAGTATCATTGTGACCATTTACATGTTCAAGAAAGTGAAATCCAACCTTATTTTTAATGTATTTACTTATAGCAGAGGCTAGAATGTTGACTTCTAGTTCATAACTTATTCTGTTTTTATTCAATGTTGAAATTATTTCTGGACTCAAACTCTGGGACAGTATCCCAGTATCTCGGAGCTGGAAGGGATCTAATTTGATAAAATACACTGCGCTCATGATAGATACTATTTTATTTGCACATAAGAGATTTTGTCCACCACTTGGTGTCCCTAACATGCTTCCTTTGCAGGGTGACAACAAGAAAATGGAAGATGCTAAATTCTACCTGACCCTGCCTGGAACCAAAGTGGAGATGGAAGAAAAGGAGCTCCAAGCATCCAAAACCCCAGCCAACTTTACGCCAAACAAGGATAGCACAAAAGATAGCTTTCAGGTCGCCACCCTCATCTGCTCCACAAAGCTCACTCAGAACGGTAGGTGTGCTGACCTCGGTGACAGGATGAGTTTTCTCTCTGGTCCTTCTAGGCTTCTTTGTTAGACTCAGGGGACTGGACGCTGTGGGGCTGTGTCTTCTGAGGTGGGGTCCTGGGCTATCTGGATTCTTCTCTCTGCTCTTCACGTGATGTTTTCTGGGTAGGACTGATTAGATAGCTAAAGCTCTTCCTGAGGCTTCTTTGTCTATCTTTCCACTAGAATGAAAAGCATTTCGGTGGTTTTTAAATACGGTAAAATCTATAAATGTATTCACTAACAGAGGCTGTGAATTTCGAAAGTCTTACGTTTCCTTCCTTCAAGGCAGCAAAGAATTCTTAATACTGTGCTCTGTATGATGTATATAACAAGAAATGTTGGTAGCAAGGGTAGGATACTAACAGAGGAACATCCGTCTCCTGTCCAAGCAGGTATGGCAAAGAGCAGGGAGCGTTTCCTGTTAGCATTCCATCTGTCCCCCATATAGATTCCTCTTTCTCGATTTTTTTCCCCAAGCAGTCAGATTTTCCATAACATCAGCTGAAGAGTTCAAATGCAGCTTCATTTTGTCCCCTCACGAAATCTGATAGCAATTTTCACTTCTCTTGTGTATATCATGACATTTGATAGCCAATAACAGCTTCTTATTCATTTAACCTATGTAATTTGTAAGGAGTCCTGCGGGATATAGTGATCCAGGAAATAGCTGCTTTGGGGACTTGCTTTAGAAATTCTTTGTCCCCTGTGCTATGTGGAGGATTAGTCCCTTTGACCTCTGAGAAGATTTGGGGGCTCTGCCTTAGGGAAGTGATAAGGCAGACAAAACAGCTGAGATATAAGGTACACTCAAGGATCACACAGCGTGTGGTTGATCTTTAGAACGGGTCAGTATTGTTTATTTTGATGAATCTTGGTTGCGTAGAGAATGTGGATAGTATTTCAACTTGGACAACTGATTAGACTCAACAGAGTGAGGTTCAGAGCTGTTACACATGGGAAAGTAAAAGCAGGCACCAAAAATTAAGCCAGAGTAAAGACAAAACTATGGAGACATGAAAAGATCCGTGGTTACAAAGGGCTCGGGGAGAGAGGGAGGGGTGAATAGGCAGAGCACGGGGGATTTTTAGGGCAGTAAAACTGTTTACTAAATGATACCCTGATGGGTACATGGATGCACGTCATTATACATTTGTCAAAAGCCACAGCATACTGCACAGAGCGAACCCTAACTTAAACGATGGACTTCAGTTAATAATCTTTATCAGTGTTGATTCATCATTTGTAACAAAGGTACCACAGTAATGCAGGATGTTAATAATAGGGGAAACCCTGGAGCCTTGAAGGGGTATATGGTAACTCTCTGTACTTTGGGCTTAATTTTTCTGTGAACCTAAAACTGCTCAAAAAAATAATAAAGTCTATAAATTAGTAAAAAAAACCAAAACAAACAAACAAACAAAACACAAAGTTAAGCCAGAAGGCATTCTGAGCTTTATGGAAGCCACGAGAAAACTGTATGAATGATATAACCCTTGTTAGGGAGAAAGTAAACATAAATAAACTGCTGATACGGGGTTAAGTAGTATAATGTTTATGGGAGATGAATTACAAGGTGTATCAAAGATCTTTTTTTTTTTTTTTTTTTTTTTTTTTGGGGGTCGGCGGGCCCTCACTGTTGTGGCCTCTCCCGTTGCGGAGCGCAGGCTCAGCGGCCATGGCCCACGGGCCCAGCCGCTCTGCGGCATGTGGGATCTTCCCGGACCGGGGCACGAACCCGTGTCCCCTGCATCGGCAGGCGGACTCTCAACCACTGTGCCACCAGGGAAGCCCCAAAGATCTTAAATGTATTCAGACCCTTTGACCCAGTACTGTGACCCCTAGAAATTGAACCTAACTAGACAATGGGAGATGTGCACAAAGATTTATATATGAGGATGTTTCCCTATGATTCATAATAGGGGAACAGTGCAAAGAGTCCAAATGTCCAATAGTTGGGGTCAGGTTAAAGTATATAATGTTATTAAATGATAAAATATATGCAGCTGTGAAATGTATTTCAAAACAGTCAAAGACATGGGAAAATGTTAACACTATGTAGAGTATAATCCCGGTTTTGTTTAAATATATGAGGATAATTTGGAGCTTATTGCCTGGGGTCAGATTCCGGCTCTGCCACTTACTAGCTGGTTCATCTTGGGCAAGTCACTTGATCTCTCTGTGACTTGGTTTCCTCAGTTTTAAAATGGGAGTAATGATAGTATTTATTTGGAAGAACGAAGTAAATTAAAATAAGTAGAGGCAAAGCAGCAATGTGTAGCACATTGTAAACACTACATGAGTATTAACTGTTGAAAAAGGCTAAAAATAATTAAAAGTTTGGATGATAGTTCTTATTTTCTTTATTCTTTCTGGTATTTTCCAAATTTTTAACTAGGAAATGTCAAAGTGTTTTTTTTTTTTTTAGCTCTGATGGTAGATGAGAGAAAGCATTGATGTACTTTTGGGGCTCTAAAGGGATATGCGAAAGAGACAGTGTTTACCAAACATCTAGTAGTTTATCCTTCCTAGAGACTAGGTTTGAAGAAAACAAGTAATAAAAGTTTGTAAAATTAACTTATTAGAGATAATGGTTAGAGATAACCATATTGTTACATTGTTTATTATCTCCCAGGCAAAACTTTAGGAAGCTTATTGACAGGTAGCAGTACTCAACCTGATGCGCTGATACCAACATCACACATCTTCTAAATGTTCCAAACCTGTGCTGTCCCGCACCTTATGTAGCTTGCGAAATTTAAATTAATTAAAGTCAAGTGAAGGTATGACTGCAGTTCCTTGGTTGCATTCGCCCCATTTCGAGCGCTCAGTGGTTTTCTGTGTCTGGTGACTTTCCTACTGGACAGCACAGGTTGCAACGTTCCCATCATCACAGAAACTTCCATCGGGTAGAACTGTCCTCTTCTATTTGTTGTCATCCCGTTCCTAGTGTTTAGATCTCAAAAACACTCAACATACTTTAAAAAAAAAGTCTCCAAGAATATCCTGTCCCAAAGAAGACTTAAAGAAGCAAACTCATCTAAACCAGAGCGGGGTGACCTACTGTCAACCTGGATGGGGGTAGGAAGAGGGGACAGATTTGGGGAAGATGAGGTGACATCGTGGGCATCAGAGAAAATGGGGCATTCCCAGTGACAGATAATAAGTGTGTTTGCTTTCTTCTAATTTGATGGGAGTGATAAAGAACCAATTCAATTTCTTCTGAGAAAGAAGAAGCTGAGGAACATGAATAAATCATCAACTCTATGAGGGCATTTGTTGATCAAGAGGAGGGTAGCTGTTCTCCTTTCACTCGGAGGCCATGACCAAAGGCGTTTCTCCTTAGCCTTTGGAGGGCTATTCAGACTCCAAAGTTAAAAGCCACTGGACTTTGTTACAAACAGAGCCTGTAGGCACCTTCATTATTTTATGAATTATTTCAAAACTAGAAGAGACTGATGTATATGGGATCATTTTGTTGCTGGGCCCATATGGAAGGTGAGGATAGAGGAGAGGGAGAGAGGAGTCGAGTCTCTGCAGGTGTGGACCTGTGCCAGGCCACTCACAGACATCTCATTTTACCCACCGACAGACTAGCACGGGAAGACACCAATGTTGTCGTTATTAACCTTAGTTTACTGATCAGAGCGCTGAGCTGAGGTGGTGAAATATTTTGCCGAAACTCATAAGTGGTGGACTTGGGTCCGAAAACAGATATTTGTAACTCCAAAACTTAGGGTTTTTCTTTGTCATTCTTTTCGTTTTTAAACGTTATGGTCCCTAACCCTTTCCGACAGGTAATCACTACCCTAAATTTGGGGATTATCATTCAGAGTAGTGTGAATTCTTATATACTTTTTTTTTTTTGGCCTCGAGGCATGTGGGATCTTAGTTCCCCAACCAAGGATCAAACCCGTGCCCCCTGCAGTGGAAGCACAGAATCCTAACCACTGGACCGCCAGGGAAGTCCCAATTCTTACATACTTCTGACGGTGATGTAAATTGGGACAACTGTGGATAACATTTAGATAGTATCTAATATGGTTAGAGGTGGTTATTCTTGATAATCCAGAAATGTAGTCTAGTTTTTTTTTAACTCCCCTTTTTTTTTTGGTGTGTGTGTGTGTGTGGTACGTGGGCCTCTCACTGTTGTGGCCTCTCCCGTTGCGGAGCATGGGCTCCGGACGCGCAGGCTCAGCGGCCATGGCCCACGGGCCCAGCCGGTCTGCGGCATGTGGGATCCTCCCGGACCGGGGCATGAACCCGTGTCCCCTGCAGCGGCAGGCGGACTCTCAACCACTGTGCCACCAGGGAAGCCCTGTAGTCTAGTTTTATACCTCAGAAAATGCTGCTGATACCAGATAGGCATATGAGAATGTTTGCAGCAGAATTGTTTGTGACGGCTCAAAACCACAACCCAACTGGTTGTTTAGTGACAGTAGAATGGATAAATTCTGGTACATCCATAAGATGGGATAGATACTCTACAGCAATCAAATGAAATTAACCAAAGCTATTCATCAACCTGTATGAATCCCAGGAACACGGTGAGTCTAGGGCTGTTTCTGTAACACCGTGTCACCACTTTTCTTGCCCTAAGATTCACCAGATGCCAAATCTATTCCTAATATTAGCAGTGATGGGGCATGCAAATATCTCTAGGGAGTAAACCTCTAGACTGATTAGTGGGTTCCTTGCAGGTTCTTAAAGCTGCTGCGTGACCCTTCAGCATGATGAAGTATCCAAATCCTTTTCCTTAGGCAGCCACGCATGAAGTGAGGTAACAGATGGAACGGTCCGGTTGACTAGCACGTGGCAAAAATAGGAGATGGGAAGATGGCAGTGGACAGTGCCTAGTGGATAGGCCTAGCACAGTGCCTATTATGAAGTACTTACTTAAGGAATGAAGAAAGTGAAGAATTGTCTTGAGTACACCACCAGCTTCCTTGGGACTCCTGGTTCTGTTTCCATCCATCTATTCAATCTTTGATCCAGCACGTATTGAATACCTCCTAGGTGGCTAGTGCTATGATGCGGTATAAGAAGGAATGCAATAAGGTTCCTTCCCTGAACTGTCTCAATGTATGGGCAGAGCCAAAGAGATACCAAGTGTGTTGTTAATTGTTTGCCCTAATGTATATGTATGCGGACAAGGAGTGCAGATAGCAGGGAACGATTGGGTGTGTCTTCCCAGAGGGAATAATGTTTGAGACGGCTCTTGAAGTAGAAGTAGCAGCTGACTGAATACATAGTATTGGAAGTATTTCTGGGCATTTCCGACAAAGGGAAGACATATGCAAAGACAGGGAGCGCTTTCAGAGCATGCCATAGCTTGGGGAGTATTGAGTTGATCTGTCTGACTGCGATGGGCTGGCAGGAGGGTCATAGGAGGGGCCTTACTGCCTTCTGTGACTGGTACTGGGACTGTATTCAGTTGACAGTGGGAACTCTCTAGGCTTTGGAGGCTTCCCAGGGACTAAACAGTTTGCAAGCCAGTAAAACAAACACAGTGAAGCAAATTGACTGTTCTAATGAACAGAATACATTTTCAGCTGCTTGTAAATATATATATTTCTACAAATCCATTCATTAAAAAGTACATATTGCTACTTTGACTAGATAATGCTCTGTAAATAGTAAAATGATGCACTAAACAAAATGATAAAGTAGCAACAGTCCAGCTGCCTGCTTTGTTTCCCTGTTATTTCACTTTTAGTATCTAGACATTCATTAAAGCTGAAAGGGACTTAAGGATCCCAAATTCTGCATTTTTAGATCCAAAAACACCTCAAGACTTTTGTCCCAGACTTACCCTAAGGACCATTCATCTGTTCTGCCTTCTTTTCAAGATGGGAAACCATCTGATCTGCTCGTCTGTTTATTTCTTTGAAGAACTCTGGGGAGGCAGTATGACAGAGTAGCAAGGACATGGTTTTTGGGAATCAGATAAATCTCATTAAATTCCATTCATACCACTCCCTGGCAGTTGTGTGACCTAAGACAAATAATTTAATTTCACAAAACCTCAGTTTCCTCATCTCAAAAATGGAACAAATAAAATCTTCTCTATGGTTACCAAAGGGGGATGGTCAGGGGGAGAGATAAATTAGGAGGTTGGGATTAACATATACACACTACTATATATAAAACAGATAACCAACAAAGACCTACTGTATAGCACAGGGAACTCTACTCAATACTCTGTAATAATCTATATGGGAAATAGAGTCTGAAAAAGAATACATATTTATATATGTATAACTAAGTCACTTGGCTGTACACCTGAAACTAATACAACATTGTAGATCAACTATACTCCAATATAAAAAAAAACTTTTAAGGTAAAAAATAAAATCTGCTCTACAGCGTGGATATGATATTTAAATGAATCAATGCACATATATAAGTTTTTATTTTCCCCTCTGCATCCACTGAGACACCCATAGTGACAAGGGACAAATTAAGCAATGCAGCAAATTAAAGGTAGGAAGGTTATTTAAATGTTTCATCAGTAAGGCTGTGATGTCTTATATGAGAGACGTGAGTTCTATTTGGGCATCATTTTATGTTCTTGTACATTTGTGGTTGGTGTTTTTTTTTGCGGTACGCGGGCTTCTCACTGTTGTGGCCTCTCCCGTTGCGGAGCACAGGCTCCGGACGTGCAGGCTCAGCAGCTATGGCTCACAAGCCCAGCCGCTCCACGGCATGTGGGATCTTCCTGGACTGGGACACGAACCCGTGTCCCCTGCATTGGCAGGCGGACTCTCAACCACTGCGCCACCAGGGAAGCCCTTGTGGTTGGTTTTTTTCCTCTGAAGAAGGAAAGAAGACCCCAAGGTTTTCTCTGATTTAGGTAGGAGGCAGTAAATTAAAAGACTGCATAAGGTATTAGCCACCGTTAGGAGCAATGATCTTTTCTAGAGAGCTCTGTCACTGTGTCCTGAAATGGTGTGCGTTGCTCTGCTAATCCGTGTCTAACGTTTATGGTTTGTGGTTATTCTTCCTAGTTGACCTGTTAGGCTTGTTAAATTGGCGTTCGAACCCTCAGAACATTAAACACAACTTAAAGAAGTTAATGGAGGTGGATGGAGGAGAAATTGTTAAGGTATGTTTATATATTCACAGTTAGGACTACAGCCACTGCATCCTTAGTTCAATATTTTAAATTAAACCGATGAGTGTAATCATAAAACTTGTCTAAATTGGGAAGCAAGTGTGCCAATTTTTAGGAAAATGCTATTTTTAAACCTATTCTGTTGAAACCTAATTAGCCCCGAATTTCTTCAGTCTGGAGCCAAATAACCGCTCTCTTTTTCTCATCTTCAGTTTTTGCAAGATACGCTAGACGCACTTTTTAACATAATGATGGAAATGTCAGACGATGAAACATATGACTTCCTTGTGTTTGATGCACTGGTAAGCAGTTACACATATTATCTAGTGTTTGTTCTTACAACTGTGTGGTTTTTGATAGTTCAGTATTATAAGTAATTGTGATGCATAGGCTCCTGCATATGTATTTGTGTACATTTCTCTGATGATTTCTCGAGGCTACATTCCCACAAGTAACATTAGATACAATTGACTTATAGTCAAGTCGTTTATGGCTTTGTTTCCTGTTAGATCTTCCCTTTTGATAAGTTTTCTCTTTCTCATTAGGGAAAACAAGCTGTTTTATTACATTTGAAATCAGGAATCCCTTTAACTCGCTTTAAAATTGTCTGGTCCTAAACCAGGAGATACCGTTAACAAAGACGACTGTGGTTTGTTGTGTATGCGCGTCCTTGTGCGTTCTTGCAAGGGAGACTGAATTTGCAAGTCAGCGATGAGTCTTGGTCTCATTATGTACAATACGCAACCCAGCATACAATTCAAATTGTCACACAAAGTACTAAAACTTGCAACCCATGCCCAGACCGGAAATCCAAAGAAGGAGAAGGGATACCGGATTTTGGGAAGGTCAGAGATGGCAGTGGAGTGGCGGAAGCTGACACATCCAAACTGAGCATCGTTTTCTGATTGTTGGGGTTCAAGTTCAGGGCAGAGTTTTCCCTGAATGTTGCAGCAAAGAAGGAGGAAGGTAAATTGCATCTTCAGCTCATTCATCAGCTTGGAGAGACTGGTAGATTCAAGAAGAGTTTAGGATGTAAGACAAAGAGAAAAATGCCCCCAGCTGCCATCACACCTGGCCAGGTTTATGGGCAAGAGAGTCTATGGTAATGACCCCATGGGAGAAGGTCTGGAGATAGATTCCTGTGGACACAGCAGCTGGCAACGGGCATGTGTGGAAGGTGCCCCTTCTTTTGCTCTATCACAAGTAGGTGCAAAGCGGTTATTTGTATCAGTAGATTCTGTGTCCGGTAGTGATAAGAGTTAACATGAGCAGAAAATTGAGACTCGAAGGTCTGGTGACTTCAGTTATTAGGGGCACCCACACTGCGCTGAGGAGACAGATGTCCTGCAGTATTTCATTAGCTGCACCCTTGGCTTAGTGTTTACTATTCCCATGGGAAACCCTCCCCCACACCCTTCCCCCTCTCATCCCATTTTCTTCCCCGACTTGGTTACCTGGGCGCTGCCCTCTCTCTGAGGCAGTCAGCTCTCCGAGGCTAGGGGTGCTGGCTTACACTGGTTCCCTCACAGCATTTAGCACAGTGCCTGACACTTAATGGTCTCTCTCTGTTTGTGCTAAATAAAAAGAAACCCCAAGACTTGACCTCAGCTCTGGAATAGTCACATGGGAATGCTACCGTAATGATCAAGAAGGAAAAGCAAGTCCCAGACGTTCAGCTCCAGCTTGTTGATGGAATGCCGGGGCTTGTGCTATGCTACCATTTATGTTTTCCACCTTTGGCAGGTGTTTATTATTTCACTGATAGGCGACATCAAGTTCCAGCATTTCAATCCCGTCCTGGAGACCTACATTTACAAGCACTTCAGTGCCACTCTGGCCTATGTGTAAGTACCAGGCCCGGGCAGGGCTTGTGGCTGGATTGTCGGGTTTGTGCTCTTGGGACCGGGTTGTTGAGAAACCAGAGGGACGTGAGCTGAGTACCCCTGTCTCGAAGCTCAGAACCTTGTTCTGAGCTTCCCTGGGGAAAGTGGGAACCATCTAACTATTCTAACCATGGCAAAGGATTACATTCAAGGCCCTGCTTTCTGGGAAGTTAGGGAAGAGATAAGGCTGTACTTCTTTAAGAAACCAGAGCATGTATAGGTGAGGCGTTGAAGCTGTTAGGAGCACAGTCCAGGACAGAGGACCCCATCCAGGATCTTCGGAGGCGGGTGTCAGTGGGATCGGCATGAGCCCCGCTGGGATCAAACAGAGGATGAAGCAGGACGACATGTGATAGAACTGAGGGTCGTTCCCTCAGCTGTACACCGCAAGTGCTTTGTAGAATTTATTACTTAGAGGTTATGAGAAGATTTAATTTTTTTTCTTTTACATAAGAGGGAGTGGTCTCCACCTTTCCCAAAGTGCAGCCTTCTTTCTGTCTTTGGTTTATGAGCCCCTGACTAATGTTCAGTCTGAGCTTTGCCCTGCAGTGCTCAGCTCATCACGCCGTCGGATGTGGCCTGTCACCCCGCGCCTTGCATCCTGGTTATTGTGCAGAGCAGCGTGACAGTGACTGGAACAGAGTTGAGATGGCAAAGATCTTTCTGACGGTGGCTTATGCCAGATCGTGCCAAGTGCTGCTGACCTGCTCTGTCATTCAGATCATTGATCCCTCATGGCTTTTTCTGAACTAAACAAGAAAGTTCTCAGTTTTATTTGCATAAAGGTCCAGAAATGTAATAAAACATAAGTGACCTAGAAGAGGTGTCATGTAGCATAATCCCCAAGTAACACAGTGGATGTAATGCCCGCTGGATTGGGGGAAGCAGCAGATACACCAGTGATAGGGCTCTTTCCACCCTATAGCCTCACTTTCTAAGTAGGCAGCAGCTACAAGAGATGAAATCCTATCATTGGGTCTTTATTACACAGAGCCAAATGCAACTCTCCAGGTGGTGTGTTTCTGGTAATCTGGGTTTATTTGCAAGAATGGATCAATTCCACACGATTCCTGTGAATTTTTCTTAATATTAGGAAAACTCAGAGATTCCCAGAAGGAAAGTTCAAAATATCAGTGCCTTCAAAAATGTGAGATAGCCCAAGATTACGACAACGCCTAGTCCAAAGACTCTGGAACGACACAAAGAACAACGTAAAAATCCCAGAGCAGTTTCATGTGATCAGATGCTCAGAACCATGGGTTGCTCTTCTTTCCACACTCGGTAGAGTTAACATCTGGCTTCAGTTTATGGATCCCAAACAGCTGGGGCAGACTGGAGGGAATTAGACTGCTTTTAAGGTGACTGACTACCTTTGGCAGACAGTCCCTCCCTTACAGAAACACCTGAACATGTCTGTATAGCATGCCAGAGATTAACATATACTCATGATTCGAGTCCCTTCAAGTCTTTGATTTCTTGATCATTTTTTAAAATCCTGCAAAGGGAAAGAAATCATCCCTTATTTCTAGGCAGAAGGGAAGCTGCAAGCCTAGACCGCAATGAGAAAACTAAACTACGAAGGACTTAACTTCCCAGTTCAGGGCATATTCTAGAAGAAATAATTACTATAGTTGTGATTTCTACTTCCCCAGGAGGCCAAGTTCCCTTCTGTATAGCATACCCCAAACCCTAGAGTACCACTGTGCCCCATTGACATTTTTCTCCTTTTCAGAAAACTCTCCAAGGTACTGAACTTTTACGTGGCGAATGCAGATGACTCCAGCAAGACGGAATTGCGTTTCGCTGCTTTGAAAGCCTTAAAGTACTTGTTTAGGTTCATCATCCAATCTAGAGTGCTCTACTTGAGGTAATGGTGACTGTAATACAGTGTTGACGCTCTCCATCCTCTCTTCCCATATTTTTCCTTAGTCCTTATGCTCATGTTCAGTTCTGTGAGCAGCTGGGTCATGGAACTAACAAATTTCAGAACTTCAGGGTGAAGATGAGGGTTCACTACACAACCGTTAAAGAAGTTTCATGTGACGTCCTTTTGGATCAGCAGAATTTCTAGGGCAGTAGTGACAGCAGGATTTAGGGATGCAGGTGGCTACAATGTGCAACTTACTGAAAGTCTTTGTTGGTGACAATAAGTAGGAAGTCAGGTTCCTGTGATGAGATTGTATTTAATACAGCAACGGGCTTCATGATGATGTTGGGTGTATAAATCTAGGATCATGAGCTGTTGTTGGGAGTAGATGGACAGTAGTGACAATTGATTGGAGGAGTTGTTTCCTGAGGTGTGTGTTTCTTTGCTGACACCAGGCTTTAGGTACCTGGGAAAACTAAGCCCCAGAGATACGATAATGACCAGTTTGGATTTCTAGAATAATCGTTCCATCAAAAACAATAGAAGTCAAGAATGAGGAAATAACTCTTCTGGGAATGCCCACAACTCCAGTGCCATCTCTACCCTTCAATAATAGCTGGATTTCCAAACTGTTAAAATATTTTTCTAAGGCAGGTTTGGAAACTCGATAGATAACGTGCTAATATGTTAATACGAGTAAAGCTGTAGGTAAGAGGATTTCAAGCCTGTGATTTGAGCATGTGTATTTTTTTAACTTTGCGTTTTTAAAAAAATCATAAAATTAAAGGCAAACAATTAACATGGAAAAAAGACTTGTAACTTATAGTACAGTTCAAAGGTCAGTAGATTCATTAATTAAAGGCTCTTAAAAATCAACTAAAGAATGGTAAATATCCTTACTGCAAAATAAAAACATAATTTACAAAAGAAAACTTCAAATGGTCAGTTAAATTTAAAAAGAAATTTATACTATTAAAATGCGATACACACACACCATCTTTACCTGCACATTTGATAATGATGAAAAATCTTTATCTTTTAGTGAGATTGGACAAAAATTGGCCCTGTGGTTTATTGCTGATAGGAAGATAAATTCTTAAGGACAGAAATTTGGTACTGTGAATAAAAATCAAACACACACAGAGCAAAGGAAGATATCACATTTGTCCAGTAATACCCCATCTAAAAATCTATCTAATGGAAAAAAAATCCATCAGGTATAAACAAAAAGGAATGTTAAAGTATGTACATTCAGCCCTTTCAAATGTAGGGTATGTTAATGAGGTAGGATAACCCTGATAGGTTCTTAAATAATAAAACTAAGGTAGAAGACATAAGTGTAATATGATCTCATTTCAAAAATATTTCAGGATTGGACACTGGTTAGATATGAGTAAACTGTAGATAAGAGGGCTTTAAGTAGGTTTAGTTTTTATCCTTTCTGCATTTTTAAAGTTTCTACAATGAATTTGTACATTTTTATGGTTTTTAAACACGTTCAATGACTTAAAAGTTGAGTTGGACGAATGACAGCTCCTCCTTCCCTAGTAGAAGCAGGCAGTGTTCGCCCAACTCAGAGCATATGCACAACCTCTGTAGTTCCCGCTTTTCTCCAGGTGGTCTTTTATAGTTGGATCTTTGTGTTTTGTAATTATGTTGAATTTCCACATATTCAGATAGGGTGTCCTACTGAGGGAACATTCCCTTACCTAAAAGTTTGTAGAGCAAACCCTGATGTCCAGCAATAAAGATCCTCATAAAAACATAAAAAGAGAGACTTCCCTGGCAGTCCAGTGGTTAAGACTCTGCACTTCCACTGCAGGGGGCATGGGTTCGATCCCTGGTTGGGGAACTAAGATCCCGCATGCCACGGGGCACGGCCAAAACAAACAAACAAAAAAACATAAAAAGAAAAAAACCTTAATTGAGGAAATTTTAAAAATACTTTCCACTTATGATCCACTAGCTCTTTTACCCTTCATAATGTTGCGTTGCATCTGGGCCATCATTTTCACCGTCAGATTGCATGATAACGACGGAAAAGCCAAGTTAATTAACCCATGAGATGAACTAAGAGAGTGGCTGTGTTGAACTTAGTCCCTGATGGCCTGTTTACGGTTATTTTTGCCCCTGATGTTTTCTCATTCTAAAGAAGAGCTTGATCTGGGATAGAGAGTCTGGTAGTCTGCATTCTCTGATTGCTTGGATTTGATAGACACAATAGGACATTGAGAAGCTCAGTCGTATTAGTCCCTTTTTTAAAGTCACAGCGATAGGGTGCCAGGTGTTGCTCTAGGCCCTCCAGCAACATTGGCTTCTCTTGATTCTTTAGCTGTTCCTGCCCAGATGCCAGTTCCCAAGAGGCCTCTCCCACCAGCTCAGCTCAAACAGCCTTCCCTGGTCACTGTCATATCAACGCCTTCGCTCCTAGCCCTAGATCTGGGGATCTGCTACTAGATCTTGGGATCTAGCAGCAGATGAGACAAGGTTCCTGCTCTGATGGTGCTTGTGGGTTACATCGAGGCCAGGGAGCCATATAATAAAGAAAGAAACCCACAAGATCATCTCAGACGGATAAGAGCTAGGAAGGAAGATGTTGATGTGACAGTGACCAGGGAAGGCTCCCCGAGCTGAGCTGGTGGGAGAGGCCTCTCCAGGAGCTGGGGTTTGAGTTGAAACTGAAAGATGGGGAAGTAGCTTCTGAATATCTCGGGGGAGAGAAGTTCAGTGAGCATGAACAGCTAAGGAATCAAGAGAAGCCAGTGTTGCTGGACCGTGGAGCCTGGGAATGGGAGGATGGAGTCTGGCAGGCGGGTGCGTGATAGGGGCCTTCTAGGTCACAGCAAGGAGTTCGGATTTCATTCCAGGGGTCTCGGGAAGCCACTGAAGGGTTTCAGTTAGAGAAGTAGTGGAATCTGGCTTACATTTTACATAATCATCTCATCTCTTGGGTGGAAAGTGGATTATCAAGGGTTAAGAGTGAAACCTGGGTGACCACTTAATAGGCGGTCATAGTTCAAATGTGAGATGCGGTGGCTCTGTCTCTGAGGAGATGCAGAGAGTGGACTGATTTAGCGGGAAGAGAGAATAGGACTTGCTGTTAGATTTGGTGGGAGGATGGGAGAAGGGGAAGAACTATAAATAACTTCTAGGTTTGGGGTGCTGTTTGCCAAGACGTGGGCTATTTAAAGGTGAACAGGAAAATCAAGTGAGTTCTGTTCTGGGTATGTTAATTTTGATATACTTTGTGGACTCAATTGCAAATAAAGTTCTTTTCTAAAATTCTGCAAAATGGGTGAATTGAGGATTAGCAGAAACCCTCTGATTGAATAATTTTCTGAGAAGTTCATATTCCATGAGTACCATGTAAGATATAGGTGAACAGAGGAGACTAATGTAAATATGTATATGCGTGTACGTGTGTATTTGAGTGTGTGTATAAAATTCTAAGTTCAAACCATCCCTACTCTTGACAGTTGGTGGTAAGATTGCCACCCAGTGTAAATGCACTTGGACTACAATTTGGGGACTTCTGTGTTTCTGAGAAATGGGCCAAAGACCTTCTGATTTCTACTTATGAGAAAGAACCAACTTTTCAGTTGATAGCATACTTTAATCAAACAAGCACGAATAAGCAAAGACCAAGGTAGCCCGTGTCCTGGGAGGACGCTGTCCTAGAGGCAGGTCGGCACCAGCGTGGCCAGTTCAGTGGATAGAAGGATGCTAACTGGACTTGCAGACTGGGTTGGGCTCAGAACGTTTCTAGGTTGAGCAGCTTCTCTACCCCTTGTCTGGAACTTGAACGCAAATGATCAGGGCTTGTTGCGGTGAGACAGAATGATTCAAATGGCAGAGTGATTAGACACAAAGATCAGAAGAGGAGAGAGAGGCAGGAGGGGAGGCGTGGAGGTGGCAAGACTGGGCTGTCAGGGAAGGTAGCTGGGCGGGGAGTCCCCTGCTTGCTGAACATTGTGCTAATGAGCTGAGGATGGTAGGTTTGAATGCAGGGCTTATCTGCTACTTGAGGCAAAGCTGCTTCCAGCCATTCCCCGCTCTGTGCCGGAAATGCCCGCACGCCACTAGGCTGGAGGACATCACCAAGACTGGCCTTCAGACAGCTTCAGGGGGACAGTGGGAGAGCTCTGTTGTAGGACTTTACGTACAAATCACTACCTTCTTTTTGTCCAGGTGGGGATAACTTCCCAGCTACTGGGCCCCTTCCTGAACCAGCTAAGAGCACGTGTGACTCCTCTGTGCACAGTGTAAAGAGGTGACCAGTGAGGCATGGGCTTCCAGCATTGTGTAGGCAACAGATGTGTTGGAAAACTTCTTTTAACGATGGAGAATCTGACCTCCTTCTCTCTCTCTTTTTTTTTTCTTTTCCCACCTTCTCTTTTTTCTCTGAAGATTTTATGGCCAAAGTGAAGATGGAGATGAATTTAGTAATTCAATCCGCCAGTTATTTCTCGCTTTCAATATGCTGATGGACAGGCCTCTGGAGGAAGCTGTCAAGATCAAGGTCAGCTTGAGTAACTTTTTTTTTTTTTTTTTCCCGTATGTGGGCCTCTCACTGTTGGGGCCTGTCGCATTGCGGAGCACAGGCTTCCGGATGCGCAGGCTCAGCGGCCATGGCTCACGGGCCCAGCCGCTCCGCGGCATGTGGGATCTTCCCGGACCGGGGCACGAACCCATGTCCCCTGCATCGGCAGGCGGACTCTCAACCACTGCGCCACCAGGGAAGCCCCCTTGAGTAACTCTTAATGCTGTCGGTGAGGATGTTCTGGGGCAACATAGAACTGGCCATGGTGGGAGATAAAAGAAAATTAATCCTAGTTAGTTCGTGGAAAACTTGTTAATTTTAGAATGACTTATAGAAAGTAAAGGGAAATCCCTTTATTTTAACTTTTATGTACATTTGTATTTTCAAATGTTGGTTTGCCAAAGACAAGCTAGCTATTTATTTTATTTTTATTGAAGTAGATTTGATTTACAATACTGTGTTAGTTTCTGGTGTACAGCACAGTGATTCAAATATATATATATGTGTGTGTGTATATATATATATTAAATTCTTTTCATTATAAGTTATTACAAGATGTCGAATATAGTTCCCTGTGCTATACAGTAAATCCTTGTTGTTTATCTATTTTATATACCGTGGTGTATATCTGTGAATCTCATACTCCTAATTTATCCCTCCGTTCTCTTCCCCTTTGGTAACCATTGTTTTCTATGTCTGTGAGTCTGTTTCTGTTTTATAAATAAATTTATTTGTATTATTTTTTAGATCCCACATATAGGTGATATCATATGATATTTGTCTTTGTCTGACTTACTTCACTCAGTATGATAATCTCTGTGTCCATCCATGTTGCTGCAAATGGCATTATTTCATTCTTTTTTACTGCTCTGGAGTGTTCTATTGTATATATGTGCCACATCTTCTCTATCCATTCACCTGTCAGTGGACATTTAGGTCGCTTCCACGTCCTGGCTATTGTAAATAGTGCTGCAGTGAACATTGGGGTGCATGTACATTTTCAGATTAGAGTTTTCTCTGGATATATGCCCAGGAGTGGGATTGCTGGATCATATGGTAACTCTATTTTTAGTTTTCTTAAGGGACCTTCATACTGTTTTCCATAAAAATTGGCTCTACCAATTTACATTCCCACCAACAGTGTAAGAGGGTTCGCTGTTCTCCACGTCCTCTCCAGCATTTATTATTTGTAAACTCTTTGATCATGGCCATTCTGACCGGTGTGAGGTCATACCTCATTGTAGTTTGATTTGCTTTTCTCTAATAATTAGCGATGTTGAGCATCTTTTCATGTGCCTGTTTTAAAGACCTAACTATAATCTATGACACCGTAAAACTCCTAGAAGAGAACATAGGCCAAACATTCTCTGACATAAATCGTAGCAATATTTTCGTAGATCAGTCTCCCAAGGCAAAAGAAATAAAAGCAAAAATAAACAAATGGGACCTAATCAAACTTAAAAGCTTTTTCACAGCAAAGGAAACCATAAAGAAAACGAAAAGATAACTGACAGACTAGGAGAAAATATTTGCAAACAGTGCGACCAGCAAGGGGTTACTTTCCAAAATATACGGACAGCGCATACAACTCAATATCAGAAAAACAAACACCCCAAGCAAAAAATGGGCAGAAGACCTAAATGGTCGTTTCACCAAAGATGACAAACTACCCTTTTAGACGTCCCTTGAATGGCATTTCTGGACCCTGTGAATTCAGCCAGTTGATCCTGATAATGATTCAAGCAACAGGCTTTATTCTTAGGGCTCCCCTTCTTCCCAGAAGCCCATCGTCCCCATCATCTTCATCATTATTAGTTTTTTGAGGTAAAATATGTAATCCCTAAAGACTCAAGTTCGAGCTTCATTTTTTGCTCTCTGTGGCAACTTTGTGAGGGAGATGTCCAGATTTTTAACTACTTCCTTGGGTAGAAAACTGAATTCTAAATGGACAGTGGCTCTTGGGTGGTGAGGGCAGAAAGCTGTGCCTCTGGACTTTTCAGGAAAAAGATCCTGGGAGATCGTGTAGAGCAGCATTCAGCTTTCTTCTTCATGGCGAGAGTGTCTGTGTCCAGTTCCCTGTTCAGGATCCCAGCATCAGTCGTTTCTTCCCGGGATCAAGCAGGAAATTTTGTATTTGTCCTGCTTGCCAACTGAATATGCCTTTGGTGTTTTTCTTGCAGGGGGCAGCCTTGAAGTACCTTCCTAGCATCATTAATGACGTCAAACTTGTGTTCGATCCAGTTGAGCTCAGGTAAATAGCCAAAAACTTTTGTTTCTTAACAGAGAAGCAGCTCCCCTGTTGGCTTGAGCTTAGGTGGCTACACATGCTGTGATTCTTCTAACACGTATTGACCGAACACCTTTTTGTGCTCATTTCTGTGGAAGCCATAAAAGAAGACACAAAGCCAGTCCCTCGGAGAGGTTTGCACTTTCTCCAGGGAAACAAGACACACAGACATAAAATTAACTACAGAAAAAAGTACATAATAAGACGCTTCCAGCCCTATACCTAAGTACCCCCGAAATGCCGAGTCAGATGGTGATGGACACTGGGGTGGAGGTAGCCCGAAAAGACTTTTGCAGAAGTTGAGGGTGAAGGTAGGTCTGCAAAGCAGTGATGGACCTGACTAATTTGCCAGTGTAGGCTGACTTAGCTCCCAGGCTGAGCCCTGGAGTGAGCACGGAATAGAGCCTCTCCTTTGCTTCCTAGAGACAGACCCTCAGGTCATTGTGGAGAGAATTCCAGGTAAACCTGTCCACGCGTAAATAATTTCCCAGTAGAGGGGAAGAGCGTAATGCTCCCTTGAACTCGGCAGAATGAAAACAGTGACTACTGGGGTTTCTCTTGCAGCGTGCTCTTCTGCAAGTTCATTCAGAGCATCCCTGACAACCAGTTAGTTCGCCAGAAACTGAACTGCATGACCAAGATAGTAGAGAGCAATCTTTTCCGGCAGTCGGGTGAGTCTCCACCAAAAACTGCTGCTTGCAGAAATCCCGGTCTTGTGTCTTCTTCAGCCAACACTGCCTTTTTTTTTTTTTAATGTCAATAATGTCCTTGCCAATCGTTTGCTGGTACTTGAGGACCTCCTGGGAAACCAGTTTTAAGGAGAAGGTGAAGTCAGTTCAGCATTCCCATAGTTCCTGAAAGAGCAAAATCATGTGTTCTTTAATCTTTAATTTGAAGTCGTGTTTCGTTAATTAGCAAACTTTGTCCTCAAAATAGGAACCCCATAAAGTAACAGGCAAGCAGTAAAGACGGTTCTTTTAAACAAATGCATCTCCTTTGACTTAGAGTATAACGCCAGTAACCAGGGGCTGGGGCAGGCAGTGATGCCATGATGCTGTAGGGCAGTGATGGACTGCATGTCACTTATACTGGCTCGGCGGAGCTGGTTATGCACATCTCTTCTCGACTCCATGCCCAGTCATGTCATCTTAGTGGCTGAAGAGTGACCATGGCAGAAGAACTTACACCATGGAAACTGGCAATCACTATAAATCAGAGAGGTTTTGGGGGGAGCTGTAGGAAAGCCAGACTACCGTCATACTGCTGGGAGCAGAGAGGAGAACACTCTTACACTGATAAAAGACTCTCCATTTTGTAACTAGAGTCAAGCACATAGCCCCCAGGTGGAAATCACTGTGTTCCTGTCCCAAAGTTGACATAGGAAAGAGGTCCAATACCTGGTTCTTTCCCAGTAAACGCAAGACTCGCTAGGGTGGGGCAGCCGTGGGAGCTTCTTTTGAAGCCACCACCAGGTCAGGGAGTCCCAGAGGGTGACTCATGCAGTGTGTATTGGCTGGAGGGTCTGAGGATTGGCAGGACACCTCAGAAATAGGAAAAGTTGAGTGGGTTGTTGGTGGGAGAACCCTTCTAGCCTTGCCCCTGGCTAGTTATGTAACTTTGGACGAATGAGGGACCTTCTCTAAGTCTCAGCTTCTGTTTCTATGGAAGGATGGACTTGAACTAGATCATATCAGCACGTCTTTTGGCTCTGACCTTTTCTGAGCCTCAGAATTTGTGCTTAGACGTTTCAGCTGTTCCAAGGACCCAGTCAGGGGGAGTGCAGAAAGCTAGTGAGCGCTCTCAAGTGGAAAACTTAATACTAGTCAACTTCTTACTACGCTGTGATTCCCTCTGCCTCTAAGGATGCATAAACCATAAATGAGACGATAAAGATGCATTGTTTGAGCAGAAGAGCAAGGATGCCCTGGAAGATTCCAACAGAGGAAGTATTATCACCATTCACAGTCGTTTCTGTTAGTGCCCAGAATGTCGGGACTCATCAGAATGATATTTTATCGTTGTGCAAGATCTCAGAAGGAAGACATAGTAGGAAGATAATACCTTACTTTATGAAGTCCACGTGCCTGCGAAAGCATGAACAGAATGTCTGTGAAACACTGAGATGTGCTGGTGGAGCTCAGTATTCATAGGAATTTTCGAGTACATTTTCTCCATTAGGTGGAACGTTTCAAAAAAATTAAAAGCATATACCTTGCTTAGTTTATTAGTTTCATATGACTTAGCTTGCAAGTATCAATTTGGCTCTTTTTTTTTTGGCTGCGCTGTGCAGCTTGCAGGATCTTGGTTCCCTGACCAGGGATCAAACCCGTGACCCCTGCAGTGGAAGCGCGGAGTCCTGGACCGCCAGGGAATTCCCAAGTTGGCCTTTTTTTAGAAAAAAAAAAAAAGCTAAAGAAATTGTTAAATACTTTAAACATTTGGCTACATGGACCCACAATAGGCGGGATTTTCTTTGTTTTTAAGGTCAAGGTACTGGGCTAAAATTCCGTGCCTAAAACCACATGCTCCTCGGTGGCCTGGAGGAGCCCCTGCAGGGCTGAGTGCACAGTTGGGAGCTGGGGGAACAGGCAGAGAGGGAGTTGCAGGAAGGAGCCAGGCAGTTCTGGGGGGGGGCGCTCCTACAGCTGGTGAGTGGTCTGCATTTTCCCCCTCAGAGTGCAGAGACGTGTTGTTGCCTCTGCTGATAGACCAGCTCAGCGGCCAATTAGACGACAACTCCAGCAAGCCTGACCATGAGGCCAGCTCGCAGCTTCTGAGCTACCTCCTGGAAGTTCTGGACAGGAAGGATGTGGTGAGTCAAAGAGTCACTGATGCAGAGCAGAGCGTACACTGGTCCCATGGCCTGGGACAGGAACCACTGCCCGGCTCTCCTAGTCCCAGGCAGTTGAGAACCTGGGCGCTGGGGCAGGCTGCACCCATTTTAGAGGTGTTTAGAGAGGCTTCTCCCGGCTAGACTCTGTCATGCAAATCTAGGTCCAGGGAGATCCACCTACTGCTGGGGCTGCTACTGGTTGATTTTCCTGATTGGCCCAGTTTGCCCATCACTGAGATCCTGCTGAGGACTTTTCAGATCCAGAGCCCTGTTTAGACTTGTTAGGTAGAAACCTCTACCCTGTTATACCTCCGATACCTGACAGCACTATTGTAGATCTACCAGAGCTTCTGAGAAGTTCTCATTTTATGTTCTCTCTGAAACTGATCCTTCCTTCTGGAGCCTAGTAGAAATGATGTGCGTTTTTTTTGTTTTTTAATCTCACCTCATCTCCTCCCCCTCAAAAAGCCCAGGGCCACACTGCCTGGATTTTCCATGTTCTAGAGATAGACCTGTCACAGCCTCCACTCAAGAGGCTGGAGAACTTTGCAGAATGTTTTCAGTCGAAGACAAACCATAGTCGCTACCCCCCATGATGGCTACATGGCACCCATGTTCCTACAGAGAGGCGGGTGTTATGAATCACTTTCATTTAAAGAAATAGGAAGCAAGCAGAGAAATAATAAAAAGCAAGGAAGGAAAGAAGGGAGGGTGGGAGAGAGGGGACGCTAACGATACTTGGTGTTTTAATAAAATTACATAAATAGCAGTGATCTAGTTGTTTGAAGCATTAAGCAGGAGATTTGAATATCTGTCAAGAAGCAATAATGGGTAAAGGCTTTGAAAAGGCAACTTGAATATTGATAAGTTGGAGCTGAAGGAGTATAGCATCAAACCACAAGAAAAGAAAGAAGGAGAAAGAAAGACTGAACATTCATGAGGCACTGTTGGGTGCATCAGCCCAGCTAATTCCTGTACGGGATCTTTTCTTTCTTTTCTCGCAGCTATGAAAATTGAAGCTCCACAAAGTTAAATAATTGCTCATGGTCACACATGACAGAGTCAGAATAGTAAATCCCCGTCTTAGTCTGCTCGAGCTGCCGAAACAAAATACTGCAGCCTGGGTGGATTAAACAACAGAAATTTATTTCTCATAGTTCTTGGGGCTTGGAAGTTCAAGGTCACGGTGCCTGCATGGTTGGGTCCTGGTGAGGCCCTCTTCCGGTCCTGCAGATGGCCACCTTCTTGTTGTGTCCTCACATGGCCTTTCCTTGGTAGGGCAAGCTCTCAGGTGTCTCTTCTTATAAGGATACTAACCTATTACTCCCAGGCCCTGTCTTCACGACCTGATTATCTATCTCCAAAAGCCCCATCTCCAAATACCATCACATTAGGGGTTAGAGCTTCAACACAGGAATTTTGAACGCGAATGATCAGTCCATAACAATCTCCTTGACTTGAATTTCTTGTTTTTTTACATCCTAGAGAGGAGGTAGCAAGAACTTCATGTTTTCGCCTTTTTCTTCCCACTTATGTGCCAAATTGTCCTGGGTAACCTGATCTACTCAGCATCAGGACTGAGTACCTCGTGCTAGCAGGAGTCTCCATAAACTGTTGAGTTGCTGGCTACAGGGAGCTCTCAGCGAGCCCAGATGACCTGGGTCGTTAGAGAAGCTTTCTTCCCCTGCATCTCCACGTTCATCTTTTAAATGTCAGAACCAATTATGTTCAGCAGATTCCTTAATAACATTATGTATCGTTCTGTGACAATGTTTCCCCCTTTTAGACAAGAGGTTGCTTTGTACTGAAGAGCCAGAATGAGAGTTAAAGAGAACTCTCAGCAGTCCAGAGTTTCTTTAAGAGAAGTGAAGCTGAGTCAGAAGAAGTGGTGTCCATCCCTTTGTTTCCCCCTCAGGGTCCCACGGCGCTGCACGTACAGCTGATAATGGAACGGCTGCTGAGAAGGATCAACCGGACCGTGATTGGGATGAGCCGACAGTCTCCCCACATCGTGAGTGTCGCCCAGGGGGCCACACAGCCACTGCAGCTGCTTTTTTTTTTTTTTTTTTTTTTTTTTGCGGTACGCGGGCCTCTCACTGTCGCGGCCCCTCCCGTTGCGGAGCACAGGCTCCGGATGCGCAGGCTCAGCAGCCATGGCTCATGGGCCCAGCCGCTCCGCGGCATGTGGGATCTTCCCGGACCGGGGCACGAACCCGTGTCCCCTGCATCGGCAGGCGGACTCTCAACCACTGCGCCACCAGGGAAGCCCCACCGCAGCTTCTTAGTGTCCCATCCCACCTGCCCATTGGGGGGATTTGGGGAGCAGTGTCTTGAGACCAAATTCACGTAGGCCCCTCCCATCCCAGTTTCCAGTCTGCGCTGTGGGCTGGGTGGCATAGCTCCCTCGGGAAATGAATGGGGTCTAGAACTTTACAGCCCCCCTGGACGAGTGCCTCTTCGTTATAACTGTGAGTAAATCTGATGCTGATTTTCTCTTGAGGGAAAATGATCTACCAGGGAGGTAGGGGAGGCAAATGGGGGAAAATTTTAAAGGATCTCGCCAGTACAAATCATAAGGAGCCTTGCTCATAGGGAAGGTGAAACAAAAGCCTCTTATAATATGTTAAAGCAGAGACCCCCTGAGATATGCAGGCACCCTAGGTGGACTAAGAACTTGGGACCCATTCGACCTAATGCTCTTTCAATATTTGCTTAATATTTTATTTCAGGAAAATGTGAGCCTTGGTGAGCAGAAAATTAGGGCTCTGGCTGACTGCATTTAGCATTTCCTCTATTGTCTCAAGCAGTTTAGTTGTAATTCCCAATGCACGCATGCTCTGTGTGGATCTGCCTTTGTTAGAAGGATAACAGTAATAGTATCAGTGTGTCCAGCCAGCGTGATGATAATGGTAGTAGTCACTGTTAGCTCATTTTTGTGCGTGTGCTAGAAACTCTCTTAAGCACTTCATTGAAAGGTCACACCAAGCTCCATTTTGCAAATGAGGAAACGTGCAAAAACCCGAGCAAGGTTACACAACCACCAGGTGATTGAGGTGGGCTTTGGCCCTGGGCAACCAGCCTGGAGGCAGCACCTTGCATGCTGTCAGCCGTGCCCACCCCCAACAGCTCACCAAGTTATGTTCCCAACTATGCACCATAGTCACCGTGAGAGGAATTCTGATAACGTCAGTTTTCCCCTTCGTATCGTATTCCCCGTGATATTTGGTGTGCTTAAAAATCAGTGCCCTGTGGTACCATCCAGCCCTTGTGGTTCAAGGAAAAACCATTTAAAGAACTTGGGATTAGCATGCTGTTAGAAATCTCAGTGTTGCCCTGGCCTCTTATTCTCCGCCTGTTACGTCTATTAAATGTCAGATAAAAAGTGTGCTCGAGACCAGAGGTAACTGTTGAAAGGCCGAGCTGTATCATCATTAAAATGAAGCATCTTTTACTAAAGGTGCATCTTTTGCGATGCTAAAATCTCTGATTAGATTTTTAATCAGAGGACATAGAAAAAGAACTATCCCAAATTGCTGTGGTAAATAAAAACCATTTATTCAACAAATATGTATTAAGAAACTACTTAAGCCAGGCACTGTTCTAGATGCTGGGGATATATCAGGAAACAAAACAGACAAAAATCACTACCTTAGAGAAGCTTACATTCTAGCAAGAACAATTACAGAAAAATAAATGGCAGAGTATTAGAAGGCTATAAGTGCTATGGAGAAAAAAATGAGTGGGATAAGGGGAGTTAGAAGAGTTACAATTTATGTAAGCTGATTAAGAATGGCTTTCCTGGGTCTTCCCTGGAAGTCCAGTGGGTTAGGACTCCACACTTTCACTGCCAGGGACCCAGGTTCGATCCCTGGTCAGGGAACTAGAATCCCACCAGCCGCGTGGTGCAGCCAGAATAAAAAACAGGCTTTCCTGAAAGGGTCAAATTTGGACAAATGCTTGGCAAAGGCCTGGAGAAACAAATAGTGTTAGGTGCTGATGGTAATGCAAACTATATGCTGATTTGGCAATATATATCAAAGCCTTAATACAATAAATTTACATCACTTTATAATTAGAAAAATAAACTTTTTTAAACAAAAGAGACCTAAGACAGACATTCATTCAGAGAGAGGTGTACATGGATAGTATTTCACTGTTTTTGTGTTTAGGAAGTTACTCTCTCCCTCCCAGGAACAGCTGTATTTTCATCTCCTCTGTGCCGAGTTCACTTAAATTTGTGTTGTTTTCATAACTATATGAATACAAGAAGATACTACCTTAGATACTTGCCCTCTGGCTAGAAAATTAAGTCTGTGGCTCAAATATGGTTGGACTAGGGGAAAGCAAGTTGAATATGTAATTCCTGGCCTCAAAAATGGAAATGATGGTAATCATCTAATTATCCGATCCCTTTCTTCAAACCAGGTCACAATAACACAGCATAACATGCTAGGAATCACTGGCCAAAGGATTCTAGAGCTGGTGGAATGACATTGAAGTGGTCCAGCAGGGAGCTCTCCTAGCCTCTCTTCTGCTCTTCCACTCAGTTTTACGACCTCTCTTCGACCTCTCTTTTTCCTCTTTGCATTCCTCCAAGCTCAAATTTATTTAAATGATGTAAATACTTTGGACGTTTCTCCCTGGACGTCTGTCTTACACCTCAGTCTCAACAAGCAACTCAGGGTCTGCAAGTTGTTACAGCTTAACTAGTCATCTAGCTGAGATCTTACAGTCAGTATCCCCTGACCTACAGGATTTCAGAGGTCATGGCTATTCATAGGATGAGTGAAGCCCTCCACACTGCTTCACTCAAACGTGGAAGTACCTTCTTTTTAGCAGAAACTGCAAAGCCCATGCCTTTGGACCTTTAGAATGCAGTATGTTTCCAGCGTGCTGGGGTCCCTGCATAGTTAATTGGGTGGGAAAAACCAAAGTACATGCACCCAAATCTTGGCTTTGTCAGTTGGTGATCTAAGGAGCTGGGATTTGTGTTTTCGGTCTCCTTCCAGGGGAGTTTCATTGCTTGCATGATTGCCATCCTGCGGCAGATGGACGAGAGCCACTACAGCCACTACATCAGCACTTTCAAGACCAGACAAGACATTATTGTAAGTTGTCTTCATTGGATCCTGGTAACTTAAGACTTCTCATATTTTGGCAGAATTGAGCGTCATGAGTCTGGGGTTCTCTTCCCACACACCTCTGAATGCTGTGTCGCTTTCCACTGGGGTTATAAGAGGGAGAGTTTTTCTTTGCCACAGGATTTGAAGAAGAGTCCAGTACATATACCAGGAGGTCCTCACGCAGCCACCTACGTCTCTTGGATTTAGAGAGAGCCCATATTTAGAAACATTTGGGTGACCTCTTTTGCTCTCAGAAGAGGACAGTGTCTCATTTTCAGGGACAGTAGTCACCCATGCCCTGGCAAGGATTTTAGGAGGCAGAGATGTTCATGGTCTTTTAAGATGTGGTTGATGTCATCCTTTTCGGTATTCCCTGGAGAGGGAAACAAAAAGAGGTAATACCTGCCCCCAGGTAACAGTTGTAAGTTATCGTCAGTTGAAAATAATTCCATTCTCTTCTGTTTTAAACAAGAAAATTGTTCTCATACTTACCATTAAGCATACAGCCGAAGGTGGCCCAAGAGGCTAAGTTAGATCTCTGGCTGCTTCCCCAGGATCCTTCCCTTCAGGGAATTGTTAGTGGCTGTTAAACATCCCTGAAGGTGAGAATTCCCTGGCTGTCCAGTGGTTAGGACTTGGTGCTTTCACTGCCGTAGCCTGGGTTTAATCCCTTGTCGGGGACCTAAGATACAACAAGCTGCATGGCCCAAAAAAAAAAAAAAAAAAAAATCGCTGAAGGTATTGTCTTATCTTGTGAAGTAGTGGGCTGGACAGGGAGCTGTATTAACAGGCAAGGTCTCATTGCACTCATCTTTGCTCCAGGTAACTTTACATCATTCGTGCGTATTCCAATTTTTTTATGCTCCATATTTTCTACTTTCTGCTATACTGATAGCATGTGGCCAGTACACCCAAGGGTATCCAGCTCTTTCTCTGCCAGTCACTCTCCTTTCTGTGAGGTCTACATGAAGGAAAAACACACAAGGAATTGTACTGTTTATTATTATTAGTTGTAATCGATCCAGTGATGAACCCTCAGAGCACTGTCCTGGACCACAATAAAGGACTTAATGGGGCTTAGTCTGGAGTCCTATGTGGACCTCCACGAAGGCCATGCTCTGGCTGGCAGCGTGGTACAGGAATCCGTAGCGATCCGTAGCTGTGCTTGCAGAGATCTGGGTGAGAGAATTAGGAAGAGGGGAGAGGTGGGGAGAGGTGGAAGCCGAGGGTAGCAGTGATTCTCCTCCGTAGTGGGTTTAAGAACACAGGCTTTAGAACACCCGGATCTGGGTTTGAATTCTGACTATTCTGCTTCCCTCTGAAATTTTGGGCAAGCTGTCTAACCTCGCTAAACCTCAATTCCTCCTCTGTAGGTTGGTACCTACCTGGGGGCAGGAGGTAGTTAATGTGAGTATTGATGAGTGGACATGTGGAAAATGCCTCACTTTGTTCCTGGCGTGTGTTACTAGCTATGAGAACCAACTACTTATAATAATGATAATGATATTACATTATCATTACATATATAATAGTATATTATTATTATGTAAGATAAAATTAATATAAAAATAGTTTAGTGACTTTTTCTCAGATTCCCTTCTGAAAGCAGGAAGAATAAAGAAAGTTATAATAAATTCAAACTCTTGACAATTTGGCTCCTTTAAGTAAGCAAAAAGAAGAAAAAAAAAACCAAACCAGATTTAGTGGTGAGCTCTTCCCCAGCATCATCATTTTTTTTTTTTTTCCCGGTACGCGGGCCTCTCACTGTTGCGGCCTCTCCCGTTGCGGAGCACAGGCTCCGGACGCGCAGGCTCAGCGGCCATGGCTCACGGGCCCAGCCGCTCCGCGGTATGTGGGATTTTCCCGGACCGGGGCACGAACCCGCATCCCCTGCATCGGCAGGCGGACTCTCAACCACTGTGCCACCAGGGAAGCCCTGCATCATCTAATTAAAAGAGGATTGTTGTCCCCAAGGGAACAGTAGCCATCAGTGGCAGAACCGCAGGGTACGGCTAAGCCCTTTGACCTCCAGTGGACTGTCCTTTCTCTCGCTCCTGCTGCTTCTGAAGAAATCACTTGAAAGACTTTGGGAAGTGGTAGATAAAGTGAGTCCTGGGGTTATCTGTGAACTGCCTTTATTATGTCATCACTGTTTACAGTTCACTGAGAGCACTAGAGTTGAATATGGAGTTGGCATCAGAATAGATAACCGGCATCTACATCCTTGTTTCACAAACCATCAACTCCTGTTGACTTGAGGAAAAAAGTTAATAGAATAGTTAATAAGTAATGGATGCACTTAAAATGGATGATGAAAAACTGAAAAACTTGTGAACTATGTCTGATTTCAGAATGGAGGGTAGAGAAGTTTGACTCTCCATTGAACCAGAAGGAAGTAACACAGACTTGAGAGCTGAAATTGCTCCCATTCCTATGCTGTTTGGCATCCGAAGTGTACTGGTTAGCCAACAGGACCGGGGTCTCAGAGGAATATTGTTAGAAATAGAACCCAGGCCCCCTGCCTCCCAAGCCCTGTGTTCTTTCTGTATATGATGCCATTCATGAGCTAGAACTGCATGGTTTAGTGCCAGAGAAATTGGACTGGATTTTCATTTCAGGAATCTGAGCGGAAAATGTCTAACTTTAACTAACTAATAAATTAAAAAGCTTCCCAAACTTTTTAGCTTTGATATTTTAGCCCGATTGTTCTGAGTTCCTTTTTCCTCTTAGCCCTCTTTCGAGTAGAATAGCTGTTTTTTTTCAGTACTGGGCTTTTGTTATTAGGTTTTACAGACATGATGGTCCACTGCTATAATCTCTTTTTAAGGACCATTTAGGACCCTCCCCCCAGGCTACGCATGGTAACGTTCCTGGAAGAGGAAGAATCATGACTCTGCTTCTTATTTATAGCATTTTTGTTCTGTTCTAATAATAATAAGGGAGAATTGGACTCAGAGTTATTAGAAGTATCAGTTTTCTCAGACTCAGATACAGAGAACAAACTGGTGGTTGCTAGAGGGAAGGAGGGTAGAGAGATGGATGAAAGAGGTGAAGGGGATTAAGAGATCCTAACTTCCAGCTGTAAAGTAAATAAGTCCCAGGATGTAGTGTACACATAGGGAATCCAGTCAGCAATGTTGTAACAACTTTGTATAAAGACAGATGGTAACTGGGTTTATTGTGGTGATCATTTCCTAATGTATAAAACCATCAAATCACTATGTTGTACACCTGAAACTAACATAATATTATGTTAATATTAATTAACTAATATAATATGTTAGTATGTTAATTGTAACTCAGTTTTTAAAAGACACCAAAAAGTGAAAAAAAAAACAAAACAGGTATCAGTTTTCTCACAATTGTTGGTGAATTCATTTGAAGTACAGTAGATCCATTCAGACAACATTGGCGGCCAAGGACTGAAGATATTATGGCTCTGAACTTGGGATCCAGAATCCTAAGGTCTCTTCCTAGATCTCCAGCTTCTTGGTTTCTATGGCCTTAAGCCAGTCGTTTCATTTTTCAACAGTCTCAGTTTTATCATTTATAAAATACAGACAATTTTTTAATCCTTCTCTTCCTTATCAGATTACATGATGTAAACATCAAATCATAGGATACCTGTAAGAATGCTCTGTTGCATACACACTGCTATGTTTAAAATAGACGACCAACAAGAAACTACTGTACAGCACAGGGAACTCTGCTCAATATTCCGTAATAACCTAAATGGGAGAAGAATTTGAAAGAGAATAGATGCATGTATATGTATAACTGAATCACTTTGCTGTACACCTGAAACTAACACAACATTGTAAATCAACTATACTCCAATATAAAAGAAAGTCAAAAAAAAATACTCTGGTATCCCTATAAACCTTACTCAAAAGACAGACTGTTATGGGACCTGGGCCATCGTGTTCCTTCCTTTACGTCAGTGTGCTGGAGGAAAGGCTTATGAAGTGTAACCCAGTTTTCCCCCAACCATTCCTCCTTTGTTTTCTGCAGGACTTCCTCATGGAAACTTTTATCATGTTTAAGGATCTAATTGGAAAGAACGTCTACGCCAAAGACTGGATGGTCATGAATATGACACAGAGCAGGTGAGACCGACCATCGCAGGGCCGGAGGCGTTTGAAAACTTGGGTCCGGAAACTAGGTTTTGACCCTTGTGAAGCATGTTAAATCTCTTTGCTTCAAGCCCACCATCTGTAAAGTAAGGTTCCTCCCGCTTTCGTGGTCCTGGTTTACATGCTTCTGTTCTTGATTCCAGGCAGGCTACTGTGGTCACTCCGACTTGGGCTCTCTACTCTCTTCTTTCTGCTATAACCTCCTCATTGTTTTCATGTTGATTGTCAGCATCAGCTCTGCAAGGTATCTTTCAGTGTCTCCATATGGCCTTCATCATCCTGACATTCAAGGCCTCTGCATCCCGGCCCACCCTGCTTTTCTAGCCTTGTCTTCCACTGTTTGCCTCTATATACAACTTGCCCTCCAATCAAACTGGCCTCTTCCCTCCTAACCCTGACCCTGACCCTGACCCTGACCCTGACCCTGACCCTGACCCTGAACATGTTCTGTGCCTCCGCTCACGCTGCTGCTTCTACCTGCAGTGTCTGCCCCATTGTCTCTGGCCATCAACATGCCTCCCATTCCTTCAGGTCCTTCTCAAATGCCATCTCAAAAGGAAGCCGTTCTGATCTGGATGTCATCTTCTCTTCTTTTGATTTCCACATACCTCTTTGATACCCCCTCCTAGAGTTTTCCATATTCTTTGTTGGGTCATGGTTCGATTTACAGGTTGCAAATGATCTCCACCAAGTTGTAGATTTCTTAAGACCAGGAACCATTCTTTCAAGGCAGAACCTAAGCCAGTGCTTTGCAGTTGCTGATCCTCAACAAAGACTTGTTGAATGAAAGTGAAATGGACTGAATACAGATACTAAAAGAGATTCAGGATTTTTTTTTTTTTTTTTTGTGCGGTATGCGGGCCTCTCACTGTTGCGGCCTCTCCCGTTGCGGATCACAGAATCCGGACGCGAAGGCTCAGCGGCCATGGCTCACAGGCCCAGCCGCTCCGCGGCATGTGGGATCTTCCCGGACCAGGGCACGAACCCGTGTCCCCTGCATCGGCAGGCGGACTCTAAACCACTGTGCCACCAGGGAAGCCCCGAGATTCAGGATTTTTAAAGAGCTAAATAAAGTAAATCATTATGATAAGCATTTTTGTTAACTCTTGGTGGTCCTGATACCTGATTAGAAAAACCCTTCCCAACTATGTACAGATTAGAGAAACAATTGCATCCGAAATCCTAGACTTTAAAACGTAAGCATCACTTTGGAGCAAAAGGAGCCTTGGTCTGAGGCTCAGGAGCCCTGGCTTGTCCTCTGAGCTGTACCTGAACTGGCTAAATTGTGATGCAGCCGTGAGCTGTGCTAGTAGTCAGTTCAAGAAACTGATCTTCAGTGACCTTCTCTGTAGAATGTGCTGTAGTTGGTCTCTAAGGACCTTGATAGATCTAAAGGTCTTAGATTGCCAAGTCCAGGTTTGATTTGCTTTGGCTTTTAACATAGATGGAAAATGTTTCAAGGAGCATGAAGTTGCCTTCTTTATCCAGTGTGTTTTTCCTCCCCTAGGGTTTTCCTCCGTGCCATAAATCAGTTTGCTGAGGTTCTCACAAGATTCTTCATGGATCAGGCAAGCTTTGAACTTCAGGTAAGCGTGCGACTCACCTAGGAGTTCCTTGAATTCTCAGCCAAAGCAAGAGAACCGTTTCATTTTGGAAAACATCACCTCAGACTTTTTATCATAACACAAATACACACAAACACACCTGCTTGCAGGTAGGCACGCAGGTATTCCTCTACCTACAAACGGTTTAGTGTCCAAAGAGCAGTTTGTATAAACACCTGTTTGAAAATCCAAAGTGATAGCAAAACTGGTGATCACTAACTCCATCTTCCTTCATTCATTCATCCAACAAATTTAGAGAGTTAATATGTACAGGGCACTATTCTAGGCCCTGGTGAAGGCAGACAAGGTCCTGCTTCCGTTACAGGGTACATTTTGTTGGTGATGTGCTTTTGCTGTGATACGGCCTGCGTTTGTATCTATGGAACTTTGGAAGTAGAGTGTCATAAGCAGAGGAGATTATGTATACATATTGCATATACATATACATGTTTATGTGTGTATATACATATGTTTTTATATGTGTGTGTGTATATATATCAAAATGGTTATATACGTGTGTGTATTTATACACACACACACATAAGTACCTATGCCAAAATGGAATCAAGCTGTACAGTTCTTTGGTAACCCGTTAATCTACTTTATTTACTTTTTCTGTGATCTTTTTGATGATAATAAATATTTTCACAGTATTTTTAATGGCTGAAATACAGTGCATTGTATGGCTGGACCATGGTTTATTTAACTGAATTCTTCTTATGAGCATCTAGATTGTTTCCATTTTCTGTTATTATGTTCAATAGCAGTGTGAGGGCCTTCCTTGTTTTAAATATTTTTTTAAATACCCGTAAATATGTTACCAGGATAAAGTCCTAAAGTATTTACTAGTCAGAAATTCGGCAGATTGTCAGGGCTTTTGATAAGTATTGCCCAACTACTTACTATAAATAGGTACGCTTCTTGGCAACAGTTTTCCTTTATCCCAGGAGTAAAGACAAATATAATAGTTTGGGTTATTTTTAAAAGCTTGATATTAATAAAGCATTAAAACTTTCAGGGATGAATAATTGAAACACAGGAGAGAAAAGGAAGTCCTGTGGGTTTTATTTTGGATTTTTTTTCCCGTTAATTTCTGGCGAGTGCATTTGTACCATGTGGCACTGTTTTATTATGACCCACATTAATGTTATTTTCTGTTTCTTTTCACCCACATCATGAATTTTGAACAGCTGTGGAACAATTACTTCCATTTGGCAGTCGCTTTTCTCACCCACGAGTCCCTTCAGCTTGAAACCTTCTCACAAGCCAAGCGCAACAAAATTGTAAAAAAGTGAGTGTCCTCTTGAACTTGCTTACGATTGGGAAGGTGATTCTTCCATTTCTAATTGGAGCAGGAGTTTTGGCATCACAGAAATTACTGTTCAGTGGCTACCTGTGTTGTTAGTGAGATAGGTCTTAAAATAATCATTTAATAGACCTCAGATTTCCCCAGATTCACATCTCTTCTCAGGGGCCCATTCATTTTCAAATCAACCATCACATTCTATTATAGAATCTCTACATAAAGAGACACTGAAGCCAGCCAGTCCTCCCATCACCGGGAACAGCTGCCATCTGCTGGCAGCTTGTCCAAATGGCAGGCATAGTGCCTCTCTGTCTCATGCTTCACAGAGCAGACTCCTTTGGCACCATTGGTCTACCTCCCAGTTTCAGTCACTTCAGCAGAGGAGCCAAGAGTAACACATCACCTAAAAACACCCTCCAGATTCCTGGCTCAGAATTCAAAATGGACCTGTGTGCAAGAGTGATGAGAGATTTAGGGAAGACTTTCATTGGTTTCAGCTCAAGTCTGTTTCGAAGTTCATTGAGAGCCTGGGACCTCAAAGGCTGTGTAATTAAATAGAACTTGAGAAATTTATCATTTAAAAGCTGTGAATTTTAGTTCTGTTCCTCTGCTAGCATGTCTGGGACTCTAGGCAAATTATTTAGCATCCCTCTAGCTCCTCCCTAAAATACTAAGATTGATGGCTAAGTGATTGAGATCTAGTGATTGCACTTTCAAAGATAAAAGTAAAACCTGTTTTGTAGATTTCCTTGTGGGGTGGGTATCAAGAGAGATTTGATTTTTAAGATGGACACCTTAATCTTATTCTCTAGAATACTGTAGATGACATAACTTCATTCAAGGATGTATTTGATTTTGGTTAAATGACCATAAGTGAAATGAGTTGACACCAAGTCTGATAAATAAAGTGGCTAGTTAAGATTAATGATTCTGGTTTTGGTCAAAGGAAAGTGTGACTGTTAAGTACAATCCATGTAAAAATATATATGCCTATGGGCAAAGATAAACCTTAGGAAATAAAAACATTTATATTAAGCTTATAGGAATGTGAATGAATTTCTTTTCAAGACTTCTCTGATTTTTAGTAAAAGCATCAACAGTAATATTAATAAGCAATAAGAATAGTTATCATTTATTATCTATTATGTGCCGGACATGGACCACATATGCTTATATAATAATAATAAAATTAGCTTAGGTACCTTTGTTAAATAGGAATAGTAAGAAAAATTTTTCAATATGATTTTTATACTGGCTTCTGAAGACACTTCCAAAGCAAGAATTTGAAAAAAGGATGTTTGGTGCAATAATATCATAGGTAGAAAACATAGAACCGTGCTGGCAGGGTAGGTCATAAGTCCATATTCTAACTCCTTGGGAACATTTACAGCATCTACTTTTGACCCACGCTATTTCTATTTTCTAAGCCTCTAGCCTCTGATATGGTATATGGTGTGGGGCAGCCCTAGGCATATGTATTCTTTAAGAGATTTTCAGGTGACTCTGATTCACCTCCGCCCAAGAACCACTGTCTAGATCAATGCTTCTCTACTCTTTTTTCCTCCATTGTCAACTCCTGTAAGGAACCTTTTTAGGAAATGTTTTTCTAATCACACCCCCCATGAAATATTAATACCACAGATACACCATATATCAGTTTATGTACTAAATGTATATCTGTACTTTATACATAAAAACAGGAAGCTTTTTTTTTGCCCCCATGGACCAATTTTCACCCCTTCAGGGATACTGTCACCCCCACTGAGAAATGTATGTCTAGAGATTCCCAATGTGAGTGCTTTGAAGAGCGTCCTGGTGTGGCTAAGGGTTACTCAAATATAAGTATATAAAGGCCAGCCACATTACTGTGTAAGTCATCCCTCATTCATCTTCCTTTTCTTTAGTGTTTGTTGTGTTTTATTTTATTGGTTTGCTTAAGAGCAACCAGAGTGTCTCTCACTCTTCCCTCTTCAATAAAGTTTGTTAATCTCATTTTCTCAGTGAGTTTTTGACACTTACTTTGGTCTTCCTCTTGCTGTGAAAGTCCCTCCACCTCTATGTGGCTCAGTTCTTGGGGGCTTTTTTAGGTATCGACCACGTCTCCTTGTGGGATCTTAGTTCCCTGACCAAGGATCGAACCCTCACCCCCTGCAGTGGAAGCACAAGCCTTAACCCCTGGACCACCAGGGAAATCCCTCGACCACATCTCTTAATGTGATTTTGCCTTGAGACCTAGCTTAATTGTGACCTAGAGGAACACAGGCTCTTTTACTTCCCTCGTCATTGTATTATGTGTTCTCGTTTCCATTGCACATCTTTCTCCTGGTTTATGATCTCCTTCCTAGATACGGGGACATGAGAAAGGAAATCGGCTTTAGGATCCGGGACATGTGGTATAACCTGGGTGAGTGTATAACCCAAACAGGCCCACACACCACTCCTGGGCGACACGCATCCCACGATGAATTCTTTTCCATTTTAATTCCAAGAATCCTGAGATTGATTTCTCTGTGTGTCTGGAAGTGCAAGTTGACTTGTCGGTCTCTTACGACATCACATGTTATCAGAAAACAATATTTAGTCACTCACTTCTGAATTGATTTACCCACATAAACTTTTTCTTTTCTTATGGGCCCTGTGGAGGAAGATTGTAGCACTTTACTTCCAGTGAAATTATTTTTTTTCATGTCCTCACTTACTTTCATTTCAGGTCCCCACAAAATCAAATTCATCCCATCCATGGTGGGTCCCATTCTGGAGGTCACACTGACCCCCGAAGTAGAGCTCCGGAAAGCCACCATCCCCATTTTCTTTGATATGATGCAGTGTGAGTTCAATTTCAGTGGAAATGGCAATTTCCATATGGTAAGGAGTGGTGGACCTGTCATCTTACTAATGCACGTAGAGTCGACTCTCATTTATTTTCTTTCTATATAGAGAAGCAGTAGCCTGAATAAAACAAATCAAAGGTGATCTAAAAACTTCTTTTTTTGCATTTTATTTTGTAAAGCAATTAGTCATAGGATCAGATATTCCAACCAAGGCTCTAGGAGCAGCCTTTTCTGCTGCGTGTGTTTCCTAAAGAAGCACTCTTATCTCTGGATAATTAAAATTTGACTTCATGCAGTTTAGTCCTATCTCTTACAAATATTGCGGTGGATTGAGGGAATGGTGCAGGGGTCTTTAGCTTTGAGACCTTAGTCTGCCTGATATATTTTTCCTATGCTTCAATTTCCTTATCTATACAGTATATTAGTATTGAATGGAAGATTTTGCAGCTATGAAGCTCTGCAAAAGCAATCCCATTGTCAAGACTTCGACAGGAACCAAAAATAAAATGGAAAATTAGAATCATTCAGCTATTTTTGTATGCATAGTTGTGATTAGATAATAATGTTTGGGGTAATTTTTTTCCGTAAATATAAAGCAAAGGACAGAGTAGCACAAGGCTGCTTTAGAAAGTTTTGATATTAATGGATGATGTGAAGTGGGGTCTTCCTCTATGTATGTTGGAATTAGTTTACAATTCAGTAAAGGGGTTGGGTCAAATCTAGAAAAGCTGGCTGGATGTCTTTCGTGTCCTCTTCTGAGAATGTGGCATTCTCCTGGAAATTCTGCCTCTGCTTTCAGTTTGAGAACGAGTTGATCACAAAGCTGGACCAAGAGGTGGAAGGGGGAAGAGGAGATGAACAATACAAGGTCCTTCTGGAAAAACTGTGAGTATTTCAGAAACAAAATCTCACGTTGATGGCATCATTTAGTGATGGAGAAAAACAGGCTTCTGCTGCCCTTACAGACCAGTCGAGTAGTCTCAGTATCCCTGGGGTCACCACCATGAATGGTTCTCGGGGGGTGGGGGGGTTCATGGAGTTTACACCGTCCACTGCTGACATTTGTCCATCTGCTGTGAGTCAAATGTTCATGTGTTCCTGGGCAGCCCGGCCCTCGAGAACAGAGCAGATTGAGAGGGAGATGGACAGAGTAGTGGCATTTTTTGCCCAGTGTTTGAAATGCTGAATTTTAACAAAAGTGCTAGCACCTCTAATTATGGCTTCGAAGCGATAATTTAAAGGAGAAGGGGAAAACATTTCAAGGTCCACTTTACATTTAAGAATACCTTATGCCCTGTGAAGGATGTCTGAGAACACCAGGTACAGCTCCAGCCCTTTTCACTGCCCTCCGCACACCCCAAGCCAACACATTGATTCCCTCCCTGTGCTCACATTATCCCACTGTTCCCTTTGCCTGTCACCCTCTGTCCCTCTTACTCTCCTTTGCACGTATGGAATGACAGTATAACAAGAGTGGTTAAAAACACTTAGATGTTGGAGAGAGAGATTGTGCTTCAGATCCCGCTTTCTCCACATACTAGGATTTTGATTTGGACAGATGCTCTAACCTATACAACGCCTCTTTTTTTTTTTTCTGGTCATCTCCAATGATAAGATCTGTATTTTGGTGAGGATTAAATGAGATGATGCATGAACACAGTGTCTGTCACAGAGCTTATGCTGGACAAATGTTGGCTGCTCTGGTGTTCATTACTGTTATTATCTGCAGATCTTCCCAGCATCCTGGGTTGTAACTACCCTAGACTGTTCATTTCTTATGCTCTCTGAACTTTTATGGTATTGGCCACCTCTGTCACCTGTTGATTGGGTACGTGCCTAAGTCTTTCTGGGATTTACCTGCTTCATGGACGTGGTGGGCACTAGACTGATCTGAGGACGGGGACACTCCCAACTCTGTTTTTCATTTTTCGAAGATTTTTTTAAGGAACCAGCACACGGGGTACTCAGAAATGGAACTGATGACTCGTCTATATTTTAAAGAGCTAGAAATCCGTCTTATTTTGTTTGTAATGGATGATAAGATCGTTTGTTGATCTTTTCATCCCATATCCATTTGGTCTGCCTGTTTGAGATTCAGACCTTTCAATTTATCACTTCTGCAGTTCTGATCTCATACGGGAATTAAGTGCAGGTGTTACACACACATACAAACACACACATTTACAAGTGATAATAAAACTACACTTTAAAAAAAAGCCTACAGTTGACTTTTCACATACAGATCTAATTTTTCCTTCATTCTTCTTAGATCACGAATGCAGAAAATTATGACTGCGCAAATTTCCAGTGCTCAAGAATAATTCTAGAGTCTGGACTAATGCTTTGAACCCATTTTTTCTCCTGTTCCCAAAGTTTTCTTCTAATTGTCTAACCTGAGAAGCTCCTATAGAAGCTTTGCTCTATTTGGGTCCAGAGGGAGAGGCTTTAGACCAAAAGTTTAACCTCCATCTGCCTATTTACAAGTGAGCATTTTTTCCAGAAAATAACATTTTTTTAACATCTTTATTGGAGTATAACTGCTTTACAATGGTGTGTTAGTTTCTGCTTTATAACAAAGTGAATCAGCTACACATATACATAATATCCCCATATCTCCTCTCTCTTGCGTCTCCCACTTTTATCCAAAGAGCCACATGTCTAGCAGTGTAGTAGGTTCCTAGGTTCCTCTAGGCTGGGCATCAGTCCAAGATTCTCCAGAGTTCCCTCAGGATGCCCTGAAGTGCTAGGCCTTAGGGAGAATAAAGACAGAGAAAAGATGGTCCTTTCAAATAAGTAGAGAGATCAGATAGCACACACAAACCTTTTGGGCAAAGGTTCTCATTTCTGTGGTATTGACAGAAGACAAAAACAAATACAAATAGAAATTCAAAGAAGGGCATAGTGGGCTAGGATCCTCAGTGATGACAGGGCTTGAGCTACAGACCTAAAGAAAATGTAGAACTCGAGTAACAGCGAGGAGCCTTGTAAGTGCAGGAGCCAGGCTAGCATAGACTGGAGTTACAAGGAAGGTGTATGTGTCCTAGTCTGGCGCCACCTGCTGCCAGGACCATGGACAGCGCTCGTAGGCGGTGCTGGAGTCGCCGTGTGGGACATGGTCATTTGTCTCTACCTCTGCCCCACAGGCTTCTAGAACATTGCCGGAAACATAAATACCTCTCCAGCTCCGGAGAAGTATTCGCGCTCCTGGTCAGCAGCCTCTTAGAGAATCTCTTGGACTACAGAACCATTATCATGCATGACGAGAGCAAGGAAAACCGCATGAGCTGTACCGTTAACGTGCTGGTACGTGCCACGCCCCTGGGATGGCGAGAGGGCAGTGCCCGGCCGTCCCTGCACCCCATAGCGCAGCTCTAAGTAGATCCGGCAGAGACAAAGGTCCCCTGGGACCACCTTTCCAGAGTCCGTGTCCTGCTGAGTCTAATTGGAATGGCCAACTCAACTTTGAACTCACAGATGCCAGCTGCCTCAGAGGATAAATGTGGAAACAGGGATAGGAAATGCAACATAAGCTCTTGACTCAACTCTCTTACCGAAGGCCATCCTCAGCCTGTTTCTCTGTCTTGCTTTTATGTGGTTGCTTTATTGTTGGGATTATTCGACACAGACGAAAATGCATTAAAAACAATATACCATGAATAGAGAATTAGTCCATGAAATCCTCTAGGTGGTGGAACCCTGTGGTCTTGCCTCTCCTTAGACAGTTGTAACTGGCAACACAGACCTCAGAGGTTTAGGCCGCCATACACTCCTCTTCATATAAATCAAGAACCTACCACCTCTGATTCCCTGAGAAAACAGAATATCAGGTGAATTGGGTATGACCCACCTGTCTATTCACCTAGAAGGTTCCCTCACATTTCCCAGAAGCATGGTCCTAAAAGAATTCAACTTTTCTGCTTTATAAATTGTCACTTCCTTATTTTGTTGGGGGTGTTCGTTAAAGGGAAAGAAGAAAGTCTTTGGAAAAGTGACACTTGAAAAGTGCAAGTAGTGGTTTGTCCATTTTTGTGGCAAGCTCATCGATAACGGCTTTGTGTTGGTATTTTGTGACTTTTTTTGTAGAATTTTTACAAAGAAAAGAAGAGAGAGGACATCTACATAAGGTAAGCTGAAAGAAGTTTTTGCTTTTGCTGTTTATGTCAGGGCTTTATGATTTATTTCTCCAATAAATGAAAACAATAAGCCCCAGCACCGTGCTTGCTGCTTCGAGAGACACCAGAAAGTATGTGATATGCTCCCTTCTTCCTAAAAGGGTAAACGCTTTAGACAGATACGCAAGTAAGTACAATACGAGGAAGTGTAGAGGGAGGATCGTGTCGGGGTTCCAGGAAAGGATAGAGGGCTGTGGCCAGGTGACCAGGGAAAACAGCACAGGAAAGACGTGAAATTCACCCTCTGACAAGGACTGTTAGCCCGACGTGCAGGAAGCCGTGAACGTGAAACCAACTTGGATGTAAACGATGTGCATTTTCCTGGGGAAACATTCCTTAGCTCTCATAGCTTCCCAAAGGGGTCTGTGACGTTAAAAAAATTTTTTAAACATCACTGCCTTAAACGAAGAGTACAGAGTAGCACAGGTAGAGTAGGAAAGACACACAGGCAGGAAGCAGCACAAAGACTTAAGGAACAGGAAGTAACTATTCCCGCCGCCTGGCTGTGGCATGAGCCAAATGTCCCATCAACTCCTTGGCAGCAGAATGCCTCCTTTCTCCCATTCTGACCAGATACTTGTACAAGCTGCGGGATTTGCACCGGGACTGTGAGAACTACACCGAAGCTGCCTACACACTCCTCCTGCATGCTGAGCTCCTGCAGGTAAGTGGATCAGGATTGCGGTATGTCAGCCGTCCAGCCCTTTGGGACCGCATCCTGTATGCTTTTGATGGGAAAGTTCCCTACTCAAGGAGGACCCTTTTATCCAAGAATGTTTTTATACCTTCTAAATAGGCACAGCTAGTTTTTAGACCAAGGTGGGGAAATTTTCCATTATTATTTATTTACTTATTTACTTACTTACTTTTAAATTTATTTTATTGAAGTATAGTTGACCAATAGTGTTGTGTTAATTTCTGCTGTACAGCAAAGTGATTCAGTTGTACATATATATACATTCTTTTTCATATTTTCCATTATGGTTTGCCACAGTATATTAAATATAGCTCCCTGCGCTCTACAGTAGGACCTTGTTGTTTATCCATTCTAATCCCAAAGTCCCAATCCATCCATCCCCCCCTCCCTCTTCCCATTGGCAACCACAAGTCTGTTCTCTCTGTGTGAGTCTGTTTCTGTTTTGTAGATATGTTCATTTGTGTCGTATTTTAGATTCTACATGTAAGTGATGTCATATGGTATTTGTCTTTCTCTTCCTGACTTACTTCACTTAGTATGATCACCTCTAGGTCCATCCATGTTGCTGCAAATGGCATTATTTCATTCTTTTTTATGGCTGAGTAATATTCCACTATATATGTACCACATCTTCTTTATTCACTCATCTGTCAATGGACATTTAGGTTGTTTCCATGTCTTGGCAACGTTGTAAATAGTGCTGCTTTGAACATATGGGTGCATATCATTTATTTAAAAATCCTGAGGAAGCAGAGCACAACTTACAGGCTGCTAATACTGACACTCTAATTGAAAAACCAGGGACTTCCCTGGTGGTGCAGTGGTTAAAAATGCACCAGCGCAGGGGACACGGGTTCAAGCCCTGGTCAAGGAAGATCCCACATGCCGTGGAAAAACTAAGCCCGTGCGCCACAACTACTGAGCCTGCGCTCTAGAGCCCGTGAGCCACAACTACTGAACTTGCATGCTGCAACTACTGAAGCCCACGAGTGAGCCTAGAGCGCGTACTCTGCAACAAGAGAAGCCACCGCACTGAGAAGCCTGTGTACCTCAACGAAGAGTAGCACCCGCTCGCCACAACTAGAGAAAGCCCGTGCAGAAATGAAGACCGAATGCAGCCGTTATTAAATAAGTTAAATAATTAAATATTAATTAAATTAATTAAAATTACAGAAATAAATTTATTTATTTAAAAAAAGAAAAAACAAAACACACATCAATCAGTATGTGTAAAGCTGTAGAGAAGTGAGCTGTAAGTAAATATGGAACTGTAGAAGTACTATCCTATTTATACTGTCTCACTGAGGAAATTATATTGTGCCATGGATATAAATACAACTCTGCATCATCAATCCCAAATAATTATTTCCAGCTCTGACGACTCCTCCAACTTACTGTTCTGTCAACGTCAATCTCTGAATGACTAACAGACAACTCAAACTTAGCGTGACAGTAACAGAAGCTGCTCCCTCCACTGTCCTCCTGGGTCCGTCCCTTCCTCTCCTTTCTCCCCATTTTACTGAAGGGCACTGACATCTAATGAAAGATACTGTTCGTCATCATCTTTTACTCACCCCTTCCACATTCTGCACAAACAAGAATCGTGGACCCTCTGTCCAAAACCCTCCCTCACCCCATCCACTTTTCTTTCTTTCTTTTTTTTAATTGGGAAAGCTTGTGCTATAACATTAGATCTCCAGGGCTTATTTATTTATTTTAAAAATTTATTTATTTATTTTTGGCTGCATTGGGTCTTCGTTGCTGCTCGCGGGCTTTCTCTAGTTGTGGTGAGCGGGGGCTTCTGTTGCGGAGCACAGGCTCTAGGTGCGCGGGCTTCAGTAGCTGTGGCACGCAAGCTCAGTAGTTGTGGCTCGTGGGCTCTAGAGCGCAGGCTCAGTAGTTGTGGCTCACAGGCTTAGTTGTTCCGCGGCATGTGGGATCTTCCCGGAGCAGGGCTCGAACCCATATGCCCTGAATTGGCAGGCAGATTCTTAACCACTGCACCACCAGGGAAGTCCTCCAGGGCTTATTTATCTACTAGTTTCAAGTTTATACCCTTAAACAATCTTCCTCCTATTTCCCCACCCTGCAGCCCCTGGTAACCACCCTTCTACTCTCTGTTTTTACAAGCCCTTATTTTTCAGATGCCACATATCAGTGAGATCGTACAGTGTTTGTCTTTCTCTTCTAACTTACTTCACTTTGAATAATGCCCTTAAGATCCATCCGTGGTGTTGCAGATGGCAGGATTTCTTTCTTTCTCATGGCTGAATAATATTCCATTGTATGTATATGCCACATTTTTTTTTTTTGCGGTATGTGGGCCTCTCACTATTGTGGCCTCTCCCGTTGCGGAGCACAGGCTCCGGACGCGCAGGCTTGGCGGCCATGGCTCACGGGCCCAGCTGCTCCGCAGCATGTGGGATCTTCCCGGACTGGGGCACGAACCCGTGTCCCCTGCATCGGCAGGCGGACTCTCAACCACTGCACCACCAGGGAAGCCCTATACCACATTTTTATTCATTCATCCATTGATGGAGACTTAGGTTGTATCTTGGCTAGTGTGAATAATACTGCAGTGAACACGGGGGTGCAGATGTCTCTTTGATAGCCTCACCCTATCTACTTTTCTTTATCTCCATTGCTACCATCTTGGTCCAAGTTATCATTTTTAGCCTCCTACTACATCTCCCTGCCTCCATTCTTGTCCCTAGCAATTCATTTCCTCGTATAATTTAACTTTTATTTTATACCTAAATAATACATGTATATTGTTCTAAGCTTTGGAATTAAAAACTGGAGTCCTCTGCTTCACCACTTCCCCTAAGGCAGCCATTCACAGTTCATACTCAAGACTGGGGCACCAGAAAGCTTATTGTATGTGGGTTAGGGGGGAAGGCTTGTTGACTGTGGGATGATCTGAAAGAAACCACAGTGTCAGTGACTGTAGGTCTTTTCGTTTGTGCTGCTCAGAAAATTCAGCTCTCCTATCCTGGCATAAGGTATGAGGTGTGGGTGCCACTTGTTCCCCATAGAGCTACTCAGTAGGGATGCTGCTTATTAAGTAGAGTCCACATTTTCATCATTGGTATGAGATCCCATCTTGATCATGTACTAAATCACTGTATGGAGGGTCGGGGGGAACCTCTTTCTAGATTTTACATATTCTGCATGTGTCTCTGTCAGTTCATGCACCAGGACCACACTGTTTCCATTATCAGTATGTTTTATGACCTAGTAGTTTCTCTTCATTCCTCTTCTTTTTCAGAGTTTTCCACCTTATTCCTTTTTATTTATTTTTTCATGACTTTGGAATCATGAAATTTAAAAATTAATTTAGGGGAGAATTTCCATGTTTATAAAATAGCATGTTCTTATCCAAAAGCATGGTATGACTTTCCCTTTGTTCATGTCTGCTTTTGTGCCCTCCTGTGGTGTATTAACATTTTCTGTGTAGAAGTCTTGAATATTCCTTGTTATGTTGATCCCTAGATATCTTTGCTTTTTAATTTAATTATGGTGAAATACATATAAAATTAAATTTACCATCCTAGGCATTTGTAAGTGTATAATTTAGTGGCCTTTAGTATATTCACATTGCTAGGTTTACCCCTTTTTTTGCATTTTTATACTTCCGATTCCTCTCTTTTATCTGTACTGAGTGGTAACCAGTGCAACCACAGTCATGATGGTTGGCAGCCTCACCTCATTCCTGACCTTCATGGGAATGCGTTGAGTGTCCATGTGGCATGCACTTGTTTTGAACCTGGCATGTGTATGTATATGCGTGTGCAATTTTTGTGTTTGATAAATCATCAAAAATATGATTGAGTCAAAGTTATATACAAATATTTCTGTGAATTTTTGCAGCTGAATATTTGTTACATTCACCTCCTTTAAATGAATAGATGTGTTGCATCCATCTCTTGTGTTGCTTTTGTGTGTTTTTCAGTGGTCTGACAAGCCCTGTGTACCCCATTTGCTTCAGAGGGACACTTACTATGTGTATACCCAGCAAGAGCTTAAAGAGAAGCTGTATCAAGAAATCATATCGTATTTTGACAAAGGCAAGGTGAGTGTTGGGTGGTTTGTTTTTGTGTGAAGGCAGAGGAGGAAATGACCCGCAATACTTACACACTGCAGTTCTGATCTTCACCAGCCAGAGTTAGCGCAGAGACCCCTACAAGACAGCCCAAACTTCAGACACCAGCTGCAAGTTCAGGGGTCCCCAGGCCACCCGCATTTCTGACCAATTGACTATAAATTTGGGGAGGGAGTGCCTATGGTTCCCCTCCCTCGGGTTTGATACTATACTAGAACAACCAACAAAACTTAGTAAAATGCTGTTCTTAATGATTACAGTTTTATCATAAAGGATACAAATCAGAACCAGCCAGATGAAGAAATACACAGGGCAAGGTCTAGGAGGGTCCCAGGTGCGTGGCTTCTGTGTCCTCTCCCTGTGGATTCAGACACATCAAACTCCTGGTGAACTGATGTGTTCGCCAACCAGGAAGCTCATTTGAGCTGTGTGTGCAGGGTTTTTAATTTTGGGGTTTTTTTTTTTGGTGCACCACACGGCATGCGGGATCTTAGTTCCCCTACCAGGGATCGAACCCACGCCCCTTGCAGTGGAAGCGTGGAGTCCTAACCAGTGGACCGCCAGGGAAGTCCTGTGTGCAGGGTTTTTATTGGGGTGTCGTTGTATTGGCTGGACTGATTGAATCATAAACCACATGAATAAACTCCATCTCCAGCCCCCATCTCCTCCCTGGAGGTCTGGCTGATGCTGTATAGCTCAAGGCTCCAACCCTCTAATCAAATGGCTGGTGGTTCTGGCAGAGGCGAGCCCCCATTCTAAGACTATCCTGTCCACCGTGAGTCACCTTGTTAGTATCAACTCCCGTGTGGTCTGAGAGGTCCACCATGAATAACAATGACACTCCTGTCACTGGGGAAATTCCAAGAGTTTAGAAGCTGCCTCCCAGGAGCTCAGAACAAAGACCAGTCGAGTTCTTTATTATGCAACAGTGACTCATAACTTACGCTTTACTCTTCCCACGTGTATCTTTGAATTCTGATATTTCTAATGGGGGAGAAAATGAATAGATTAATTAAGGTAAGAAAAACAATAAACAGAGATCAGTTATCTTGAGGACACATGACCCAAGGGAGAATACAGTGGGCAGCCGAGGGCCTCACTCTCTGTAACCTTAATTGTACCTTTTAAGTTTTGCTAAGGGCCAGGGGCTAGTATAATCCTTTTCAGTGCATTCTTTAGAGATTGTTAGCTAACACCTGGGGCACATCCCATCCCCAGGAGGAAGAGAAAGTAAAATAAACATATAAACTGGGCCACCAAGTCCTGGAATCTGTGATTAGCTGCAGAAAGCATGTCCGGCTGGAAGACTTTTAAATTGAAAATTGAAAAAAAGCATAGAAAGGGTAGGGGGAGAAAAAAGGTGTGTGCTATTGAAACAAAACAGATTCCAGATTTGACTTTTTTCAAGGGGCTGCCACTTCCAGCCACTACTCCTGTTTAACCAGTGGAACCTGTTGATTAAATAAATAATCATCATGATAAAATAGCTACCCATCGATTTAGTCCAAGTTACTGTTTTGGGTGATTTTCAAGCTGCTTTTCTAATTTAATTCTCCCTATAACCCTGTAAGGTAGCTATTATCTCTATTTTACTGAGGAAGAATTTGAGGCCCAGAGAGCAAATATATTTGCTGAGACTTTCTGCATCCCTTTACCCTCTTAAAAATCACTGAGGACCCCCAAGAGCTTTTGTTCACATGGATTATGTCTATTGATGGCTATTAATTTCTAGTCTTCGAAAGTAAAACAAAATTTTTAAATATTTACTTGCTTGTTCTTTTAACAATAACAAACTTATTACCTGTTAATATAAATCATATCTATTTATGAACAATGACCATATTTTCCAAAAAGTGAGCAATGTGAGTGGCATTGTTTGACATTTTTGCAAATCTCTTTATCATCTGGCTCCCTAGAAACAGCAGGATTCGAATATCCACTTCTACATCCAATGTGTTGTGACATTACACATCCTATAGCCCCTGGGAAACTCCACTGTAGACTCATGGGAGAATGAGCACTGCAAAAAGGCAAATAAGATTAGTATTATTAAGAAGATGGTTTTGACCTCACGGACCCCTCGAAAGGATCCTGGGGACTCCCAGAGACCAGGGACCACACTTCGAGAACCTCTGTGCTAGGCTGTCTTCCTGTCTCTTCCATTGAGTTACCATTTGGTGAATGAGGAGTGAACTGGGCCCCATGGTGCTGTTGACTGGCCTCCTGCACCAGGCCCAGCTGAGGCCCATGTGGCACATTTCAAAGAGTTTTCCATGATCCAGGCCCAGAAATTTCAGAAGGGACAAATTTGGCAAATGATATTAGAAGATTTAATTATTTATTTATTTGCGGTACGCGGGCCTCTCACTGTTGTGTCCTCTCCCGCTGCGGAGCACAGGCTCCGGACGCACAGGCTCAGCCGCCATGGCTCACGGGCCCGGCCGCTCCGCGGCATGTGGGATCTTCCCGGACCGGGGCACGAACCCGTGTCCCCTGCATCGGCAGGCAGACTCTCAACCACTGCGCCACCAGGGAAGCCCCTAGAAGATTTAATTTTAAAATGTTTTTACAACTGTATGTGAACTGTACACACGTTCCTTCGGCAGCCAGAAACAGTGGAACCTAGCATGTGGTTAACAAGACTGAAGTAGGAAATTTCCAGATGTTGCGTTATTAACAGTATCCAGCTAAGAGACATTTTATGAAATACCAAAATGAGCAGAGTTTTCATCAGTCTGGGATGCTATCCTCAGATGCCAGATATGTGCCTTCGGCTGTAATTTACATGTTCATAAATGCTGTGAGGCATTTCCTGAAGCTCTCTTTGACTATGTAGATAGTTTAGTTAGAAGTAGGAAATCAGTGCCCTAACTTGGAGAAATAGTTTCCCAAATTCCACACAACAGTACGATCAGACTTTCTTTCATACCTCCACTCCTCCCAAACAACCTGACTCAGAAGGAACACACACACACATCTCAAAACCAGCACAAGAGCCCACACCAACTTCCTTTCCCCTCCAGCAAGACTTTCATGCTCTCAAAGACTAGGTCTTTGGAACTGGTTCCACTCCACTTTCAATGGTCATTGCCCTTTAAACTCAGCATTGCTTTGTTTGAGGACACATGGTGTTCTTCATGTTCTTACAAACAGAATTAACAGAAAATGCCCCCCGGCAAAGTGGCTAAGGTACAGTAGATTTTTGATGTCAGAAAACAGGGTTAGTTGATCAAAGCCGTGAGGAACGTTGGGAGTGTCCGCAGAAACTCAACCCACCTGACTCCCTAGTCATTGCCCAGTGACTCTCCAGTGGCTTTTTCAGCTGGATCAATGACTGCTTTGTTCTCCACTGGTAACCCTCCTTTTCTTTTTCTGAAGATGTGGGAGAAGGCAATCAAGCTGAGCAAAGAGTTGGCTGAGAATTATGAGAGCAAAGTATTCGACTACGAGGGCCTGGGTGATCTCCTGGTGAGTCTGGGTCAGAAGACGTCGAACCTCTGGCAGGGGTGCTATTCATAGTGTTTGTGAAAATGGTTTTGTAAGTTTAAAAAAGATAATTGATGTTCTTTACAATGGAAAAGTACACCTTGCTTAGAATAAAAATGAAGAGAAATGAGGTCTAAAAGCTGTTACCGCTATTTGTCCAGATTATCTTTGATAGGGGGCTCAGGATCCCCGTCTACAGCCCTCTCTCCTCTGTGCCTTTTGCTCCTCTGTGGACCCTCCATATCCCAGGCCCCGCACCCCTTTCCCCTCTCACTCGCTCTGCCTTCCAGGAAGCCTTTCCACGTTTCAGATGTTTTCTGACATCTGTTCATCAGAATTACTTGTCCTGTGGTCCACATCCTCAGGGCTCTGCTGAATGAATGAACTGCTCATCTTTGAGCTCTGTTTTTTATGTTTATTTTCCAATTTTAAATCTTTTTTTTGTTTGTTTAAAAAATTTTTGTTTTTAGTTTGTTTTTTTTTGTTTGTTTTCTGTTGTTTCTTACTGTTTTTTATCTTGATTCTCCAGTTTTGCCTTCCTCCTGCTCCGAATGTCCCCGGACATCTCTGCTCTTACAGTCATCCCGTCCTTGTGTATTACACCTGGCTGTTGGCACAGGTCACCTATTTCAAAACAGTAAAGCGAAACAAAAATAACCTTTTCCATGCCCAGTGGGGGGGCCAACACAATATTACATTGGGTGATTTTCAGTGGAGGAGTCACAAAAGGTCAGGTCACCCATTGTCATGTAATAATTGGAGGAGATAGTTGTCAAGATCACTTTGAAAAGAATTTGCCCCTGTATGGTACCAGCTCCTGCCATCATGCAAAGAGTCACAGATGAATTTCACAAACTAAATTGAGCTGAGGCATGAGCAATGTAACAAGTTACCTCTCTAAGAAAACATTGTGATAGAATCCTTCACTGAGGTAGTGTAGTAATCACCTTGGCGCTAACCATTGTGGGAGGGACAGCTGTCAAAGCCCCCCAGGTCTGGCTACCTATTTTGCTTCCTTTAAGGCTGACGCTCTATGCCCTGGTTGGGAAACCGCTCCCCACAGGAAGCATTAAAGATAGGGGTGGTACCAGTATATACAATGGAATATTAGCCATAAAAAGGAATGAAATTGGGTCATTTGTAGAGACGTGGATGGATCTAGAGACTGTCATACAGAGTGAAGTAAGTCAGAAAGAGGAAAACAGATATCGTATATTAACGCATACGTGGTACAGATGAACCGGTTTGCAAGGCAGAAATAGAGACAGATGTAGAGAACAAACATATGGACACTAAGGGGGGAAAGTGGCGGTGGTGGTGGTGGGGGGATGAATTGGGAGATTGGGATTGACATGTATACACTAATATGTATAAAATGGATGACTAATAAGAACCTGCTGTATAAAAATAAAAAAATAAAAATTCAATTACAAAAAAAACAATAATAAGGGTGGTACCAGATTTGAAAAATAGACCACCACCACCACCTTCTGGGCACCTGTAGCTGAACCGAGGCCTTGAATCGAAACCACCTGCGTGAACTGGAAAGTTCTCTCTTTCTTTCCTCATATGTCTCTGTTCCAGTGCAGCCACCCACCTGAATCTCAGAAAGTGCTTCTTAACCTTTTAGGGGTCCTGAATGTACTTCAAGAAACTGGTGAAAGCTAAACGGTCCCTCCCTCCAGAGGTGAATGCACACACATCTGTCCTTCTACACATAACTGCAAGGATTCCCAGACCCTCCCGGGCCCATTCGTAGATGCAGGTCCAAAACCACCGATCCAGGGAAAGGATAATTCTTTGGCCCAAAAGATATTTTACAAAGACCTTTCATTTCTCTATGTTACATGGGAAACAACAAAGCAAATAGTCTGAGCTTTTTTTTTTTTTTTTTTTCCAGCGGTGCCCTTGTAACCTCCCTATGGAATGTCTTGTTTTGTTTTCCAGAAAAAAAGAGCCTCATTTTATGAGAACATCATTAAGGCAATGAGGCCTCAGCCTGAATACTTTGCTGTTGGCTACTACGGACAGGGCTTTCCTTCTTTCCTACGGGTAAGAAGCCTGAGGGTGGTCTCTCCAGCCATTAAGTCCTGCAGTCTGCAGGAGGGAAGGTCTTCATTTCTTTTCCAGATGGGTCTAGCGTCTTAGCAGCTGGAGACCCCTGTTCTCACGGTGGGAGGTTAGGGAGGGAAACCACTTCCTGAGCCGCTGGTCTCTTCACCCCCGGCCGCCTCTGGTATTCTGGCAGCTCTTTTGTAAAATGACTTCTCCCAGGTGGAATGAAAAAGGGAAAAACAAAACCATTCCCTCCGCTGGTCTGCTGCTGAGGGTCAGCCGGTGGGGGTGGGGGTGGGGGAGAAGAGTGTGGATTGATGTATCTAATTGTTTATTTTATTTCCAGCTAGAGCTAGTTTGAAAACAAATATCCCCAGGACAAGACTGCAGAAGGTTCACAAAAATAAAAACAGTTTTGTTGGAATAATGAGAAGGACCATGTTTATCTTGTTTCTCAAAACTTTTTAGAATATAATACTGATTTTTACAATCGAAAAAGCAACCCCCCCCCCGCAAAAAAAAGCCCTCTTATTTTCTCCCACAGAAAAGAAGCCTCTATTAGTGCTGAGCTATGTTTAAATATATATTATCCATCTTCCTTCCCCTAATTAAAAAAGAAAGAAAAAAGTGGAACGGAAAATACATTCCTTATAGCGCATAGTAAGGAAGTAGTTTATTCATTCATTCAATAACTGTTTGCTTAGGGCCTACTGTGTGCCAGGCATTAGAGATACAGTGCTGATTATAATCAGATGTGGTCCTTGCTCTCATGGATTTGACAACCTAATGGGTGAGATGTTAATTAAATAATCGCACAAACAAATAAGAAATCGAAACTGACCAAGACAGGAATTCTGTGCTACATGAGTTGGTTAAGCAAGGAGTATTTACCCAAGTAAAATTAAAACCTGTGTTCATGTAAAAATTGTACGTGATTGTTTATAGCACTGTTACTTATAATCACTAAAGACTGGATACAGTTCACATCTCCCTCAGCTGGTGAAGGGATCAGCATAGTGTGGGACAGCCATGCAGTGGAAAACTACTCAGGAAAAATAGGAATAAACTCCTGATACACGTAACCACAGGGATGAATCTCAGATGTATTGTGCTGAGTAAAAGAAAGCAGTTAGACCTTAAAGGCTACGTACTCTGTGATTTTATTGATATGACATTCTGGCCAAGCCAACACTTACCATAGGGATGGAGAGCAGGTCATTGGATCTGGTCAGTGGAGCCGGTGGGGCGAAGGTTGGGCTACAAAGAGACATGGGGAGATTTTAAGTGGTGATGAAACTGTGCTGTCTCTTAATTGTGGTCATGGTTATGTTTGTCAAAACGTACAGGATTTTACACTAAAAGGGGTAGATTTTTACTATGTGTCAATTATACCTGAATTTTTTAAGAATCAGGAAAGACTTCCCAGGGAACTTCTGCTTCAGCTGGGATTTGAAAGGTGAACTGGGAGTCAGGAAGGTTAAGGGGATAGGAAAAGGCGCTCCAGGCAGAGGAAACAGCAGGCAAGGGCATGGCAGGGGCTGGGAGTGGAAGACGAGTGCTGTGGGAGGAGAGGGAGCTGGGGTGAGCAGGGAAGATGAGGCAGGAAGTGTGGGAGGAGCGTGCGGGGCTTTGGGGCCACGTAGCGTGTTTTGTTGGCATCCAGAGAGCGGAGGGAGCCATTGTAGATTTTTCAGTGTTGGCAAGGTTGTCTGGCTTCGGTATGGAGAATGGATGGGACGTGCATGTAGATAAGCCCCTAGAGACCATGGCAGATGTTCTGGGAAGAGATGACAGGTTGGCCTAGGGAGGTGGCTTTAGAGAGGAAGGGAAAGATTAGTGTGATGGAGATGCAGTAACAGTATTTGATGATTGATGGGATATGGCAATGAGCAAGTGGGAGGTGGTAAGAATGATTCCTGGCTCTCTGGTCTGCATAATTGGCGGGGCAGTGGAGCCATCCACTAAGATGGCAACACTGGGAAAGGGCAGAATCATGGAGGAGAGGATGAATCCACTCACTGAATAAATATTTATTGAGCTCTTATCCATATCTTATCATGAACGATAGCAAATTTAAGACCAGAACCTACTGCAGACCCATATTTATGGACCTTGCTATAATATAGGCCAGGGGGCAGAGTCTTAAAACAAACCCAAATCCCTGAAATTGAAGAGCTTCTGTTCTGGCTTGGAGAGACAAATAAAGAAATACTAAGATAAATATCTGAGTGTGTCAGATGGCCTAGAAGAGCGCCTCATACAGGGTAGACACTCAGCAAGTATCGTAGAGGAAAATGCGTCAGGGGAAGGTGAATGGAGAGGCAGATGGTGGGGATGGAGTTGCAATTTTAAACAGAGTGAATAGGAAAGACTTCGGTAAGAAAATGACACCTGAGCAAAACCCTGAAAGGCGTGAGGGAGTAAAAGCCAGGCAGCTCTCAAGAGGGGGCCAGACAGTGAGGACAGCAGGTTCAAAAGACATGAGGCTGGAGATGCACGAACAAAAGGGCAGGGAGAGAACGGGCTCAGAGAGCTATGGGTACCAGATTGCAGAGGGCCTTTGGGATTTTTTTTTTTTTTTTTGCGGTGCGCGGGCCTCTCACTGCTGTGGCCTCTCCCGTTGCGGAGCACAGGCTCCGGACGCGCAGGCTCAGTGGCCATGGCTCACGGGCCCAGCCGCTCCGCGGCATGTGGGATCTTCCCGGACCGGGGCACGAACCCGCATCCCCTGCATCGGCAGGCGGATTCTCAACCACTGCGCCACCAGGGAAGCCCCCTTTGGGGTCTTTATAGGTTGTTTGGTTTTAGACATACTCAATGTGAGGTAGATTTGGAACATCCAAAAAATGTGAGTCAAACATTTGCTCTATGGGTCTGGAACGCAAAGGAAAGTTCTAGGCCAGAGATAAAAGTTGGGTTATTTACGTGTCGTTAACACTAGTTGTAGATAAGGTGGCCAAGGGAGACTGGAGTAGTAAGAGTAGAGGGTCTGCAGTAGGTTCTGGTCTTAAATTTGCTATCGTTCATGACAAGATATCGACAGCTACCACACTTGTTACATATGATTGTTGTGTCACATGGAATAATGGTTGTGAACTGGAGGACAGCAGTGGTTCCGTGAGAACAAGAAGTCTAGACTTTCAAGTTGAAAAATTGGGGTCTAAATGATCTGCTGAGTGACTCTGATTTTGGCCAAATCACATGACCACCAAGTCTTGGTTTTCTGACCTTGAAGTTAGGGAAATAAGGCCCACGTTGCAGGACTGGTTTGAGAATGAAATGAATAGCAGATGGGAGTGCTGTATAAACTGTACAGGCGTCTGTAGATGTTACGTGTTGTCAGCGTGTACTGAAAAGTAGAGAATCCACGTGAATTATGTAACCTAAATGCCCTTGCATGTTACGGACTATTTCCCCAAACTCAGAAAGTATAAAAGTATATCCTCTTCCCTGACCCCAAGCAGGCCTCCGTCTCTTCTGTTTTTGTCAGCGGCATCACTGTTCTTCCTGGTCCAAGGCCGTTACCTCAGAATCCTCACCGACTCTCCCATCCCTTTGCTCTTTACCAAACACCAAAGACTCAAACAGCAGTCCCTGTAGCTCCTCCTTCCCCCACAGGGTTTTGCCAAGGATCCCTACAGTTGGATAGATTAGGTTGACTACGCTTCCTCCTTCATCACATTGCTCCCTCCTTCTAGAACCTCCAGTGAATTTCCAGGCCTTTGGACCATTGACCCGCCTTTCCAGGCCTTTCAGATTCCGGCTCATCCAAGGATGTTTCTTCTACCTGCACTCCGTACTTTCTAACTTGGGCCTTATTATTCTTCTTTTCACTTCCATGCCTGGCTCCCCTCCCCTCCCCTCCCCTCCCCTCCCCTCCCCCTCCCCCTCCCCCCCCCCATCCCCATCCCCATCCCCATCCCCATCCACATCCACATCCAATCAAGTCTCGTGTCCTCCTGGAAACCCTTTCCTTCAGGTTGAGCTGCTTTGTACTGACCTTCTGCTTGTCTGGTTCCTTCCACAGTTATGGTCCACATCATACACTTAGCGTTTTCTTATACTCCGACCCCTTAACCCACCACAGTTTTGCCTGAATGATGAAATTGCATAATGCATGCGTCATCCACATAAATCTTTCCCGGCTTGGAAACATTTTATCATCAATTCCAAAAGATTTGGCAATTTTCACTGCCCTCCATGTTGAGCGTAGAAGGTATATTGCCTTCAAGGTACTTAAATTATCTAAATTATCTTACTTATTTGTTTACTTGTTTTCTGTTTCTCTCCACCAGAGCAGAGTTACTGTTCTGTCCCTAGCGCCTGGCATATCTCATTTGCTCGATACATATTGGTTGTGTGAATGGACAAGTGGTTTTTAAAAACATTTGACAGGACAATATGGGCCCAGATTGTAGTTAAAAAAGGATCACGTGTGGGCTTTAAATACTCAGTACTCATCTGAGTGACCATCTGATGAGCAGGAACCTTCAAAACATGGCGACATTTGAACTTGCAACAGCTGTGAGGTGAATTTCTTCCATGCCTGGGGCCTAGAAAATTTCTTTTCAAAACATCCAATTTTATTAATTTTATTAAAGAGAAAAAGCAGTTTGGAATGGAGAGAATAGTATTGAGGGCAGTTATTTTCTATGAGGCTTCAATGTGGCCATCCACGGTGATCTCCAGGGTTGGCTAGGGACGGCTGTAGATTAATCCTGTTCTCTGTTCCTGTCTCACCTGTTGTGTTGATTCGCTTCGTACTTTCGAGTTCTCTAGGCAGTGCCGCTCAAAGCGCTGGTTCCCTAACTGTTACTGGATCATGATGAGAAAGGAGCTTGCACCTCAAAGTAAATGAATGTACTTCCTTATTGAGAATTTCTTGCCATGAAAAGTATCAGCTAAACTAAAACAGCATGCCCGGTAACATCCTGGATTTCCATTAGGGTGCAAACTCCTTATCTCCTTGTGGATCAGTGTAGGCTGTTTGCACACCAATTGTCATCCTTGGGCCATACTCTGAGAAACACTGCATGAAGCATTTTCATGCCTGTGACTTAACTCCGCAGATAAACTGTGAGCTCTTTCGGATATGATGGTTACTGTGGGGCACATAGCAGGTGCTCAATGAGGACATGGTGGGGGTGTTGCACTTGGTCTGGGGAGGACAGCGGCTTCCTCGGGACCAGGCTCCCCAGTTGCCCCTTCACTCTTCATATTTAATTCTTTCCCTTGCTCTCCTGACCTGCAGAACAAGATCTTCATCTACCGGGGGAAGGAGTATGAGAGGCGAGAAGACTTCAGCCTGCGGCTGCTGACCCAGTTTCCCAACGCTGAGAAGATGGCCAGCACCACGCCCCCAGGAGAGGACATCAAGTCCTCCCCCAAGCAGCGTATCCTCATCCTGGGGTCACGGCTCAGGGGCTCTTGAACCTGCAGCAGCCCCAGCCCAGCCAGAGAAGCCGAGGGTTCCATCCCATCCCTGCGTACCGATAGGTCCTGGCCTCAGACTCATTTAACCATCCTGACTCAGTGTCCCATTCTGTGTAAAAGCTTTGGGAACCTAATGTCCTTAGCTCAGGGCTATGGCGTAACTAAAGGAGAGAGATGAGAAGCAAATGTTGAATATGAAGGGATGTGTGTTATAGCCACAAGCAGAGCCTGAGGTGAATAGACTTCCTGTTCTGAATTCTGGATCCTGGATAAAGATGTGTAGCTCCTTTTTGGTAACATATAATGTCATCGAAAAACCAATTGCATGCTTTTCAAAAAATGAAGATGTTATAAAGGTAAACAGTATTCCAAAAGAGGTTGCTAAGACAGAGCTGGTGTGGCATGGTAGATAAATAAGAGAAAGGGCTCCGAAGCATATTGCCTGGGTTCGAGTCCCAGTGCTGTCACTTACTGTGTCACTTTAGGCAACTTATTTAATTTCTCTGTGCCTCAGTTTTCTCACCTGTGAAGTGGGGATGATGATCATTCTTCCCCTTGGAGTTCTTGCAAAGATTGAGTATCTGTAAAATACTAGGAACAGTGCCTGGTAAATACATAATAAAAGTTCAATATGTATTAATTATTATCGAATGGTCAGTAGCTATAGAAAGATACACAGCAATGATAGATCAGTAGGCAGACCTGCCTTTCAGAGGAGAGTGGAGTGGACTCTTAACACAGTGGATGCTTGGAAAAGAAAGGTTTTCTGGGAAAAATTGTTTCAGTTGTAGGGATTCAGTAAATGCTTGCGGGGCCTCCTTGGGATGGGAATGAAAAGAGGTCTTCATGAATTGGATGTAGAAACAGGAGTCCCAGAGTCACGTCTGCATAGCCAATTTACCTTGGCACGTTGCCTAGTTTCTCCAGGCCTTGGTTTTCTCATCTATAAAGTGTGAGGGGAGCTCTGTTTCTCCCAAATATCTAATAGCATTTCTGGGAAGATCAAATTAAAAAGATCATTTGTGTGAAAACGTTTGTAAGTTATAATAGCTTAAGGTATAGCCCAGTGCTTCTCAGGTTTTATTATACTTAAGAATCACCATGGAGAGATTCTAATTCAGCAGCTGTGAATTCTAATTCTGCAGTTTGAGTAAATCTCCAGGTGATTCTGCTGCCAGTGGATGGCACTCTTCACGTTGAGAAATACTGGGAGTGAATGTTAGGTCTAGACCCAGTGCCTTAAATTCTAGTTTCAATGCTATAGATTTGGAAGCATTGTTGGTAAAGGGAAAACAAAGTCATGCCTAAGATCAGATCATTAAGTGAGAGAGGGAGACCTTCCCCCTGAGCTGAGTTTGACGTCTGACTTCATTTATCAGTTGTGTGATCTGGGCTTTCTCAGACCCTCAGATTCTTCATCTGTAAAGGGGATTAATAACATCCACCTGGAAATTGTTGTGTTTATTGGAGATAACATATTCAAAGCACCTATTACAGTGCCTGGCTCTGGTACTTGGTAAACAAATGGTATCCAGAGATAACAAGGAATTCCTATTGCCCGGGCTCTGGAATCTGGCTAATTCAGAGGGATGCTTGTCCAAAAGAAATGATTTAAGACAATTGCTAGTCACCTGTTTTCCTGAAATTTCATTAATGTCTGTTTCCCTAAGACAAGGTTGTTTGCCACGTGTCTGACCAAAAAATGTCCCAAGATTATGACTTAATAAGGCATTTTGGCAATATCTGAGGGAAGCCCGTTTTCAATGCGGTCCTGGCATTTGGTTCAAAGGAATGATCGGTGTGGGTACCATTTCCATCGGTAAAGCAGGAGGAACAGGTGGTCCTTTTTGCTGTGACAGCTTATTGGCCCAGCCCTTTTCCTTCCTTAACGAGCTCCTCAGACATGCAGTGTTTCACCGTAAAGCCAGTGATGAGCCTGCCGCCCAGCTACAAAGATAAACCAGTTCCAGAGCAGATCTTAAAGTAAGTGCGTTTTTTTGTTTGTTTTTTAAACCATGTGTCTCACACACTTCTTTATATAGAAGTCTATCAAAATTCATTAGAGTTTGGAAGACCTCCTGTTGTCTTCGTCCATTTGGTCTGCCGTAAGAGAAGATCGTAGACTGGGTGGCTTATAAACAACAGAAATTTATTTCTCACATTTTTGGAGGCTGAGAAGTCCAAGATCAAGGCACTGGCAGATTCAGTGTCTGGTGAGGGCCTTCTTCCTGGTTCGTAGGTGGTCATCTTCTCACTGTGTCCTCACATGGTGAGAGGGGTGAGGGAGTTCTGTGGGGCCTCTTTTTTAATAAGGGCACTAACCACGTTCACGAGGGCTCCACCATCATGAGCTAATCACCACCCAAAAAGCCCACCTCCTAACACCATCACATTGGGCATTAGGATTTCAGTATATGAATTTGGGGGGACAAATGTTCAGACCATAACAACTGTCCCTTCCATTTCCAGTATAAGATGAGAGCTTGGTAACTCAAGGGATTTGGAGATTTCTTTTTTTTTAAGCAGAGGGAAGGAAATTGAGAATTTCACTCTTAGGTTTCAGATCCCCTAGTTCTTTTTTCCACTCAGAAGGATTCACTGGCCAGTAGCGACTGACCTCACCTGGCCTTCAATCAGTGAGTTCCCCTATGATTGAATTCCTTCTCCTGAGAAGCTAAAATGCTACTAGGATTGATAGAACTGTTAGAGAACTATGCAAATGAGATCACAAACATGGACATAAATCCATATGCCTTTCAAAATTGTGAGCTGTGAGATAGATTCATCAATAATAAAACTAAGATGTGCAATAAAATCAAATTCCGGGGACTTCCCTCCCAGTCCAGTGGTTAAGACTTCATGGTCCCACTGCAGGGGGGCACGGGTTCAATCCCTGGTTGGGGAACTAAGATCCTGCATGCCACGTGGCATGGCCAAAGAAGTTTTAAAAAAATCAAATTCTGCATCATCTCCAGCCTTCATCGTGGAGACTACGTCAGTTTTGAGGTAGTTTAGTGGATAAGACTCAGTCTGTGTAAGATGTGTCTCAGGTTTTGTTGGAGCAGTGCTTGTTGTAAGAAAGAAATGAAAGCATATGGCTGTGTCTTTCCCAGCTACTACAGAGCCAATGAAGTACAGCAGTTCAGATATTCTCGGCCGTTCCGGAAAGGAGAAAAGGATCCCGACAATGAGTTTGCTGTGAGTCCACCACGTTCATCCTCTAAAACAAGATGAAATGGACATCCAAAATGGAGGCCTTCCATTCAACCAGCATCTACAGCAGAAATGATGGCAGCCCTGGAGATAGAGTTTCCGTGTGCTTATTACCTAGTCAGCAGACTATTGTCTCAGTGGAAAACTCTAGACTACTGATCCAGGAACTGGGCTCCACTCCTGGGCCTGCCACCACCATGACCTTGATTTGAGCATGTCACACCTCTCTGGACCTCAAATTTCCCATCAAAAAGGGCGAGGGAGCCCCAATAGATAATTCATTTCTGCTTTAAACACTTAGAATCCTTAAAGTTTGGGAGAAAGAATGGCCCATTCACTAAGGAGGCATTGAAAATAAAATCTCTAGATAACCAACAAGGACCTACTGTACAGCACAGGGAACTCTGCTCAATATTCTGTAATAACCTAAATGGGAAAAGAATTTGAACAAGAATAGATACATGTATACGTATAACTGAATCACTTTGCTTTACACCTGAAACTAACAATCAACTATGCTCTGATATGAAATAATTTTAATTTTTATTTATTTTAAAAAATTTAAAAAGAATCTCATAAACCTGGGAGTTTTGCTGTTTGCCTGGGAACTGACCACCATTTCCTACTTTCCTTCCTTCCACCAGACCATGTGGATTGAAAGGACCACGTATACGACTGCCTATACCTTCCCTGGGATTCTCAAGTGGTTTGAAGTCAAACAGATTTCAACAGTAAGTTATCTGAAAGTGGAACTCAGAAAACTCTTTCTGTCTCCAAACAGAATGAGAGTCTTTGTTAAATTCCCCCTCCAGTTCTTACTAGCTCCTCTGGCCCACTTTATTTTCCAAAAGAGAAATAAAAGACATGCTTGTAGAATAGAACTCCTTTGTCAAACTGATGTTACAACACCAACCCTAAAGATTACTCCCAGTGAATGGCTCTTTTATGACCCAATGGGTGTTGTCTCCTCAAGGATCCTGCCTGTGCCCAAAAACATTTTTGGAATTCCTCCTTTGAGTTTCCTATCAATCACATTCTTCTCTCCAAGAACACTTCCTCTTATTTTCAGCTAGTCACATCACCATTCATCCTAGACTCTTCCATCTTCATCACTCCCCAAAGCTGTTTGTTTTACCTCTTTAATAGTTATTAAATCTGTTTTAGTTTTCTTCCCCCAGCCCTCCTGCTGAGGTACCCTGTTTCTAGTCCCTCATTCATCTCTGGTTGATGCCATTGAAAAAGCCTTCTGATTGGCCTCCCTGCGTTGGCTTCTTAGGTCCATTTTCCTCTCTGCCTCAGAGTGTGAATTCCATAGTGAAAACCTGGCTGTATCATTCTCATGCTTAAAACCTTGCTATGGCTCCCCAATGCCTAGACTAGAAAGCCCATGCTCCTAGCACATGCGTACAGGGTCTGTGTGACTAAGCTCTTCCACTTCATCTTCTATGGAATCTACTGGAACTAAATTGCTCATTCCATGCTATGTCAGCCCTCTCTGACATTTTCTCTGCCCAGCATGCCCTCTGACCACTTCTCAACCTAACTCCCACTGAGATTTAGTTTAGGTACCAGCTTCTCCAGGAAGCCATCTCTGAAACTCCCAAGCTGTGTTAGATGCCCTTTCTCTGTGCCCTGTCACAACCTTGGCTTATTTCTAAAGAGTTACCTACCATGCTTACCTATCTTGAAAGCTCCCCACCCTGACCCTGTGAAAACCGTATGCTCCTTCCAGCCGTGAATTATATCTTAATCGCTTTTGTAACAATGGTGCATAGCACAGTACTTGGCTAAAATAAGTAATCAAGAAATACGTCTTGAACAAATCTGAAGTTTGGTGTGTTCCATACCACTAGTGATAAATTATTCTTCAAGTATGAATATGATTTTGGACAGAGTCTTTTGGAATCCATTCTGGAGTAGGAGATCATGCTGGTTGATCAGGGTAAAATGAAGAAGGACACAATTTTTCTTGAATCTGGTTTGGAAGACATTTCCACAGGAGGAGCTCTCTGAATCTGCATTGCATCTCATTTCATTCGCATCCAAAATCCAGCTTGAATATTCTAATGCATCCTATTATTTCTGACTTCCATAAACCGTAGAACCCATACTAAGCAGACTTAATATATGGTCTGAACGTGTGACTTCCAAGATCACTTACCTTTTCTCACGGAAGGAGCATCAAACCTCTTCCCAGTGAACGTTTTTGGTGTGCAGAGGTGTCTTGGGTCAGATATATTGCTCCTCTATTGTCATTGATCTTCTCAAAAATCTGTAAGAAAGATTTGCCCAAGAAAAAATCATCATTACAGCTCCAATTTAATCTTCTCAAAATTTCCATAGACACTTTGCTCCAAGAAATAATCATTACCATAGCTCCAATTTTTAAATCATCCTTGTACTTTCTGAGATTTTAAATAGCTTATTTAGCAGCTTACCAACACCATTTCAAATAAATGTGCTATCCTTATTAATAAACATGACCCCGGGACTTGCCTGGCGGTCCAGTGGTTAGGACTCCGCGCTTCCACTGCAGGGGGCACAGGTTCTATCCCTGGTTGGGGAACTAAGATCCTGCGTGCCGCTCGGTGCGGCCAAAAAGAAAAAAAAAACATGACTTTGACAAGGAAAACATCACTCCTCCATAGCTTGGTGGGAATTGTATGCCTTTGGAGGGGAAGACCTAGGATTTTTCCAGTCTTGGCTGTGGAGCTCAGTGTCTCTCCTCTGCCGTGCTCTCTGTCACAGGAGGAAATCAGTCCTCTGGAGAATGCCATTGAAACCATGGAGCTCACCAATGAGAAGATCAGCAACTGTGTCCAGCAGCACGCCTGGGACCGGTCCCTCTCCGTGCATCCCCTCTCCATGCTGCTCAGTGGCATCGTGGACCCGGCTGTCATGGGGGGCTACTCCAACTATGAGAAGGTGGGCTGCGTCCCGGGAACCCCACGGGGCCACCAGGTCTGGCGTGTCTTTCCTGCCTTCTCCAGTGACAGCTGGTGAATTCGTTTTTACAGCTTCTCTGAGAGATTTTCATTCTCCCCTCTTTGTGAATGGGCAAATGAAATTAATGACAGGCTTCTCCCTGACCTCATACCTGCTAGACACCATCAGCCACCCAGCCAGGGTTAGGTCACTGTCTGGTAGAGTCACCGAAAGATCCATCTGATAGACCTCTGGTTGATTCACCAGCTGTGAATTCCCTTCCCACTCCCTCTCTCCCCTGGAAGGTAGAAGGCATACAAGTGGACCCCAGACCTGAGGATGCCCTGGAAGGGAAGCAGCATCTGTGGAAAACACAGAGCCACGCTCTATTTGGAACCCTGACATTGTGTGCCATTGGTTGTATGGACAAACGCTGGCCCTGGCTCTACAATTAAATTAATTCAGCTAAGTGTCGTATCTGTTACTCTGGAAAAACATGAATGGAATGCTCATCCCATGGGACTCCATTGCATAGGGTCTGGATGTAGCATCACTTAAAATGGAGGTAATGCATTCAGTAGAATTTGGTTACATATAATCAATAGAAGCAGGATTTTTAATTGCTAGGTATGTTTTCAGTGGCTAAATAATTTGGGGGTCCTCCTCTTGAGTATAAATAAACAGGTTACACCCCTGTTGAGTAACATGAAGAGTGAGTGGGAAGAAAAGGAGATGGATGGGAAAGATGAGAAAGGTTAACTGGGCTGATTCTCTTATTCCCATTTGTACACAACGTCCTGGGAAGAGCAGGGGCTTCAGAATCAGTCACTCTTATGACCCAGTTCTGGCTTCCCATTGGCCACTGTGTGCTCTTGGGGGAGATACTTAATCTCTCTGAGCTCCAGTTTTCATATTTGAAAAAAGTAAGGAAAATACATAACTGACAGGAGTGACGTGGGGCTTAAGGGAGACCTCCTGTATATGAGGAACATCATATGACCCCTGCCATGTAGTGGTGGCTTGATCAGGGTCGGTTTTCTTCCTGTCTACTTGGAACAGAATGTGTGATTTGAGTGTTCTTTTTTATTTTTTTTGGCATGAGGGATCTTAGTTCCCCAACCAGGGATCGAACCCGTGCACCCTGCCTTGGAAGCACGGAGTCTCAACCAGTGGACCTCCAGGGATGTCCCAGTTTGAGTGTTGTTGATGAGTGGGGCTTACCAGTGCTACGGTGATCTTCTTTCTTCTGTCGTCTCTTCAACCTCTCAACCTCTTTAGTCTTCTTAGTCTCAGCAGCTGGTAAAGCACCAGAGGAACTCTGGTTTGCCGATGTTAGGTTTCAGTAATAATTTCTAGTGTTATAATGGAATTCAATACTAGGGCCAGAATACAATACTTTTTTAATGCTGTAATGATTTCAGTGTGTGTTTTTTCCTATAAGCTATCTGGTACTAATTTTGATGTGTCTTTCCAAGTATTCATTTTTTTTTCAGAATGCTCCTGAACTCTGATTTATATACGCCAGTATCTGTGACTATTATATGTATATATATTTTTTAAATTATTATTATTATTATTTTTTTGCGGTACGCGAGCCTCTCACTGTTGTGGCCTCTCCCGTTGCGGAGCACAGGCTCCGGACGCGCAGGCTCAGCGGCCATGACTCACGGGCCCAGCTGCTCCGCGGCATGTGGGATCTTCCCGGACCCAGGCACGAACCCGCGTCCCCTGCATCGGCAGGCGGCCTCTCAACCACTGCGCCACCAGGGAAGCCCCTATTATATAATTTTATATGAAGTTTTTTCCAGTGTGACCATCTTCTAATTAAAATAAAAAAGGGAAGAAAAGGAAGGATATATAAACAAATTTATTTCAGCAACTTTTAAAGACTGTTAGTTTTTACTTTTAATTAATATGTATGACTTTGTACATTTCTAAACATAAGAAATAGGTAAACTCATTGATCACCTTGAACTATTGCAATCGGGTCGGGAATCCATCATTACCTATTGATACAGGCGACCTATTTTAAGGCAGTTCTTTAATCAGCGCCTGAGTGATCGGAACACAGGAGGTGTGTGCGGTAATTCATCAGCCCTTTCTGTTCTGAGGCAGGACTCTGCTAGAAAAACTAATTTCAGGGGACTCTGCTCTGATGTTCCCTGACTCATCTGATGCTTTGGGAATTTCAGTGCATTTCATCAGAGGTCAAAAAATTGTTTTAACTTTCAAATTTAAACTGCGTGTATTTTGAAAGGTAAAGGTGGCTGAAGATTTAAGCAAATCCTATGTTTTCCTTTATATTGACAGTCCCTGCTCTGGAAATGTGCTGTCCTGTTTCCTTTGTGTGATGCATGGATTCCATATATTTATATTCTCTGTTGCACTCGTTTTCTAGGGCTGCCATAACAAAGTACCACAAACAGCGTGACTTAAAACAATAGGAATTGATTGTCTCACAGTTCTGGGGTCCAGTAGTCTGAAATCAAGGTGTCAGCAGCGTTGATTCCCTCTGAGGCCTCTGAGGAAGAGTCTGTTCCCTGCCTCTCTCCTGGCTTCTGTGGGTTGCTGGCAACCTTTGGTATCCCTTGCCTTGTAGATGACTGTCTTCTCCTTGGCTTTTCACATGATGTTCTCTCTGCGTACATGTGTCTGTCTCCTCATATCCCCTTTTTGCAAGGACACCGGTCAGATTGGATTAGGGGTCCATCCTACTCTCATGTGACCTCATCTTAACTAATTACATCTGCAGTAAGTCTGTGTCCATCTAAGGTCACATTCTGAGGTCCCAGGGCTTAGGACTTCAACCTATGAATTTGTGGGGGGCGGGACACAGTTTAACCCGTAACATCTTCCCACAAAGTAAAGAGTTTGCACATATTCTGTTTTCCACACAAAATGGGCTGATCCCTTTTATAACTGTATCCTGTAGTTTCAGGAACTCTTGGGTTTCATGTGATGGGGTGGTTTTCCTACTAGTGAAGCAAAAGAGTGAAGGGGAGCTTTGAAGGCTGGTCTTCAAAAGCACTCTCAGAAATGATGGTTATGGTACAGGGAGAAAATAGATAACTCCCGTTTTGAACTCTGTTGGAGCTCCAATGTTCACTACAGACTTTAGTTTTTCTTTCCTAATGAATTCTGTCTTTAAAATGGTCTCCTATGGAACACCTGTATTTATAGTTTGAGTTTTATGTCCCTATTATAGGACCTTTCCACAAATGTTTATTGATGTTATAGGTGACATGGTCTTGACCTAGCATAATAAATGCAACCTGCATTTAATATTTTCCAAAGACTTTCACATCTATAGCATTTCTCATGATGTCCTCAAAATAGCCTTTTGGATAGGTGATTAGTAAGAAAATGCCAATATGAATCTTCAGGAATTGTGGTACAGCCTATAAAATGCTGGGCAGGAAAACTCTCAGCCACATCTTCGGCCTATTGAGTTTTTGCTCTTTATAAGATCTAGGCACTTACTCTAATGAATAACCTTTTGATATTGCCATTTGGCCTTTTCTTAGCTCTTTGGGGAAGTTATTTAATGAATGACATTCTGCTCTGCTGATTTGATTTGATGTGTGTGTGTAGCAGTTGCGAATGTCCTCTTGCTAGGAATTGCATGATTCCAGGAAGACTACAGAATAACTCTTTCCTTTTTGAATTGTCCACTCCGGTGGTTTAAGGGCTTCCCAGGAAAGGAACGAATGTTTACTTAATCATTCCTGGTTCATCAGACAGAACAGAAGACGTGTTTCACCCTTCTAGGCTTCCCTCCCCTTCCTCTTAGGGTCAGATACACAGATAGGAATGTGTTCTAATCGATACTTGCCAATGCTTTGCTTTTAGGCTTTTTTTACAGAAAAGTACTTGCAGGAGCATCCTGAAGACCAGGAGAAGATCGAGCTGCTAAAGCGACTAATAGCGTTGCAGGTATGTCCAGGGCAGGTGTGGCTGGACAGCTCTCCACGCTCTGTGGGCGGCTACCACACACAACACCAAGATAGTCGCTACGGCATCCATCTCCAAGCACACGTTTAGGGTTACTTTTTTTTTTTTTTTTTTTTTAACCCTTGGAATCACAACCTATCTATTTATTTGGCTAAGCAACATAGGAAGAACATTCCATTAGACTGCACAGTGTTGAGAGGGGTCTTCTTAGAGGGGAGATTAAAGTCCCCAAATCGGTTTGCTGGCTTGTGTTTCCAGATGAGAGATGTTGGCCTCAGTTTCCGTCTCTCTCTCACTACTTCTGTGAACAGTGGGAGGAAACGCAGCCATCCAGCTCAGTCCAAGGTGAAACGTATCAGTTACTCCTGCATAGAAAGGCCCCCAGGCTCACGTGGATTTGCCTTGCCTGTCAGCCCTTCCCCTGGTTACTTGTATCCCCAGTGTGCAGATCCCTCTGCATCTTTGACCCAAGAGCATCCAGTTCCCAAGCTTTCCACTGAGAAGCAGTATTTTCGTTTGAAACGTGCTGTGTCTACCGGTTTACTTGTCCATCCCCACCTTCCATCTTTCCCCAGCATCCAAATCTGAACTATCCCTCTTCCTAAACAATATCCTATTCCTTTCATGCCCTCCTTCCCAGATGCCTCTGCTGACAGAGGGGATCCGCATCCATGGGGAGAAGCTGACGGAGCAGCTGAAGCCACTGCACGACCGGTTGTCTTCTTGCTTCCGGGAACTCAAGGAGAAAGTGGAAAAGCTCTATGGGGTTATAACACTGGTAGGCTTTGTCTCAACAGCCTATGAGCTTTTTCTAGTCTCTTCTACCATTTATGATATTGATCCATTTTTCAGATGCCAAATGAGTCAAAGTAGCCTAGGAATGGCATGCAAACCCTGGGGCAGTTCGGAGAAGGCATGGTCCACTCTTGATAACCTTCACCTGTTGTTGTGCTGGACAGCGGCTCTTAAACTTGAATGACCGTCAGAACCACCTGGAAGCTCGTGAAAACAGATTGCTGGGCCACATCAGTAGGGTTTCTGATTCAATTGGTCTGGGATGGGGCCCAAGAATTTGCATTTCTAACATGCCGCCAGGTAGTGCTGCGGGGCTAGGCACCACACTGTGAAAACCACACTACTAGAAATTGGGGTTTCCTAATCCCAGACACTGGTTATTCCTGTCCTGTCTAGCCCAACTCCTACAGTTTTTCCTAATCTTTATTTTTTATTTTGGTGAAATGTTCCTACTCATCACACCTTCGAAGGGGACAGAGAATTGTGAATTACATTTGACAATGCATGTAGCTGATGTCATGACTTTTTTAGACAGTTGTAACATTTCTCACAGCTGCAGTTTTCTTTTTTTCCTCCCAAGAAGTTGGGTGAAGTGATACATGGGTCAGCCTTTTCTCTCCCACAGTTGATGGTATGCTTGGTTCCAGCTTCATTTAGCCACTCTTTTTTTTTTTTTGTGATACGCGGGCCTCTCACTGTTGTGGCCTTTCCCGTTGCGGGGCACAGGCTCTGGACGCGCAGGCTCAGCGGCCATGGCTCATGGGCCCAGCCGCTCCGCGGCATGTGGGATCTTCCCGGACCGGGGCACGAACCCATGTCCCCTGCATCGGCAGGCGGACTCCCAACCCCTGCGCCACCAGGGAAGCCCTAGCCACTCTTTTTAACATGAGTTCATCCTGCTCTCTTCAAATGTTGTATTCTTGAACCCCAGATTTTCAAAAATCCTCTTTCCTCCAAATCAAGGCTCTGCATTTCTTTTTATGTATTCCTGTCCCCTATTCCCGTACCTCCATCTCTGCTACATTGTTCTCCCTAGTATCTTTTTGATCATCTCTCCCAGTCACCCAAGTGTTCAGTCATGCCTTCCCACGAATTTACCTCCTAACCTGTTGCCAGTTAAGAGTTTTCTTTTAGGAACATTTGTCTTTAACACAAGTTCCTAGATGGCAAAGACTTGGCTTTCACTCAATGAGTTTAGTTTTTATTAGACCCAGGCCAATATTAACATTTGAATTTGATATGGTGACCTACTGGAGACATTTCTTATGAGAGTATATCCGTATTCCTTTATTTCCTAAGATTCACCAGGATAAGCATCAGGTGTCCAGTTTCAATCTAAACTTTTCTATTAGGCCAGTATTCCGATTTTTAAATGGCCCGTAGAAGCTAAGCTGGAGAAGCAGACAGAGGCATTTGCTATTTTATTGATGAGTAATGAACATCTTGGTTTCCCTCTCTCATGAGGCTGGCAGAAAGTTAGGGTGAATTTTTCTCTAGTTTTAGAAACAAGGTAGGCTTAACCGAAGTTGTGTTTATAACTAAGAATGTAAGAGGGGTGAGGGAGGGATGGACAGGGAGGGTGGAGAAGGGATGGATTGGGGGACATGGATGGATTGGGAGTTTGGGATTAGCAGATGTAAACTAGTATATATAGGATGGATAAACAGCAAGGTCCTACTGTGTAGCACAGGGAACTATATTCAATATCCTGTGATAAACCATATGGAAAAGAAAATGAAAAAGGAAAAAAAAATATATATATTTAACTGAATCACTTTGCTGTACAGCAGAAACTAAAACAGCATTGTAAATTAACTACACTTAAACAAATTTTTAAAAAATGGAGAGTTGCTTAATATACAGAAAATGAACTCACAACCTACATGCTTAAATGTCAGGATGTTGTGATATGTAGTTACAAAATATCTCGTATGTCGTATTATAATAAACAAAATAATATGTCAATAAAATCTTTCAAACTACAAAGAAAGAATACAGGTATTTGCAATATTTAACAACCGACGCAGCACAGGCACCAACCCATCAGAATGGGGTGCCAACCCCAATACAGGTGGGCACTCACCACAAACCACCAGGGGCTGTGCCAGTTCCTAAGGGCTGAATTCCAGGCCAGCTAACCATGAGGGGTCATGTCTCCTTTAGCCGCCCAACTTGACGGAGAGGAAGCAAAACCGCACAGGGTCTATGTTGCTCCCCTACATCATGTCGTCCACACTGCGGAGATTGTCCATCACCTCGGTGACGTCCTCTGTGATCTCCAGCTCTTCTAACTCATCTGATAATGCTCCTTCCAGACCAGGATCTGATGGGTAAGGCTTCCATCTTTAATTGCCAGGAGGGGTGAGGTAACTCCTTCCTACTGTTTGTCTTTGGTCCCCAAAGTGAGACTTGGTCAGTGTGGGTGCATCACCTTCGTAAGGGAAATCATTCACAGTACCTGGGTTATTAGTTTTTGGGTCTTTCTCATCATTTTCATCATGAGGAATATCATTATTTACGTGATAGTAGCAACAGTTATGAAAAATGGGGGGAAAAAAATCACCCATAATGCTATCACACCCTATGACCCAGCCAATCATATCCTATTTTGTTTGTTACGGAATAATTTGTAGTTATTGCTTGACTTTTTTTGTTTCAATTTTTAAAAATTTTAAAGTTTATTTTATGAGTAGGCAATGTAATCACATGCAATTTCAAAGGTACAAAAGGACATCTCATGAGCGGCCTCCTGTCAGTCCCCGACTCCCAGCTCATCAGTACCGCTTTCCAGAGGCCAGCGATGTTAGCGTTCAGGTTCATGTCCGTGGTGCCTTTCCAGCAGCTCTTTATCTGTACTAGAAGCAGTTCCTAAATATATATCCTTCGTCACACGTTTTTTATTTATAAACGGCAGCATATAATACTCTTTGCCTTGCTTTTAAAAAAATTAATTAGTTTATTTATTTATTTATTTTTGGCTGCGTTGGCGAGCGGGAGCTACTCTTCGTTGCAGCGCATGGGCTTCTCATTGCGGTGGCTTCTCTTGTTGCAGAGCACGGGCTCTAGGCGTGCGGGCTTCAGTAGTTGTGGCACACGGGCTCAGTAGTTGTGGCTCGCGTGTTCTAGAGCACAGGCTCAGTAGTTGTGGCGCACAGGCTTAGTTGCTCCACGGCATGTGGGATCTTCCCTGACCAGGGCTCAAACCCGTGTCCCCTGCATTGGCAGGCGGATTTTTAACCACTGCGCCACCAGGGAAGTCCTGCCTTGCTTTTTTCACTGACTAGATCTTGAAAATCATTCCATTTCAAAACTGCGAGAGCCTCCTCTTTCCTTTGAGTTGCAGACATCTCATGATTTCCCTACCCGTGATACACTCCATCATTGTCTATTGATGGACATTTGGTTGATTTCAGCCTTTTACTATCACAGTAGTGATAGCAATGAGTAACCTTAAAAATATATTATTTCGTTAATATTCAAGTATATCAATATGAGAAAAAGTCCAGAATTGAAATTGCTCTGTCAAACATATATAGCTGCAGTTTTCAAAATTATTCCTAAACTGACTTTCATAGAGATTATACCCATTTACAGTCCCATCAGCAACACACAAGGGTGCCTGTTCACCCACATCTTGCCACCAAATTGTGTATTATCAGGCCTTTTAATTTTTACCAGTCTGATAGGTGGAAAATATTTTCTTGGCCTAGGGCTTTTGTTTGGTTGCATACTGGTTTTCTTTCATCCCTCTTGTTTTGTTTGAGGTTGAGCATCTTTTCATTTGTTTAGTAGCTTGTATGTATTTTATTTTCTGTGAACTGTGGTCAGATTTTTTTGTTTTTTTCTTTTGCCGTACGCGGGCCTCTCGCTGTTGTGGCCTCTCCCGTTGCGGAGCAACAGGCTCCGGACGCGCAGGCTCAGCGGTCATGGCTCACGGGCGCAGGCGATCCGCGGCATGTGGGATCCTCCCGGACCGGGGCACGAACCCGTGTCCCCTGCATCGGCAGGTGGACTCTCAACCACTGCGTCACCAGGGAAGCCCTGGTCAGATACTTTGTGTACATTTTTCTGTTGGATATTGACCCTTTGTGATATGAGTTGAAATATTTCCAAATTTTCCTTTGTTTTCTGACTTTGCTTCTAACTTTTTATCTAGTTATGCTGATTTTTTTAATGCAGTCAAATAAGTTAATATTTGATTTTATGGCTTCTGGATTTTATATCATAAAGGCCTTCCTCACTTTAAGACTACAAAAAGCCTAATTTTAAGTTTTCACTATATAATAAAATCTGTGATTCTTTGCAATTTATTTTAGTATAAAGTGTAAGGTATAGAGCCAATTTTTTTTCCCTACTTGGCTACCCAGTTCTCCCTATAACATTTAGTGAGCAAACCATCTTTTCTCTACTGATTTGAAATGTCAGCCTTATAAAAAAAATCAAATTCCGATATGTTCTTTAGTCTGTTTGTAGACTTTTTCCCCATTTCTTAGATCTACCTGTGTGGTTCATGCACTTGTTCTAATGCAGTTTTAATTACTATAGATTTTAAAGGTTTTAAAATTTCTAGTAATTTTTTTTCAGAATTTGTCTGGCTAGTTTTACATAGCTCATTTTCATATTAACTTGTCTGGAATCCTGTTGTTTTTATTGGGATATGTTAAATTTATGGATTGAATTTAGAGCTTTTTGATGTTGAGCCTTCTTGCCAGAAACATGGAGTGCCTTTCCATATGTTCAAATTTAAAATATTTTAAAGGAGTGAATTCATAATTGTGTTCAAGTGGAAAAGCATGACATGTACCATTTTGTGACCTATTTCTTAATTTTATATACATGATGAGTATTTAGCATCACTGTGTATTTTAATGTTGAATATAAGTCCGTTGACTTAACACTTATTTATAATTTTGTAATTCCATATTATAATAATCATATCACAAAAGTAACCTGTCCAAATGGCCTTCTACCTGGAAATCAAATATTTTATTTATGTATGTATTTATTTATTTATTTATTGGCTGCATTGGGTCTTCACTGCTGCATGCAGACTTTCTCTAGTTGCGGCGAGCGGGGGCTACTCTCTGTTGAGGTGTGAGGGCTTCTCATTGCGGTGGCTTCTCTTGTTACGGAGCATGGGCCCTAGGCACGCGAGCTTCAGTAGTTGTGGCTCATGGGCTCTAGGGCACAGGCTCAGCAGTTGTGGTGCATGGGCTTAGCTGCTCTGTGGCATGTGGGATCTTCCCAGACCAGAGCTTGAACCCATGTTCCGTGCATTGGCAGGCAGATTCTTAACCACTGCGCCACCAGGGAAGCCCTCAAATATTTATTATTTTCTAAATGATTTATCTATCCTTTACCATTGACATAGATATCTTTACACAGCTGCAATTATAGCACAGATTTAGTTTGGTAATTTGTTTTTCCTCTTTGTCTTTTTGTTATAAGCATTTTCCATATTGCTATATAATTTTATTATTAGTTTTTAATTATCACTTTTGATGGCTCTCTACCATTACATCATATGAATGTGCCATAATTAATTCTTCTCCCTACTATAGAATGTTTAAGCTTTGTCACTGTTTCTAAACAGATAATCATAAAAGTTCATTATAAATTTAATATAAAGACATTTAGGGAGTTCCCTGGTGGCCTAGTGGTTAGGATTAGGCGCTTTCACTGCTGTGGCCCAGGTTCAATCCCTGGTCGAGGAACTGAGATCCTGCAAGCCCCTCAGTACGGCCAAAATTTAAAAAAAGGAAGAAAGAAAGGAAGAAAATTAAGTTGTTATCAATATAAAATGCATTTATACTATTAAGAATTGTAACAAACGTGTCCATATAGCTTTACAATTATTTAGGATATGGTCTCAGATCACTTCTCAGCCTTTAGGTAAAGATGGAGTGTAGGCTTTACTTCCCCAAAGCATATATTACTTATTCAGGGAGTAATATTTTTTACAATTCTTGATATCACAAATGCCAATATGCAATGCCATATACAATGTATGAGTGACTATATAATTTTTCTTAATATAGTCACCCGTATTAGGTATTTGGACTATTTTTAATCTTTTGAATTTGAAAATATTAAATAATACCTGATTCATTTGTTTATTTTTTTCCCATCTATGTTTTTTTTCATGCCGTAAAGTGATACTACCAACTTTGTGGCAAGCATAGAAGTTCTGTTCTGTTCTGTTAAACTCTGTCTCATTCAAAAAAAAAAGTTTTCAGGCAGCTGTTGAAAATCAGAGACACCGTAATTGCTGATCCATTAGGGCAGTAAATAGAGAGCAGGTGACCGGGGTTCTGTTTATATCATGACCTGGGGCAAAGTGGGTTATTGCTCTTGCCCACATTTGCCCAGTAAGGTGACATTATTGATACCATTTTCTAACATTTATTCAGGATGTTTCTTTAAAGCATCTCAAACTGATTCACACCCAGTGACTTCAATTCTATTAGCTGTGTTATGTCACAGTAGTCATTAGAACTTTCATGGCGACTATTGGGTGTGCAGTCTGCAAAGGCGCACTTCTTTTTTGGTTGGGTGTATCCATCCTGTTTGGCACATGGGAGGCTGTGGCCCAGAAAGAGAATAACTTTATGAAACACAGTGCATCGTGTTAAGGGAAGCTGGAAGGGCTTGCATAGCAGGTCAACTCGGTACATGCTCAGAGCTCCAGCAAAGTAGGGGCCTCAAACCAAAATCTTTTTTTAAAAAAAATTACTCTTCAGTATTTCAGGAAAATCATTGAAATAGTCAGTGTAAGAAAAAAATAACACAGGCACTGTGGGACTACACTATCATTATTTTACTGTTTAGTTTGGTTCATAATTAGGCCCTACTGAAACTCACATTAGGGCCTAGATCTTTGCCTGTAGATCTAATGACCCACAGACGCTTACCTTCATTCTCAATCTCACAGGTAAAGTAATAGTAGACCCAGTAGAATACTGGATTGTTGTTTTGGTTTTTTTTCCCTCCCTGACCAACTACTGTTTGAAGTGATTCTTTTTGTTTGATTTGGCTTGGTTGGTTTTAAGAATAAAAGCGTCTGTTTTGGAATTTAGTTCTATGATTTTTTTTTTAATTAGTACAGATTTAAGACAAATAATAGTGAGTGGCTTCTCCTTAAATATACTAATAATTGGAAAA